ATAGATGCACAAAAATCTGTTATTAATTGTTCCTCAGCTGGAGTTTTTTTCCTAATACACCCCATCTGTTCCTGGTAGAAGATGGAGAGCTTCTTCAAATAACTAAAGATGTTTGGAGTAGTCCACTAACATGTGGTTTGATTTTTTAAAGAATTAAAGGGAAATTCAGCTTTTAAATAGAGTTCAGATGTATCTCTGCTTTGATTTAGAGCATCAAATTCAGTAATAGAAAATGAAAGCACTGTACAAGAATGAATCTCATCTCATCTTTCCTGCCACTGATAGGTATTTTAGATTAAAGTGAGACCATGTGAGACAATGTCCTGATCTATTCAAAGCCACAGTGAAGCACCTAGAGCCAGCTGGAGTCAAGTCTGAACTCTGGATTTGCTTTTTTGTGCCTGTAAAGTGTTTGAGTAAGTATGAGACAGCGGATTCCCCTTCCCTTTAGCTATCTGAAAACACCCTGTGACTCATGTCAGCCGCTGTCCAATAACACTCACTGCCCCGATCAAATATCAGGAGACGTCGTAAAGTCGATGTTGTATCAGAGATAAAGCAGTGGAGATTCTCAGAGATGGGAAGTTACTGTTTTTATTTAAGAAGACCACTGCAATCCGACTCGATGTAAAACAAAGAACAACTCGTATTCAAAGCAATGCAGGTTGTTGCAACTAATTGAAGCTCCTGCAAGGAACTTTTTGTTTGTGTTGATTTTGGCACCCCATGTGGACAAAGCAATATTTTATATATCTTGGCTGATTTTGTGGTATTTTGACTAAAAATCTCATCCTGCTTTCTTAAACAGTGAAATGTGTCCCTCGCTGATACTGATTGCAGATGAAGCAAAAAAAAAATGAAGCCTGTTCCTTCAGTGTGCTGTCAATCATCTGGTCTGATACACACCCCCTCATGCTGATCAGAAGCACTGCAACATACCTTGCAGAAACTGTGTTAACATAATATATCAGGTAAGTCAACTAATATAAACCATATCTCTAAGCTCAGTGTGCCATCATAAAGTGCACTTTATGACCATCTGAATTCAGAATCAGCATCTAAATAATTTTAAAATGGCCTATTTATATCAAAGGCCCACCCCCTCCCCTCTGTATCCTTTACAGAGTGATGTGGGTTTTTGATGCAGTACCACCGGAAGGGTCAGAGGTCACCATCATTCAATGTTTACATGCAGAAAGTTCTCTGAATACTCTGAATCTTTTGAAGATATTATGGGCTTTAGATGATGAAATCCCTACATTTTTTGAAAAACATTGTTCTTAAACTGTTGGACTATTCACTCACACAGTTGTTGACAAAGTGGTGAACCTATCCCCAAATTTGCTTGTGAATGACTGAGCCTTTCAGGGATGCTCTTTTTTTATACCCAACCATGACCCTCATCTTTCTCCAATGAAACTTTTCACCTGTGGAATGATCCGAAGAGGTGTTTTTGGAGCAGTCCTCAATTTTACCAGTCTTTTGTTGACCCTGAACTAAATTTTGAGGAACATGTTGCAGGCATTAGATTCAAAATGAGAGAATATTTGAGAAAAAAACAACAACAAAAAAAAAGTTAGGCTTATCTATTTGAAAAAATAAGTGCTCAACTGAATATACGTAGGTGAAAAGGGATTTCAAAATCTTTACATTCTGTTTTCAGTCACATCATACACAACATAACTTGATTGGAATAGGGTTTGTAAAGGATTATTTTGAATTCAGTACATTTCAATAATGTTTTTGTTGATATTGTGGCTCTGAAATCAGTTGATGAACTTTCTTTTCTACAGTCACCTCTGGTTCTACGCTTGCTTTGTCTTAGTGGGGTTGCTGTACTGGTTTCATATCTCTACAGCTGAATGTAGGGCAAACATCACTCAAAGCTGACAAAGCAAAGACAAAGACAAAGCTGTTCATTTATTGTTGGTAATGATGGCTGCTGCTAAGAAGGAAGATGACTCTCCACCTGAGCACCCACAGCAATATCTTTAGACCATGTTTGAGGTTTTGACTTACTGGTTCTAGAAAATGTGTTATTGCTTTTGATGATTGCTCTGTTTTTCATGCACAAACTTCATTACTGGACAGAATAAAATGAATATTTTTAAATTATAAATGTTTTCTCATTGTGCAAAGCCAGACAAAAAAAGTTCTTGAAACAATTTTTCCGTTTATTTTGGAGTTCAAAAAGTAAATAGCATGAGAGTTAAAAAATATGTCAATGCTGTTTGGTAAATAAAGGTCAGGCTGCAGAATGTACATCCCTGTTTTCTTGACTGCACTCATACATTGTTAAAATACAAAACTCTTTAAGATTTTTTAGAGTACTTTTAAGTACTTTTATACATAATGGAGTAATATTTGAACAAATATTTATGCTTTGACCCAAGCAATGACATTTTTACCTTACCCACACCTTCATCACGCATGCATTGTTGAAAAGAAATAACTGAGGCTGAAAGAGTTATTAATAAACCTTAAGTGTATCTACAACAAAACAGCTGCGACACTCAGTCATATATTCTCTCTAGTGTGACAACTGATAATTCAGTTAAACCAAATCATTTTTGGATGTAGTTTTATCAAAAAGAATAGTCAGTTGAAGCTCAAACATTAATTAAGGCATCAGGACGTACAGCCAAGGAGTAACCCTTCTTTCGTCTCTGTTAAAATGGTAAATGGACTCACTGTATTTACTGCTTGTCTGGTTTGATTTGTGGATGTCACATTTACCCATTCTCACACACATTCAAACACTGACAGCAGTTGTGAGCAGTGCCTTTAAGGAGCGTTCTGGGTTAAGTGTCTTGACCAGACTGCAGGAGAACCAACTGTCAGTCTTAAATTTGAGGTGCAGCCCACTCTACCTCTAAGCCACTGCTACTCACAGCATCCAGGAAAGAGTCCCTCTGTTACTGTTTCTCACTAAAGGGCACATTCTGCATTGTCTAAACAACTTACATCTCAGCTCCAATCCCCCAAAATATTAACTCATTTGCACAATATCAGTGAAAAACACAAGTTGTGTGAAAAAGCATTGCAACACAATCATGTTCTAAGATCATTTGTTGTTTTCTGAAGTAATGCTCCATGGTGTGTACTGTGCACAGCTTATCTGACAGAGCATTGTTGGACTTGACAGCTCCTGCAATCAACTAGGCCAATACACACTGGAAGACTGCAGTTACATTAATGGGAAGTGAAGAAGCTTCAGATCGCACTTTTCTTTGATGCACTGTTATGCTTTCTATCTCTTTTCCTCTCAGCTGTACTCACAACCCTAACACAGTGTAAATAAACAAAGTGGAGCACTTTAACTGTGACATGCATATGTATGAGATGTAAAATAATTTGATCCCTTTGAGCGTTTCCTTGTCATCCCTCAAAAGCAGCACATCAGTAGTTGTTTTTTGTGTTTTTTCCACAACAAAAGTTTCCCTCCCTCTTGTCACTGGTGTCATCTCATTAGTGGTAAATCACTGAGCTGACATTTATGTTGTACAAAGTCACACAGCATCTCCTCTTCAGTGGAGGCCTGATATCACAGCAAGGCAGTGTTTGTTCAGGAGGGTATGAGAGATTTCACACTCAGAAATCCTGTCTGCTTACAGTTTAGTGCTTGTGATTGGAGATGTTGGGGAAAGAGATAAAAGTAGGAGACAAAAAATGTCCTGTGAGAGGTTTTGAAATATTTTACATCCTAATATTAGAAACTGCCAGAACCTTAAATACAGGAGGGGCTAAGTTATCTATCATAGAATGATATCTATGCTTCTTATACTCACTAAAACATATTTCTCAAAAATTGACAAAGACAAAAATAAATGTGTCCCATTTAATTACCATAAAGAACATTCACTGAGGTTTGAATCACAGACAGTATAAAAAGTTTCGAAGCCTATCGGTGGAGGTCACCATACTGGAAATGTTAAGCCAACCAAACTTTGAGTCTACCTCGCAAATTGGGAAGTTCAGACAGACCTTTCGCATCCTCGCTGAAAGCTACAGAGAGCCCACCTGTCAGAGGTCCACCAGGAATGATACCACACCCAACTTGACTACATTCCAGTTAAAAGAGAAAAAAAAATCACTGCAAAATAGCTGCTATTGTTCTTAAAATTGTTAGCAATGAATGGACCCAGTGAGCAGTTTGTGAATAGTGCCATTTTGTGTAGCAATTTTTAAACCTAATTTCAACCGTTGAGATTCTGTATATCTGTAGATGGAATTTAGATGTTGCACTTCAACCCGCTATTCAATAAGTATTTACTTCAAAAAGCAACCGTGAGTTGCATAACTGATCTCCAAGTACTAAACCAAAATAATTATGATAGCCGTTGAGCAATATACTGGTAGACCTCTGTTAGCTGGCTAGTCCAAACTCGGTCTAAATTTAGACATCTGAAAACTTTCATTTTTAGACCTGTGGTAGCCTGATTTTAGACCAGTCGTCTAGACTACATTTAGATGTCTATTAGACCTCTTTTAGACCAAAAAATGCTCAGTGAGAAACAAACAAAAAAAAAAAAACAACTCTTTTTCCATATAAAAAAGTATGACCTTTCAAAGCAAGCTGAAAGACTGGTGGATTTAAAACCATTATGCAAAAGGAGACATTCTCATAATCTGGCATCAACAACCTCTATGTAGATACAAATCAATGCACGGGCCCTTATGTGATAAGCACAACCTGTGGCAAACCTCTGTAAAAACAATCTGGAAAAGACTGCACTGTTATTGGGGGCTGATGGCTAAAACAGTTCAGCACACAGTCATGCAAGCTTAACCTTAGATTTCGTATGATAACTAAGACCAACTCAAGTGACAGAGAGAGAGAGCCTCTCTCTCTGGCGGGCCTCCGTGCACTCTGCTCTGGGAAGCTCTGCAGCAACCGAGCTCAGCCTCCTCCCTCTTAGTCCCGCCCCCAGATGAAGCCTTCACTAAAACGGAGACAGATAGTAGTAAACTGTTTAAAAGTTCAGTGAGAGGGGCTGTTTATCCACTCTTTGTTTATAAAGACAACACGTCAACTTCGCCGTCAGCTGTTTTCCGATAAACAACGACGGAATAGTGTGAATGTCCAGCCGGGAGTTTGATTTCCACATCCACCGGAGCGACTCTTAACTTCAGCCGAGTTTACTTGGGCATTTTCTGGAGACTTCATGGTACGTCCGCTCGTTTTCAAGATCTGTGTGTACATAACAGTTAGCTCTTTTAAAGACGATTATATCCCATCAAAAGACTCGTATTTCTAACTGAGTGTGTCAAAATATTGAAAATAACCCTTTTTGGTCAACCTAACTGTCAGTGAATCCAGCTGAACACATCTGCCTGAAGCCTAAAGCCGTTGACAGGCAACTTTCCTTCCTCCTCTCCTTTTGCTTGAAGCTTGGGGCTTTTATCCTATCCGTCCTCAAAGTCGATATACTGTTCGTTTCGATGCTGTTCTGAGCCACTTTTTTTTCTGAAGAGAAGTGCATATAACCAGGTATTAGAGAGGCATCCCCGCTGATAGCGAACCGCACGACGGTGTAGGTTCTGCTCTCAGTTTCTGGTTTCATCTCCGGCGCTCCTCAGGGATGACAGGCACCGAGTCACTGACGTTTGTTATTTTACTCAATATTTACAACTTTACTGGACTCAACATGTCTGTATGGCTGTGGAATTTCTCTGCACTTGAGTTGATTTGTTGCGCTAGTGAAAACCACTTTTATCAGTTCGTGTTACTTTGATGGAGTGTAGTTGAATTTACCTAACGCTTGCACCAGAAGATCAACACTGAAACCTTAGATCATGGATGCATCTTGGAGGAATTTCTATCACATCTGATAAACAGCCTTTATTCATAAAGAATCATGCCAATGCTATATTGTTATCCATACTGTTTTGTATACAGAGGTAAAGGGAATAGATATGTTTCTAAATATTAATTGATTATAACAAAGTACCCTTCTCAAATTGTCAGAGCTTAAGCCTGACAAGTTGCTTGATGATTTTTGTGCAAACGTTTTTGAAATAGTCAATGATAAACAAAAAAATCTGCTTCACAGTACCAGCATAATCAATGTTTGAGCTGTAGTGACAATAAATTTGCACTTTAAAGGAGTATTTTCTTGTGCAAATAACTTCATTTGGGGGTATTAAATGCTATTTCTCATTGTCAGTCAAGATTTATGTAAATTAACACTTTTTCAGCTATGATGCTCCTCTTAGTGTGATGCAAATAGTGCCAGGGGAATGATGAACTGTTGACTTTGAGCTTGTTATGCAGGTCAAATTCAGTGATTATATCTTGAAACTGTTGTGCACAAGTAGTTTTCCTATATGTAGGATATTTAGGAGATACAAGACACAATGATACATCTGTGACACACCTGACTGAACCATGGAAAGTTTGTTACTAAGAGACCAGCAGTCCTCATTCAAAAATATTTAAGATTCAATGACAAGCAATAAAAATGGAAGCAGAAAATGTTTTTGTTTCAAAAGCCACTTGATACAAATATTGAACTTTTAGTGTCTCATTTAGTAAAGTGGTCTGAAATTAAGAGGAATTAGGTCCTGCACTCAGTCCAGGGTATGTGTATTGTATTAAAAACATTGTGTGTCATATATGTGTACAGGTTATATAAAAATGAGGCAGGATACTGTAGTCAGTCATTATGGGATGGAAGGAAAAGGTGGTTTGGTGTTTCTCTAGTCCTCAGCCTGCATACAATCACACTGAAAGAGGAGAAGAGCTCATTTGTGATCATTCACCAGGTCATATGACCACATGAACGCCTTAATGACTTATAAATAAAACCAATGTCAAATAAATAGTATCCAATCATGTAACGCAAGATGCTGTGTGGAAAACAGACACTGGCTCCGCCCTCTGAGCTGCTGCTCTCTTCACATTATGGCTTTATGATTAGAGGAACATAAGCACCTCTGGGCATAACGACACTCAACTCCAGCGTATGTATGCACATATGATGAAAATTGATACAAGCCAGGCCTTTAACATTGAAGCTGCCACAAGTATGCAACTTGGTTTGGGTTATGTGCTGGACGCTCTGTCTGGGGTCTGCATGTCCTGATGTTCTTTCCAGATCTTCTTTGGGTGAAATAGTTGCTCGGCTTAGACGGTCAGGGTTGAAGAGAAGTCACATGAGGTGATTTGAGTTGTTGCCGCAACAAAGCTGGCACCATGGCACAGAGCTATTGGAATAAAACCTGAACACTCAACACAAAATAAATGGGGAAAGTTCTGCTGTCTCAAAATGAAAAAAAAAAAAAAAAAGACTGCTGTATACACCAAAGAAGTGCACCTCTTTCTTTAAATTTTGAACTTTCCTTTGACTTGCTCTTTGCCTCATGGAAGGAATTGCCATGCAGTAAACCTGCATTTGCTTGTGAGGAGATAAGGGTCAAGGAGGGAAATAAATCAAACAGAGGGTACCGGCACTCCTGGACTTGCTGAAAGTGTAATATTTGTCATGATCTTCCAAAATGACTCCCCAGCCCTGCACTGAAAGGCCCCTTTGTCCTTTGAAAGAAGCTTGCACTGCAGAGTGATGCACCTCAGTACTTTGTGCATCACTTCCCACGTAACCTTTGTAGTTCACCACTGTCAAGATAGGTGCACAGCTGCTTTTTTACTTCATGGTTCTGTACTTGTCACATATGCAACTTTTTAAACCACGGGCAAGAGCAATTCCTGTCACAGCACCTTTACCACATGAGGCAGGGTTACAAACTTGTTTTCTGAAAGCCACAGATATCTCTCAAACATCTAGTGAGCCTAAGTTTATCTGTAGACCACATCTTTCTAAAATTATTTTGGTTGCAGCTGCAAAACAAGCAACATGACATTTAGAATTTAGCAAAGCCAAAAACATACTGTTGCAAAACCATTCTCCAGAATAAATAGGTACAAATTTATCTTGCACTGATCCACTTTTTATGGCATTGAATTAAACCCTTAACTAAAGCCTTGATTATGAAAAGGAAAAGCATTTCTTTTGTGTGTTTACATCTTCCAAATTGAGCATAATCAGCATCCACAGCCTCCTTTCAGTGATAGCCACAGCTCTGCGTTTTGTGGCAATGGCAATATTTCCTGTCTAGTGTCTTTTTAGCTTTTAAGTCAAGGCCAGGAAAAACATAAAAAAATCAAATATTGGCATTGATATTAGTAATAACAGCAATGCCATAGGACAAAAAGCAGCTCTTTAAATGCCTATTTTTCAGCTGTAGTAAAGAGTCAGATGTCCTTTTACTGAACTGAACTATTAGAACTGTTACTCTCACTCTCATTAATCCTCTTATATGTATAAATGTTTAAGAGTAGTTTCTGCATCTTTCTCATTTTTTCAGAAGAGTTAGGACAGTTTTTGACATGAGTTGTTGAAACAGCATCTAGGTGTCGATCTTCCCAGGTGGGGTTTTCCCATGGTGGCTGCTGACTGACATCTGGAGGGTTTTGTTGCTAGGAGACAGACTGGCAGTTTCTGTGGTGTGCGACTAACTGCTGCTTGTCACATCCAACAGAAGTCAACGGATATTTTACCGCAATGAAAAAGCTCAACTAGCCTGAGTTATCTTCCGAAGCTGTATGATCTTTCACAATATTTAACTTCAGGGAGGAGACATCACGCTGCTTGAACCACCCCACAAAAGCTGTAGTTGGTTGTCTTGCAAACAGATTGATTGATTGATTGATCTTCATTTCAACACCTGCTGAGTCATCTGCAGCCCTGGCTTGCTCAAGCTTGTGTTCATCCCACTTTAAAGGAATAAGTCTAGTGTAAGCTGACTGTCTTTCAGTGCTCCAGTTGTGGTGGTTGAAATAAGCAGGGGTTGAAAACTTATAGCATTGAGAATTTTGCAATCACAGAACTTACATTGGTTTGAGTCAGGAAATAAATCAACATACATATTGCATGCTCCAACTTGACTGCTCATATTCTGACCAATATTCGACCAAAATAAGCAGTGATGCATCTCTATGTTATACAATAGTAAACGAGACCATGGTTGACTATATGAATCATTTCTGTTTTGTAGCTTTTAATGCCAGTAACTGCTGTGATGGGGTAGGCATGCTGAAGCAACATCTTAAGTTACATGTTTTGAAGCAAATGTTCACAGTAAGTGATAAATCTCCCCTTAAAATGAAAACAGGAGAATAGTTTTGGGAGCTTTAAGAAAGCATTCTTTAAGTAGGACTGTGGGATATTGGGAAAACCTGACTCTGGAATGTTCTCATTTGATTTCAGTTGTTAGTTCACTAAAATATTGAACTTATTTTAGATAAGAGCAAATAAATGTCATTTTAAACACACCAGATTTACAGGCTATAGGGAAAGTATTGAATTTGCTTTACATTTTTCATTGCAGTACCAATGATGTGAAAGTATTTTTTTTTTCATGTATTCTGTTGCATTTTGACTTCTGTGTGAATTGTAAATTCACAGGCTGTAATGTCATTAATATGGCAATATTATTTGCAGCCCTATTATTGAGTAACTTCCACACTGCCTATTCAGGTAAATCAGTGCACAATCCAGCTGTTAAATATATACTTTAATTTCAGCTCAAAAATGGACTAATGCGCATTGTTTTTTGTAAAACTCTCCTAAAACATTTGTTATCAGTAGAGCGTTCTTGCAGATATTCATTTTTGGCAACAGTAAAGTTTAATTAGTTATTAACTTTATTGAGTAAATTCAGATGTCATTTAAAGTTCAAACATTGAACCGTCATTATTTTTTAATCCTTTTTCTAAATGCTCAAATTGGAAGAGTTGGACAATTGGAGTGTATCATGGTACATAGACTTATGGTTCCATCATGGTGGTCAGTGTTTGAGGTTAGATTAATAAAGTTAAAGCTTCAGAAGAGGTCATGCTGATTAGTATGGTGGTACTAAGCTGCTTACTCAAGACCCCACTGGAGCATTCTTAGTTTCCTGACGCTCTCAATTAAAGTCTGTGAATAACCTGTGGCATGTTCCAAAGTGTTTCACACCCAGAGAGTCACTCAGCCGCCCCTTACTCCTCACACACTCTGTCTGGCCATGAGCACTGGAAGGTGTTTGCGGCAGGGCCCTTTGAAGCATGCATGACCCCTAATTAACCCTTCTAGATTAATCCCCTTCCCTCCAAACCGCTGCTTCTCTTGTCTCATCTCATCACTCCCACAGGGTTTATTAAGCTGAGGCCAGTTCCCTGCTGTTTGTTCGTGCTCTGTTCAACCTGCTTCTTCTGGATGACTTTCTCTACTTTTGTTCATTTTGCAGCTGGGACTTGGAGCTGACTTCCTGAATACTGCGTCATAAAGAGGGACACCTTCAAAAAAAAAAAGCAGGAGAAAGGCCTGTTTTCCATTTTTCCTCATACTGGAAGCTGCAGGATAATTACAAAATGGCAAGAAGATCCCCTGTCCCCTTGTTACTGCTTGCAATATGCTGCCTTACATCTGCAGGTAAGTTCGTCTTGTTGCTTGGCAACATTTTGAATGAAACAACACTCAGATGTCAAGAATTTAACTCTTTTACTTCAGAGTCAAATCCAATGCAACACTCCTATTAGGGTTGACTAGTATTGACTATGTATCAAGCCTTGACTGCTCTTATGTTTGACAGCCATAACTTTGCCTATAGAGTGGGATTTTCCACTGTTTCTCCCAGCATGCCTTTCCAGACAGTGCCTGTCAGGTTTGAGACTGAGGGGGATTTACATTTAAGAAAGTGCTGACAAGTTCGATCTCAGAAACACTCAGCAAGCCTGCATGTATCTGTCAGTTTGGTAAGAATGAGACTCAGATATTGCCAAATCCGTCATTATTTATGACTGTATAACTGAGAAACTCAAAAGAAAGAGTATGTGTAAACTGCTGTACAGGTGCATAAATGCATGGATGCATTTAGGTGTTCATGTTCATTAAAATTATGCTTTTAAACTTGTTCACATTTACAGGCATATCAGGAGCCAAATACATATTAAACAGCTTTTTTGTTTCGAAACAATGGTATAGCAGACAGTCTGAAAATCACAGATTAGAGCTACATCCATATGGGGTAATATTTTTAAAAACTGATTTATCTTCTCAATTTTCAGGAAAAATCCAAAGCTGTTTATGAATATATCTCTGTCTCCATGAAAATGTAGAAATAGTTTGAAATGTCAATATGTCATACCAGTATGTGGCAACAATGTCTGTCATGTCAAACACTGTAGAGGAAAATTGCAGACATGCTTATTGAGTGTCTTCTTACTTATTCAGAAAAATCCATTTACTGTATGTGAGGACAGCTTTCGAGATATCAGTCATGTAGGGTGGTGCTACAGCAGAAGGAGGAGGATCAGAGACAGTATCTGGTGTTAAAACATGTTAGTATTTTGCAAAAGAGAATTTGATTTTGTTTAAGAGTTGGAAATTAATACTTATGTTTCTTAAAAAAGTAGCGCATTTTCCAAAGTTTTCTGTAACGTGAACAATAGCCTACATTTCCGAAACCATAACTATTCTGTTGCTTTGATTGACCCTGTGTTACCTCACAAAGCCGCTTGACAACTTATAAAGGTTTGGGGATATTTCAGTCCAAATCCCATGAAAAACCAGTATGTTTCATATTCTCTCATAAAGTGGTCCTATTTTGTTTTGGTCCTGTCTTGACCTGTTTTGATTAAAATACAACGTGAAGGCTGAAATGTAAACTCACACCTATGCCCTTACCAGGAGGCTACATAAATGCCATTTAATAAAATGTACTGCCAATCATAGGGTGCTTTCAGTAACTTTTGTTTCCCAAACTGTTGAACTTCACATTATTTATTAAAAATAAGAGTAAAAGCACCTCTTCATATGAGGGATGTCATACATACTCATGTACTCATGTGCTTTTTGACAACCACAGTCTCATTCAGCAAAAAGTCCCCAGTAGACCTGTTAGTTGGCCAGTCAGATTATTTAAGTGACTGATAATTCTGGTGCCAACCAACAAGGGTGAGGAGGTTTGAATATTTTGTTGACTCAACGCACACACCCCTTGTTTCAACTGCCGTAACGAAAGAGAAAAAGTGCAGCTCTCCTTAGTTCGTGGTCAGATCTGTAATGGTGTATGGGGGGGGGGGGGATCTAGTGACTGGAGGTGGCCATGAGATGTAATCAAAGGAGCTATTACTGTTGTAATTGATGTGATGACCACATTCCCTTCAGTACTCAGTGTTGGTTTTCGTCTCTTGGTAACTTAACCAAAATACTCATTTAGCTGACCAAAGGCTGACACTCGGCTCTCAAGTTTGATGAAGAATCTGTCAACTTGGCAACAAGCTGAACCAAACCACTCTGAGGATCTAGTGGGCATTCCTGTCTCTACTTTTCAGATAGTGAGATGTCCTGTTGACTGAAACTGGTTTCACAATGTTTTCCTTTGGCTGTGGACTCACTCCAGCTCAAATCTGCAACATCCCTGTTTTGTTTCTCTGTGGTAACACAGGAATAATTACCCAGTAGGAGGCATGCTACATATCTGGCTCTCCCAAAAAAATGTGGTTTGTGTTTTTCATGCTTGCTGCCTCCCTCTTGCCAACATAGGTCATTATCTAAGAAGTTGTCTGGACGTTCGAACCATACTCCACAGAGCTGACTTTTACTGAAACAATAGCAGTGTAGTCAGAATGTGCTGTGGGTAAAGCAAACATCATTTCTCCCACAATGCCAGGATCTGCAACACAATGAAGGCACGTATGAAGTTTTCCTCTAAATTCTTCCTCATACGGCACGATGCATTGTTATACTGTGTCACAAGGGACAGATATTTACAGTAAGACGACTGAATGCCCTTTCCTCTAAAGAGCACTGGCAGAGAGTTGACTAAATGACTGAGAGCTGAATCTTCAGATCTTTCATTTTTGTAAACAAACCAGATATTAACAGATAAAATGAACTCCAGTGAGCCAGTTTATTGAATAATAAAAGACAATCTGCCATTTCCTTTTGGCCAAATTCACTTCTTTCTTTTTTTTTTTTTACAATAACTTCATGCATTAATCTTGATTATTTTCCTCCATTATCTGTCCACTCCAGAATCTATCTCACCTTTTTTCTCAGTTCTATCATCTCACAGCATCTGTGTAAACAGTCACATCTGCCCTCTAAACTGTTAGGAGAGCTCTTACGTAATGTTTAGATTAGTCTGCAATGAGTCTTCTCTCAGCGTAATGCAATCCAGGATCTGTGCCTCCCATAACTCTTTAAAGCCAGACTGAGTGCACCTTGACGTCCATATTTCAAATCTCGGCTCCGTTCTTTCGCTCCAGTTTTTTTTTTTTTTTTGCTTTTAATAACTTTTTTCCTCAAGTATCCTTACGACCATTTGTGGTTGACTGTCCTCAGCTTGCCAAACAGTTATTTTGTAAAGGATATGGCAAGCACACCAGGCTGAGTTTGGGTTTGTTATAAAATAGAGTCTTGTAGGAGCCGTGCCAGATATTAATTTGGGGCACTTGCCAGAAACAGCTCCTGCAGGATGCTGGTTTTAGTGGAGGCGCAATGCCGGCATGGTGGCTCACTGGAAAGCAAGCCAACATTATTGATTGCAGGAATACTTTTTCCTCCTTTAATGGCCTTTCCTGATTTAACTTTTGGGACAGCTTGATGAATGATGAGTGATTAATGTGAATCTGTCTTAAGCTGTTTATTACTGGACCACATATCTATGCAATGGAATTTTTTTAATGCAACAATAAGTGGAAAAGGAAATTGAATTGTGCCCTTAGTAAGTCTGCATGTGTTTAGTTTGAAGGTTTTTAAGAGTGTGATTTCACAGGAACCTTGAACAGTATGGATAAATATATTCTTGTGCCATTGTAGACTTTCAGCAATTAGGGATGGGTGATAAATTATCGTTCATGATATTTCGTCAGAAAAATCCTCCATGATAAATATTTGCCAGCTCATGATAAATACGATAAATTCGAGTTGATGACATAAGCGCGAGCAACAGACTCGCAGCCATTGCCCATACTGAGCAGAATAGCAAACAAACATGGCCAAAGGTAATGAAGAAGACATTTCTGAACTGCGCATTACTGGACAAGGATTTCCTTCAAGATTAGGGCTTAGATGAATGCAATCAGGTATGCCTGACATTGGACAGTGAATCTGCTCACTCTGTTCACTTGGTGCAATAAGAGTTTTCAACAAATGTTGAAAGTGTTTTCACAGTAGAGACTTGTTTGATGTCATTAGTTTCCTCCATGACCTACTACTCAAACTTGTGGTTAAGTATCTTATTTGAGTACTACAACTGGTGTTCTCAAGACAAAATGAGGCAAAAATATAGAATTACATTGGAATTATATTTTTTATCAGGACTTTAATCGGTATCACCAGAATGGCAAATCTTATTGTGATCTTTTTAGCCCATATTGCCCATCCTGATCAGTAATGTGTCAGCTGTCACTTTTCCATTCAGTCAACCTATGTAAACTGTCATAGCATATACATTACTAAAGCCTCACCTTATTGGTCTACAACCATATTAGTACAATTGTTCATATCTGCTTATACAGATAATAGCTTTTCATCTGTCATCTTTTGATAACAATATCAAATCATATTATCATGCCGGTGGTATCATGCATCCCAAAAAATAGACAGCTTGAATGAGAAAGATGTGACTGCTGTTTTTGCAACATACTTCAAATTAGGGCTGTACAGTATTTAAGAAAACTAATTCTGAGATATTATTTCTCTCAGCAGTGTCTTGCTGTATAAACAACTATATTTATTTATATTTTTCAGCAATACTATAAAATTATCATTCAGATTTTTATTTTCTGCTTGTACCACACAATGTCCAGCCCTCTGACAGCAGCTCTGACACCTGCATGGATAGTGTAAACAAGTCCTCAGGTGTGAATGCAGGAAAGACAGACATCAAGTTTATTTTTCATTTATCATATATATTTTTTTGTATATGTAACCTTTCGGTGAGCTGTCTGCGGCATTGTTGGTTAGAGATTGTTGCACACGCTTTTTGTACATAAATCCTGCCATAAACAATATACTATGGTGAAATGTCAGAAGGTATGATGTTTTTAAAAAGTTTATACCACCAGCCAATTTTGTAGCTGGCAAACAACTTCCTTTCTGTCTGTTTTTTTGTATACAGTTGGCAGACCTAAGTCATTTCAAAGGCAAAAGTGGTTATAATGTTTTCCCCCCGCAGTTTAGCGAAAGGTTCATCTCTAAATCCACAATGCTCTCTTAAAGCCAACAAGAAGGGGGAGTGCCAAAATGCATTGTGCAACCGCTGTAATCTGAGAGGTGGGGTAGCTGGGGGGAGGAGAGAGGCAGGAGCAGGCGTAGGTTGTCTGGTCCAAAATCGACACACTCCACACACTTACAGCGTGCCAAACCGACAGAGTCCCTTCCAGCATGCTAAACCAGATGTTGCCTTGTGATTCATGCGAGGAGCCGGAGCAGCACGGCTTGGTGCAGAGGCAGAGTGCTGCTCGGCAGAGTGGTTGGGATGTTTACATAGCAACGGGAGTCCCTTGTGTGTGTAATTACAGGTCTCCTCTCCCCCATGGTGAGGACTTTATCTTAACAGTGCTGTCAAGGAGGACAAGGCAGACACTCTGACCATTAAGGTTACCCCACTATTACCCAGTTTAATTATCAGCAGTGTGGATATTAAATCAGGACTATCTCTCTGGATTCACCCGCTATTCCTCTTTTTGTGTCTCTCACATACACACACATTCACGAATCTGATCTTTTAGATAAACTCTGATCTACGTCCAGATCCATGTTGTCTGCCACTAAGGGGACACTTACGCAAATCTGCAGGAGTAAACCAGATCCCACCCCCTTCCGACTCACTTCTCTGTATTTGTCTCTTTCTCTCCATAGTTCCAGTAAGCAGGCGTGTAAATAATTTCAGTCAAAGCCAGTAATGGAAGACAGCTGCTGGGATCGTGCATTTTCCATTGTATTTCAGAGCCCCGTGAAATAGGCCACTGGAGTAAGAGAGAGTAAGAGAGAATGACTTCATTGAAGGAAGAGAAAGTAATTGTGAAAAATTGGACTCTGTCACTACAGATAACCTTTAGAGGCAGCAAGATAAAAGTGTGTTTGCTGTCCCGCTGTACGTGACTGAGCTGTAGTTTCTTCTTTTTTCAGAAACCAGTGTGAGTTTATCTGGACTTTAGTTGCCTAATAACTCTGCTGAGGTGCCACATTTTGTGTGCATGACTCTTAATCTCCACCAAAAGTCCTAATATGGGATTGTAGCTGAAGGCTTCCAGGTGGTGTCTTTCATCAGAGCAGCCCCTCCTGGGGCCTCACCTTCCCCACTCTGTTTCCACCAGATGAGTCCTGCTGGAAGACCATGTCCCACTTTTGGAAGAATCCTTTGGAAATCAGGAGTGTTTGTCCAGAAATTGACAGAGGGTCTCTAACTTTACCACGATTTGGTTTGAATCATTAAAAAAATGCCAGTCATGTATTTTGTCCTAGCAGGAGTGTAACAGCCTATACAACTAGCCAGGGCTGTAACTCTGTCAACTGCCATAATGCTATATTGATCAAGTGAAGCGATGAAAATAGGCACAGATGGCATGTTTTAGCATAGCATAGTTTATCAATAATATTTTGATTTAGAAAATATAGAATAGAATTGTTTAGTGTTCATGTACAATTAAATGCAGTGCAACCCTTCATAGTGCAAATAAAGTTGTATGTAAGTTTGAAACCTACTGTTAATGTTGAATGGTTTGAAGTTAGTGGAATCTCTTCTTACTCATTGCTTAACTGGATATTGAAACAGTTGTATATCTTCAATGAATATCTGAATAGTCATATTTTTTTCAGGGTCACTGACCAAGCTATTATAAGTGGTAGGTTGTGGTGAAAAGGCTGCTGCTGAGGTTGTTGCTGTGATAAAATAGCCAAAAGCTGCATTTAACCACCATTCAAAGTGCTGTAATAGGACACATGAATAATATCTGCAATAGAAGCCTTTACTGTTGATATTTTAATGGTCACATTAAAACACAGTTATTTTTGTTGTCATTTAGATGCATATCCCCTTTGTTGTACTTTTTGGTTTTCAACCAAAATTCTATTCATAGCTTTATGGATTTATGGCTGTTTCAACAAATCTTTCATTCATCACACTTATGGTTTGTTAACTGTCCAGTTAAGAGGCCCTCTCTCTGGCCTTTTCAACATGTCAATACTCGAGGCAGCATGGCATTTGACAAGTCATTCTTCTTTTCCTGCCCTCCCGTTCCTGAAGATGAAAAACCCCAGAGGAATGCAGCCTCTTCCACTGGTGTGAAAACGTTGTCTGCCTTGGCCTTTCTCACCTCTCTGGCTCCTTCACACTGGGCTCACACACTGGCATAAAGGCTTGCCATTGTTTTACTCTTTGCTTTCTGATGATGGCGACCTGCTGCTTCTCAAAGACCCCTTTTATCACATTTGAGTGATGATTTTTTTGTGAAATATCACAGGATCAAAGCCAGCATTATGGAGTGGTTTTCCATTGATGTTAAGAATAAAAAAAACATCAGTGCACTATTTACTTGGTAAACTGATTCAACTTTTCCTCAAGCTCCTTTAACCAAAGACCTGCATGTTGTTTTTTCAAGTTAGGAGTGATTTCATCTGTGTGTCATTTTAGGTAGATAAGAAGAGATGTGGATACATTTGGCTTTGTGTGATACCAAACTGTTATTGGAATCAAGATCTTCCAGTTTGTCCATGCCATTAGATTAAATGTTCAGTAATGAGTAACATATGTGCTGTTTGTGAAGGCTTTGCAACATATTTTTAAACTATATTACATTCTGTGGGATCTTATAAATCCATGGCTTCAAATTAGACCTCAGCTTGTCTGATATATTACCTTTCCATCAGTGCTGGATGATGATATTAAAATCTCTTCATTGAGGATTTCTGACTCAAGCTCAAATTCAATGAGGCTGATATCAAGTAGAACAACAGAGCAGACCTGAGGCCACACCTCTGTGTATCCCGTACTGGGTTTGAATATTTGTAAATGTAGATGAAGGGTGGGCTGTTTCAGAACTCCCACTATGCAGCTGTCAGAGACCAGTGCTTTGCAGGCATGTATGATTGATGAGTGAAGTGCCCCTGGAGCAGCAGGACAGACATTTCTCTCTATGATGTTGTTTCACCAGAAAGGGCTCTTGTCCTCCAGTACTTTTAGTGTTGCTTTAAGAACAGGAATGTGCAGGGTGAGTTGGAGCCTGATAAAGTCCACTAATGGTGTCTCAACAAAGTCATGTGCAGTTTAAACATCCCAAAATTGCTATAAAGTACTTCAATCATTTCAAATTATTTAGGCACGTTTTACAAACCACCTGCAGGACATTTTTCATGCCCTTAAATTTTTTCTCTCTTTGTATAACTGGAGGGACCAAATCTTCAGCTTCTATTAGTAACATCACATTCAAACAGAAAGAGGCAGTAAGAATTTTTGGCAAATACCATGACAGGTGGCAAAAAGTGAAAATTAGTATATATAGTCGTAGTCTTCAAAACAGATGCAATTCAGGACAGTATAGTACGATTGGATCCAAAACGATACAATACAATATGATATGATATTATTGTCCACTTGGGGAAATCTGTCTTTGGTTCAAGTTCTGCACATGCTTAACTGCATCCACAACTTTACCAATAAATAAAACAACACGAATCAAACAATATTAAAAACTACCACACCAAGGCCACTACAACCAATGAGCAGCACATACAGTGTAAAAGCTATTTTGAGTATGACCACTTTGCATAAATGAGTCTTGCCATCAATTTGAAGAGGACATATGTCCTTTTTTTCCTACTATGTCATTGCATTTGGTCTTTTTATGTATTTGATAACATAACAAAGTGACAATTAATTAATCTTGAATTGTTCACTCAAGCCAAACACATCCTAGTTTCACAACAAGGCAGTCCCTGTAAACAATTCTTCCTCTTTCTCATCCTTGCTGCCCTTTTGCTTCTTATACTCTGCAAGCTTTACAATCTCAACGTTCTCACATTGGCTATGAAATTATGCTCTATTACTTGGATGTAAACAAGCAAAGATGACAGATAAAATCTCATAGGCATGGTGTAATTTAGATGGTGGTGCTAGCTCTGCTAATGTCGCTTACGTGATCCTATGTTCAACTATCAATTTACTGTATGCTCAATTTTTCCTTTTTTTTCTTCAATTTTTGATCCAGTCAGTTAGACAGAATTTATGTTTCCTTTGAAAAAAACTGCAAATATGTTGCTTCTCCGTTATAAACTGTGTATTTGCTGAGACTTGTTCGTACTACACTCAAAAACAAGACAGTAACAGAAGCAGATTTAATCTGTGAAGAAATCCCTATAACTCCTTATTAGATTACATAAAGTCAAATGAATTGTTTAAAGTCCCACTCCTATCTTTTTTTTTTTAAACTACTTAAAGTGTTCTCAGTGATCTTTAAAACATGAATATGAAGTATTGTGTCATTTTCAAGGGCTTTTCTTCTGCAGAGCTCCAGTAGCTCATTAGCAATTCACCTCTGAGGTGTGGGCAGAGACAGCGATGCTCTCCACACTCCTCTTCATGCTTGCTTGTAGCTTAACATTGCTGGTGTAGTAGAAGTAGCAGGTAACATAGGAGCTATTCAGCTCTTAGACACTAATGTCTTTGGGGACATGATGAAAGTTAATATTACAATTAGCTTTCTTACGGGCATTGCAATCCGCTAGCACACATGCTTATTCCGCGATTGTTCTCTCTACTCTTCTGAGTGTGGTCTCCACAGCGAGGCTCCAGAGGCGGAGCTTGGATTTGCTACGTAGGAAACCTCACTGTATTTGTACCTGCTGTTTGGGTGTGCCAGAGATTAACATTGATTTATATGCAGAAATATTCAGAAATGCAATTTCACACTTATTTTTCTCATGATATGTCCTGTAGCATCAGAAAAATGCCATATGAACATGTAGACAACAAGAAAAACATGATTTTCACCGGAGTGGGTCTTTAACTTATATCTGATTAGTGTTCGAGTACCCTCTTTATGAAGGATTGCTTACTAGTGTTAAGCTGGTGTAGTGATAAATTCTGTCCTTAACCAGTTTAGTTAACTAAAAAATGAACCACTGTGATACTTAACAGGTCTTAAACATTTACTGCTTTGTAGAAACCCCCCTTGTTTCACAAGTGTGCTGACAACTTTTCTGTCCTTTGATATTATAGCTCCAGACAGCACATGTCAGCACCCATCAGCAAAGACATACAGTACAGTGGTAGAACAGCCAGTAAAGTCTTCAGTCATATGCACACATGCTCTTCCATCTCTCCCAGCTGTCTCACTTTACACAGTGGCTCCTGTGTTCCTCTGGGACTTAGCCCTGTCATCCATCTCTTCAAAGCCTTCTGATTTATGTCTGCATTTAGAGGTAGAGAGAAATGCACCCGTGTCCATCTCCTCTGCTCCACTGTTGCTTCATATGCTTTCAGAAATTGGTAAAGCATTTTTTCTCATTACTGATGTGATGGTTTAGCAACAGGTGCTCACTTCCTCTGTCAGGGCTAATGAATAATAACCTGGCTCACGGTCAGTTTTCAAAAAAAAAAAAAAAAGATATATAAATATATATAGTGTATATACAGTATACTCTATACATAAACTCTTTTTTTTTGAGAACTGATTAAATCTGTTTTTAACTTGTTTATTTTTCTCATAGCAGCATCCAGCCACAGCTACTCAATGTATGTTTGACTGAACATGAATCAAGTGCTCTCTGTTAAAACAAGAAATACCAGCTTTATGAGCATGAGGTGAAGAACTCAGGAAACTGAACATTGTATTAAACATGAAATAACAAGGCAATTGATGTAGCAAATGTACTTTTTTTTTTTTTTGCCAGTCACTGCATTGCAAAGAAGACGGACTATTCCTTACACTTCGGCATGAGGTTGACATTCGTGGTTTTACTTTAGATGGATTTCCATAAAATCTGCTTGAGGTATCCATGTCTGTTTCAGCGTAATTTGTAATGATTATCCTGGTATGTTCAAATGAATTCAGTACTTCAGTTTAAGACCAGTGCCTTCAAAACTAATGACTTTCCCATCAGTCTCAGCTGTACTGCGGTTGCTGTGTAAGCTATTATTTCCTTCATAGTAAAAGTTTGTAAATGCTTGCACCGGAAGACTATACTTATACGGTAAGCGAACTGATTTAGCATTGAGGTCCAGTTGTAATACAGTGGTCTGAATGGGTTAAAGCTGTTAGATTGGGTCAGTTGAGTTGTTGAATATAAAAACAAAAATCATTGTGAAGATTTGGTCAGATTAGGTCATCTAATCCAAGTGGACACCACTAGTGTTGAATCATGAAGCCAATCTAGAAGTGTAAAAAACTGCAGTACCTCAGTTGTTCACTAGAGGCTGGCTACCAAAGTAAAGGAATTACCAGTATGTCCCATGTTAAAATCCTTTTTTATAGCAAAATTAAAAGTTCATTTTATTATTGACACATGCTGTACCCGGGGTTAGATATTTTATAATGCATTCAAGGTAATATAAAAGGAAAAAATAATATATAAATCTGCATAGTTGGGGGCAAAACCTGAGCTGATTGATGGTTGGGCATGTTGTACCTGTTTGATATTAGGCTATGAGCCCACCTCTCATACCCTTTTTGAATGAAAGTCAGGTTGAGTTAACATGGCGCCTACAATTATTGAACTTCATATAGTCTCCTCACAAACCAGTGGGTGACGTCACAGAGACTGCCTGTGTTTTATCAAGTCCATGATTTATATTGTCTAAACTGACTGTTTGTTAGGTTTTAGCAGTTATCATCATGCCTTCTTTGTTTCCCCTCTCATAACTTGACTCCTGCAAATGAATAAGATGTATAGTCACAGGTATATTTTTTTTCGTTTGGTATCTAGAGCCTCAAGTGCTGCTGAAGTTTTTACATCTACAGGGATGTTATTTATGGTCTGAACACCTGTTAACATACTTGAGGACAAAAAAAAGGTCTTAGGCTGTATATTCATACATGCTTCTGCTCCAAATCACCCACACAGGTAAAATGCTGGTCCTGACAACAACTTGGGGTCAGTTCCTCAAACACTGTGCCGATCAACTGTCTTTTATTTTTCATTATATATCCAAGAGTTTATCAAAACAGCAAAGGGTTCTACCACTGTGAAAAAAATCAACAATTATACCAGTAGCAAAAAAAGGCTCCAAAGTGCATTAAGGATGTCAGTCCTGTGGTTCTGACCTCTTTGGGTCCAGTTTGGAGTCTGCAGCAAAATGGTGACTCTCTTCTACAACTGCATGGTTGAATCTGCCCTAACATTTGCTATCATAGCCTGGTTTGGTAACATTTCACTGGGTCTCTCTGACCTTTCAGCAACTTTTTTCAAGAGAGTGGCATCTAAAGCTCAGGACATCAGTCAGTGTCCTGAGCATCCCCTGCATGCTGAATTTGCACTCCGTTCCTCTGGTAGGAGATTCAGATTACCAACAGGACGAAAAACTTTTTAAAATGATCCAGTTTTAAGTATTTGGTTTTCATCACTGATATCTGATGGTATTCAATGGCAGTTCTTTCCTCCAGTTGCCCCCTGATGTATGATGGTGTTGCATCTATGTTTTCTTTGTAACCAGTTTGTGTGTTGATGTCGTTCATGTTTTGCGTTTTATTTCCAGGCTGTAAAGCAATATTTCTTCAGGGGACAATAAAGTGAAAGTTGAAGTAAAGATTTATATATAATCCTTTGAAACTCTCTTCTTTTTGCTGTTTTTCTCACTCGTGTGCCAGCTTACAAGATTACAGAAGATGAATCCACCAATAAAGATGTTTAAGTGATATTCAGTTTTAGGCGGTTTTATAGGATTTTTGACTTCAGATTTCACACTTTGATGGGGGAGTTTACGACTTCCCTAATGGAGTTCAGGCTCACCCCTGGGCTCCTCCCCTCATCCCATTCCAGCTTCCTCCTCTTATGCCTCCAGTTTTACAGTCCAGAGATAAATCCTTTTCATAGGCAGGCCAGAGAAGTGAACTTACTCTACCCTTATGAAAGGCTTTACTCACTTCCTGTAGTAGTGGCTGAAGGTTCAGGGGTGAGTGGGCTGCGCTAATGTCAACAGTGTACAGCTAGTGATTCTCCAGTGCAAAGCCCCTTAGGATAACAAGAGACGGCAGAATATTACGCTCTCTAAACTGGGTTGCATGGTCCATGGGAATCATGCCCTGCAGGAAAAAGGAACGGAGACCAGGGATTCATGTAATCCTGGAGTCCATATGGGAACAGGGATATCTTAGGTAGGGAGGAGATAAAGTTTATTGAACTGGAGAGGCCCCTTCTCATTGTTTTGTATTCATTCTAATTAAATTGGTCTTATTATATCTTTGCATTATTGGAAAAGTGTATTCACAATGTATTAAGTGTCATTATTGTCTTCCTTTGCTGGTTGCTTTTTTTCATGAAGAGAATCCTGAAAAGCATGTGTTGACATGTGTTAGGTAATCTACCTTTACTTTGACTTTCTCCTGCAGCTGAGAAACACAATTAGCGTGCCTGCTGAAGGATTCTGGGAACTAGATATTTGAGGATGTGTATGCACACACAGAGGGGAGGGTTCTGTTTGTTTATCTTTGGAAATGGCTTTGTGGGAATATCAGATTTGTCCCTAACTGGCACAGAGACTGACATCACTTCCTGTACCCAACTGTTGGCTCACTGTGGACGGCAACAAAGTGCATTCTTTGGGAACAGAGGCGTTTATCACATACAAGATGGGAGAGGGCTGTATTGATAAATGCGCTTTTACCATGCAGAGTCCAGTTAGACCCTTTTATCTTAAGCTGATTATAAACTGATGCTGAGTAACCTTTTAACCTGCTAATACAAAAAGTACACTTGCATATTTTTATTAGAAAATTGTGCTTGAATTTCACAGGCTTTTACTATCATAACGCTCCCCTTCAGCAACTCACTGTTTATCACTGAAAGGACAGAAGTTGGGGGTCTTGGGAGGATTCTCATTGAACATTATCCAAGTAATTACAGGGCTACTTACTTGATAATCTTTTTTTTTTTCTCTAAAGATAAGCAAACAGTCAAAATTAAGAATAAGAATAAGAGGAACCCCGAGGGGAAATTCACTTAGGCACCGTAAATGAAACCTGGCTAGACTGAATCACAGTCAGTGGATAAAATAGCTCAAATGTTTTTTTTTTCATATGGCCAACCTTCAGTCCTCCTTGTAGGTTAATGCCAAAGACTGTGAAATTCCTGGACATAGTGTTGTTGAGGTCACCCATTTTGGCAGCAGTCGCCATATTGGTAATGCTGTCTCAACCAAACATTTGGTCAAGCTCATAGACTGTATATAAGATGGACAGAGTCTGCCTCCTCGCTGGGTGAAGCCACTCCGAGAACAGCACCCTCTGATGGTGGGCTGCAGTACAGGTCATAAATCCCGCCTCCGCCAGCAAAGCTTATGGGACTGTGGACAAACTTTAGAAATGTATTACACAGAACATACATTTTTCTCCCCCCTGGTTGTGATGTTGACATATAGTTACAGTAAGACTGGTTTGTGCCCAAGTCCTTTTTTTTCTGTACAGCTCCGTTTTTTAAAGTTATTAGGGGGTTCATGTTTTCTATGATTGACACCTGGTACAGCCAATGGGCGTTCAGGGATACCGTAGCTCTTCCGGGGGAATACGCTGTTTGACCCGAGCGTCATCACAGGGACTCTCGGCGACTGCGCGGCCGAATGCGCACAACGCTTCTGCACAGCTCTGGTTTCAAGGAAGCGGAGAAAAACCCGGAATTACCGAGAGCTTTTTGGCTTCAAATCCGTATACAGGCGGAAGGCGGAACCACGGCGTCCATCTTATATACAGTCTACGGTCAAGCTACCAGAGGCGGGCCTTTAGCCTCCTAGCAAATGGCTTGCAAATGGCTACTACAGCCCATATATCATAGTTGGATCTTGATTTCTAGATCAAATGACTGACAAACACGCCATGCTTTGAGACACCAGGGGCCTATTCTACGACGCAAGTTCAACCTAGCGAGGTAGCCTTGGAGCTACCTTGCTTAACTTAGCACGGTAGCCAGCGGTCTCGCTAAACGGTCTCGAATGCATGTAAGGCGGAGCCCGCCGCATCTGACCAATCGCGAACATGGACCAGTCTGGAGCGTCAGAGCAGGCCGGAGAGCTCGCGTACTTTACAAACGAGGAGCAGGAGACGATCATGAGAAAGTATAAGGAATTCAAATCCATCATAAACCTCAAAAGCAACACCGTTGCCGCTGCAAAAGCACGGAAGAATTGCTGGCAGAAAATTGCCGACAGTCCCAATGCGTAAGTATAGTGCGCAAAAAATCTTTGATGCCATTATCACCCTGAAATAGCACTGTTCAACATGCGCTTTTAACATGAACCAGACATGTCTAATTCATTTCCAAGATGAATTCTTTCATTTGTTCATTCCTATCGTGTTTACATTTTTTTGTAGGCCATATGAGCCTTTCATAAAGGTGGTCATCCAGAAAAGTAAGTGGGTCCATGCAGTCCCTGAAAACTCTTGCGCGCCGGAGTGCTCCTCGGCCAATGCGAGCACCGAGGTCTATAGGATCCTCCAAGAACGGACAAGCCTTTTTTTGAGAGAGCTCATTGGTCAGTGGGCGGGGTTTTTATACTCGGTGAGTTCAATCTGGAACCTAACCTGCCCAGGAGCAGGTTAGCTGTTCAGCGTATGTTGTCATGGAGACTCGCCTCGCTAAGAAATGAACCCGTGTCGTAGGAAACCGCGAACTTACCCTCGAAGTTACCTTGCTAAGCACTAATCCTGCTTCGTAGAATAGGCCCCAGCTCTCATCTGTGCTTGTTTACATCTATAGAGTACAGCTATACAGCACTGTGGCAAGTGGCAGGTGAGTGCATTACAGCTTGGACAAAACATATAACTGGAGAGATGTGTCATGACCTCTGGGTATATGGGAGTGAAGTTTTCTTGTAAAAAACTTGGTGGTTAAAATGACTCAGAGTACAAACACAAAACCTCTTGGAGCATTACAAACTCATTACAACATCATTTTTGACCTGACTCCAGAGTATCTTTTTTATTTTTGAGGACATGCCCAGATTTCTATCAAATCTTTGTAAACCTTGTCTTGTCCAATTTTTTTTTTTCAGCTTGTGGTTTTGTTTCTTGAAAATGACCTCTTCAAAAGGATCAGTTTCCATGGCATATGTCCTTGAAAAGGATTATTATCTGTTGATCTTTTTTCCCTTTTAAAACATCATGTTTTCGGTTTCCACAAAAGCTTGTGGTTAAGTAAAAGGTGTGAAAATGAAACTAGGGCATTCAACTACCTTCTTTTCAGTCCTATCTGATTAACTGTAGTCAGACAACAGAAACACACAAATAAGACTCATTTTAAAATGAGTATCTCATTTTAATCACAGAGTCCCCCCAAATTTTCCAAAGTCACTCATTAATACTTCACCATTACAGTGTGAAGTCTTAACTGTGGAATGATGGGGTGGTGGTGGGTGGAGATGACTCTGGGGTGGCAGGACATGACATTAAAATGTGTATATCATGGCAAATGGTGAAGCAAAAAAGTAATGTTATGAAGTTATAAAGTTTGAACAGAAGGATATCAAGACTTATTTACGCTCTCACCTTCAAAATGATTCTCCTTCTGCATACTTGGATGTTTTATTCATTCTGTTGAGTGTAGCTCCTACAGCTGCATCAGATGCGTGCATCAGATACCTTTGCACATTTGTTTGTGGTGAATTTTACCAAATATTTACTGGTGCATACTCAAATACTCATTCTAACTTCACTTAGAAATTTGTGAGAGTGTTGGCAGGAATGTCAGGGTGACGTTTGGTTGAAAAATTTGGCTGTTAGCGTTCACATGTGCAGCTCATCCTGAAGTGATGTTTTTCAAGAGTCTGTGCATGTGTTCATACAGCTTTTTGAATTTTTTTCACAAAAAGTGCATTTATTCTCTTTTTTGTTGCTTGCGGTTTTTGATTCTATCTACCTGAATACACAAGAAGTATAGGAAATAGTGAATAAACTTAAACGCCCCTGACTTCTTACCTATTGAACTCTTACAACAAAATTCTTTAATGCTCATGTACATGGCTTGACTTTGTGACACAGATGATAGCTTTAATGCATGCCATTTTGAAACCTACACCTTTAATTTTAATCTACACTGGAGCAAATAAAATGTTTCAACACCTTTTAGCTTAAATGTGGCCTGAGATAACAGATTTTCATGCAGATTGTTTTAGTTTAATAAAGTAAAAGATTTTTAACCCTCTGGACATGACTGTCTGGTCTACCTGATCCGTCCTGAAAACCTGACTTGTACTGCGCATGTGCGAAGTGTACATCACTTCTTCTCCTCGCATTTCAATGCATTTTACGGCAGTTAGTCGTTACTATTGCTACCTACCTGATCCGTACTGCGCAGGTGCAAATTTATGTCACCTAAAAAACGTTATTTAAACTACCGATTGATTTTAGAAACCAGCTGGTGATGTAACAGGCTAGCGAGCAGGAGGCTCCAGGGCCAATGCCGAGGCATTTGCCGGAGCTCCTGCCCAGCACAGTGAGACCTTTTGGGCCACAGGGTGCCACCACCCAGTCAAAATTATTGTTCTCTGACTTTTCAAAGTATCAAGGGGGGATGCTCTGGAGGTGTGTGGCAACCCATTGTGCACCCTTCCTGGTGCTCTGCTTCAATCGGCGGAAACACACTGTTGAGGAGAAAAGCATGTAGCTGGTGATAAACTGAAGCATCTCTTCTGGCTGTAGCGAGCTGGCTGATGCTGAAGCTGTCAAACAAGTGTTGAAGCTGTAGCAAACCGCTAGGGGCAAAGAATTGCTGAGCTGTCGCAAAGATGGCTAGTAGAGGAAGTGACGTACATTTTGTACATGCGGAGTACAAATCGGGTATCCGGGACAGATTGGGTAGGGACAATGACACCAGCTGTGAAAATGGTTGACCAATCCCAGCATGCAAAGCTGAAAGAGTACTTTTGGATCCGTGGGTGAAGTTTGATGAATCTTTGTTAGACATCCTTATAAGATAACTTGATCTATACTTAGAAATGACTCAAGTTAATAGACTTAATATGGTGTAATTAACATTGCAAAAACATTGAGAACTTGGAAAGATAAAATCAAATTTTGAAATCCTGTCTCAGACTTTTTGGAGATGTCATTGTGTTCAAATAGTTGTTTTAGTTAGATGAATGATGAATGTGACTTAATCTCACAGCTGGACAGAGGCTGTTTCGGGGGACTGGGGCAATGACGAGATGTTGATGTTATGTCTATCAGGCTGGATCAGGATCACAAAGTCATGACTTTGTTAGTTTGTGTCCTGAAGTATCGTCCGCTGCTGTTGATTCAGAGAAAAATAGAAAGTCCTAAAAATGAGGCTCCCTATTGATGACGGTACAGAAGGTTCAAGCGTAAAATTGAGCTGCCCGGCCTTTCAGTGTAGTTTGGCTACAGGGCTAGTCTGCCTCAGTTGGCAGGATCAATAGTTGATGTAAAATACAATGAAGCTTAATAATAAAAGGGATCTCAGATATCAAGGATAAGCTTATGCAATATCCTTGGGAAATGAAGCATCCCACCACATTTTCAAAAAAAATCTTAAACCCAAAAGTGCACTGTAATTATCCTGTACCTTTCATGGTAATGGATCAAATTCATGTAACTAGTTTAGTTATTAAGATATTTCATTGTGGCTCACCACAGTATTTTTGTACAGCAGCCTCAGCAGTTTGGTACCAAGAAACTGAAACAATTCAGCAAGCTTTGAGGTCTATAATAGATGGTATTGTTGCTCATCCTGACTCTTGATAGTCATGATACATTTGAGAGGTTACTGTTAGAGCTGGAATATGAAAGCTACCCTCCAGTTTATGCTGGGTTTGTTGGATCTAATCTGTATTTGTGGTATAGTCTGCAGAGTGTCTGGTCAGCCCAGACTGGACTTGTTTTTCAGGCAGCTTGAACAACAGCTTCTCTCATTCCTCTGGTGTGGATGTTTGGCCTGGCTGAGTAAAAAGGCAGTTCTAGCAGCTGGATTGGACTTTCTCTGTACTCATAAGATGACCGAGAAAACAGAAAGATGGCTGGCGAGGAGGAGGTGACGGATGTGGGGGAGAGAGGCAGCTAGACAAGGTGACAAAAGACACAAAGCTGTGTCAGGAGAAGTGTTTCAAGCATTTTCTTCCCTCAGATAGTATAAGCATGTGTGATGGGAAGAAAAAAAAAACAATTTAAAATGGATCGAAAAAACTGCTGAAGTGAAAGATTTCAAAAAGAAGGTTTATCTCTCAATAATCAATCAATACTGCTCAATATCACGAAATATTGAGCAGTTCACCTCGATAACAATAAATGGATGATAACTACTCCACAAGCTGCTCACCCCCTCCCACATTAACTTCATCTACTTCAGCCGCAGCTCCAGCTGTTACAACTTATGAACCGTCCTCCATCTTTCTTTCTCCATCTTTCTTTCCCTCTTTGTTGCAGACTGGATGGAGTGGAGTCCAGCTCTGACATAGGACAGCGTCTTAAAGGGACATGAGACCATAGCCTACCTACACGCATCCAAAACCATCTTTTATTTATTTATTTTTTTGACATCAAACATATTGACACAGGCAAAATGACATTGGTTATTGTCGTACATTTCGGTATCTGTAAATTTTCAGTTTATCACCCAGCCCTAGATAACAAATAAAAATAGTAGTATATTTTATATAAATAGCCTTTGCATAAAGGTGCTATAATCACAATCTTTATCTGTCTATTCAAGGAGCTGTGGCCCAGTGGTATAGTCGGTGGTCTCCCAATCAGATGGTCAGGGGTCCGTCTGTTTACATACATGGTGTAGCACATGGGCTTTGTATTGGGTAGCCTAAAACGGTCGAATACAGGTGAAAATGGGCTGAAAGATGCCAAGAGTTTCTTATGAGTGTTTCAAAAGCAAACTACACTTAATGACGTCATTACTCATTTATCAGACACTGTACAGTATTACGCTGCTTAAAATTGTGCAAGAACTTGTCAATGATATCACCTTATGAGGCGGCTGAGGCTCAGCGGGTAGAGTCAGTCATCTTTCACTTTGAAGGTCAGGGGTTCAATCCCACATGCTGAAGTGTGCAAGACACTTGACCCCTGCCGCCCCATTGTCTGTGCCCAGTGGTCTGTGAATGGGATTAGTCAAAAACTGATTGGCTTCATACATACCAGCCTCTGCCATCAGTGTGTGAATGTGGTGTGAATGAGTGAATGTGACATGTAATGTAACACTTTTGGTGGTGAGAAGACAAGGGAAAGAGCATTTTAAATACAGTTTATTTAGCATTTATTTGATCAAATTGTTGTGCAGTCAAGAGAGGTGGAAGAGAAACTATCTTCATGAAGATAAAAGTGACCTCTTATAGAAGCCTTCTAGGGAAAGTGAAACATTTTTGGTGAAGTTTTGACCCCTTAAGAAATCAACTTGTTTTCTCCAAGTTTGGGGTGATGCGAAACAGTCAAATTTGGGATTATACATGGAATAGATAAAAGAAATTAAGAAAGGATAAAAAGGGTAAATGTTTCTATAGGGTCCCTGTACTGCCATTTTGGTCCACAACCTGGGCTGCACTTCAGAATCAGTGTGCTTCGTGGCTGTCTTTGTCATTGCCTTTTCTGTGGTTTGTTCTGTTGCTGATAAGCATGTTAGTCATTGTACCCAATGGTGAGAAAAGCGGCTATTAGAGGTCACGTTGAAAGTCAGTGATTATCATCTGGAGACAATGAACATAAGTTAATTTTCTAAAAGCAGGGCTTGTATTTGGTGAGACTCATTGGTCTGGGGAAGAGGATTTTGGACAGAATGACTGAGATCACCTTTTCCTAAGCGCTGAAATAACAGTACCATGCAACCATGTCCTACTTTTCTATCCTTGTAGTACCCTTTCCTCCCATACGCCTCCTTTTTCTGCTGTATTTCCAACCAATCCAAAAAAATCAGATCACCCCCCCTATGTGTAATCTTTTGGCAGTCTCCCAGAAAGAGCTACGTTTTCTTTGTTTGGCAGTTGTTTGTTATTCTCTTTGTGTGAGGGGAAAAAGTGAGTTGGAGTGCCCTCAGACATGTTTGTGGGAGTGAAGCTTGATGACATGGGTAGAGAGGGAATAGACTTGGGTCCTTTGGGAGGAAAAGGGAGGGAGGGGGATGGAGGTGGGCGGGAGTTGAAATACTGATGCATGCACCACAGGTTTTTGCCATTAAGCCTTGTCCTCTTATTTATCACTACAGCAAGTTCTGATATTTATGTTTTACATTAGAGATTCAGAAATGGTTTCTCTGGGCCTGGAGTTGGTTCACAAGCATCAGGAGACAGCATAAAGTCCAGGTTGAGACATCTGTCAAGGGTTTGGGATTTGTCTCAAGAGACAAGTAACAATAAAGCCTCTGTGTTTTTCTCACAACAAATAGGGGAGAGGGGAGCTATGGCATATACAGTCTCTGGCTTTATGCTGATATAAAAGTGGCTTATTGGGCAGCCTGACAGAGAAAACAATAGCAATGTGTTCTGAGTAAAAAAAAAAAAAAAAAAAAAAAAATCCCCCCTCAGTTGCACCCCACTACTGAGGCACCGTGTTTTTGGAGTCAGTTTTAGAGAATTTAACATTGTTATCTAACTGTCTTTCACTTAGACTTTAATGATTTCCAAATGCTCCATCTGATTGCAGTTGGCAGCCATTGTATGTTTAGCGTGATGTGTTTGAAATGCGAGCAGACCTTGGCTGGCATAAAGCTTTGGGGTAAAACACAAGGTTCGGGGGAAAACATGAGGCCTGACCCTGCAAAAAGAAAAAAAAAAAAAACCCAGCCACAGACATTCTCAGAGGATACACACTCGCTAATGGAAAAGAGGTGTTTGGCACTTCTCTCAAACCTCAGTGCTGTGCCACCCTGACTCCATGTTCGATGAGTATGTTCTTGTATGTGTTCAAGTTTCTCTCTGAATGCACAAAGTGGGTCACACAGATGTAAACTGTAAAAGAAGTTTACATTATGGGTCAGGAGGATTTTAGGCTGTGGTTAAATTTGTCAGCCATCTGGGAGCTCGTGGCTTGTTTCATATCATGCAGGAGAAATTGTGAATGCCGAGTGCAATCCTAAATAAGAATAGCTCTTTATTTGCCATATCTACAACAAAGTGAAGCAGACATTGGTAGAACCATTCTTTCTATTTCCAGGCTGCTATAATATTTTCCTCAGTTTCCCTTGGTAACACCTGGAGTTTGACTTATATCTAAAATCACCATCTCACAAGGTTCTAATTTAATAGATGTGTTTTTCACTATGGACTACAACAGAGCGAAGAGGTTTTTGGAAACTGCAGATATTTCCAGTCTGCTTACCTCAGAGAACCTTTGGCTCAACTAAAGAGCTTATGTTACACCAACGAGAATCATCAACAATAAGATCGCGTGCTGCACAAACAGCCAATATAATTTGACAGTGTATTTCTCTGAAGGCTTGTGAGCTCTTTAGCCAGGTCGTTGTCTTCAAATCTGTAAAAAGAAAGGTTGACTTCTTTATTCAGACACACTGAAGATCTGTTTAAGATGTATTTAGCTGTGAGAAATACATTGTAAGACATATAGGGGAGACTAGGGCTTGTTATCACATGGGTAAGTTGTCACATTGCAATTATCTTTGCCACCAGAGGGTATAACCAAAAAGTGAAATACTAGTTTTCTTCCTTTATATGGTCAGGGGTCGTGTCCTGTCTGAGAAGAGAAGAGCACATTGTGAGCTGAGATGAGCACCAATTAACCATTTTGCACAACCCAAAGAAAAAAATAACTTTATATATTTTAAAATAAGCTTCTTCCAGATAAAAATCTGAGCAGTGATACACGTGGTCTTGTTAGAGGAGAGATTAAGGCTTCCTGTCATACCTCAGTCATTGTTTTAAACTAATTTTAAGCTAAAGCTAGAATTAGCAAACAGTAGTTTGGGGCAACATGTTTCAGTCATTTTTGGGTTAGTTGTCACATGTTTAAAAGGGATTCAAATTGACATAGAGAGTCTGCTTATCAGCAGTTTTCATATTGAATTTTTGACTTTATTTTTACAGAGAAAAGAGTGGTTTAAAGGAGAGGAGAAAGTGAAAAGACATGGTCAGGAATTCCAAAAGAAAAACTAAACGTGGCAGTGCAGTACATGACGTGATGCTGAGGGCAGTCAGACAGATGACCTGAGCTAATAAATCAATCTGAAGTACAATAAAGGACTTTAATGTCAACTACCATACCTTGGCTCGGTACTGCAAAACATTAATTCCTGCCGAGATACAGAGTCAGAAAGCTCCAGTGCATGTTGCATTATATTTTATGTTAACGTTTGTTCAATGGCTACGATCAACAACTTTTTCTTGCTCAATGAAAAACATTTTCTGTGCCTGACTTTGATGTTCACTTTCATGTAAAAAAAATGAGAACAACAATTATTTTGTCCTTGTTATACTAGCTGTGAAATCCACTGTGACATCTTACCTCATGTAGTGAGACAACTTACCCCATGGTGGGGCAACATCTCACATGTTCACACTCTCTGTTTGATTGCTGATAACTCTGCACTGACTCAAGATATAAAAATGACATGCAAAATAAATACCTGAGACTTTGGTCTTTCATCTGGTACACATTTTGTTTATGATGTATTGCATACAAGAAATATATGAGTGTAAAAAGCGTGACAACATGCCCCAGTCTCCCCTACCTGTCAGTCAAATCAGCCATTGATGAACGCCACGCATTATAAATGACAGATCATCTTAAGTGTTGTGTACTTCAAATATTGTACCCTAGAGCACACTGTCAATTAGTTAACACTGTGTGAATAAGTAGCATTACATAAAGGTTAATGAGGACTTTCAAGGAGCTGCGACTGTGTTTAAGTCAAGTGGTCCAGACATTAACGGATCACGAAAACTGCTCATTCCATCATTTTAACTAACTGTGAAGTAGACAAAACACAGATAGAGACCCAGCAGACCCTAGCCTCAGTGTCCTGTCACCCTGCTGAGTTCTACTTTGTGTGATTGACCAAGCTCAGTCACTGTTTTAGTAGTTAGCCGCAACAAAGGCTCTGACTTAAATAAAATCCTTTATAAGAGAGCAAAAGCATGATCCATGTGTCTGAATGACTTCTAATAGCTTTGCACTAAAAATGGATTTCAAGTAAACAAGTAAGTTAAAAGCATTTTTTTAATGGGCTACAATTAATTTAAGTGTTTTAAACAGACAAAGGAAAATAACTCCAGATACCTCATCAGAAAGGATTAAGATAAATGCAGCAGGGACTAACATATTCTCTTGCAGCTTGTATAGCATTGAGTCTTTTGATAAGAGGATCAGGCTGCATAAAGTTTTCTTTTCCATCTTGTAGTGTGAAGCTCATTCTGGTGAGACTTTCTGCAGCACTCCCTTAAGACACAGATGACTTCTACAACTTTTCCCCACAGACTTTAATTCGTCAAATCATTCGAGCTTATTACTGTGCCTGATTAATAAAACAACTTTTGTCATCACCACAGGTCCATTTCGCAGCCCCTGTGAGCTGCTGCCTGTTGGGGTTGGACATCCTGTGCAGGCCATGTTGAAGAGCTTCACCGCACTGTCAGGCTGTGCAAGCCGAGGCACTACCAGCCTCCCCCAGGAGGTCCACATCATCAACCTGAGAGGACATGCTCCAGAGGGACTAGACAACACCCTGGCAGAAGTGAGTCATCCTCAACTAAAGACCTAACCTACGAATTATAGTCTCCACCACAATAATAAACTCTTCAATAAAACAGATTAAATTAGACTTTGAGACGGTGAGCGATCATAAGCCCTCTCATCTTTTTGTTATTTGTATCATTTAACTCATACAGATGCAATAACTGCTGCATTGGATATTTCCACTGCCTTTGTTTTTCTCTTATTTCTTCTATTTTAACACATGGCTCTGATGAAGCCTTCAATTCCTTTTCCCTTTACTCAGAGGAAGCTTCCTGGCCAAGGTTAGGGAGGAAAGGCAGGGTCACAAGTTACAGAGTGAAGCTGACATGTCTTCACTGAACAGCTGATGGACAAAGTAATTTGATTCGGTGACTTACTGGACTAGTCTTGTACTAGATGCTAAGGTGACTGAGCTTTAGCGTATCTCATTGATCTTTTTATTTTGCTGTATTACATAATACAACCCAAAAGGTGCACTGAAGTAAACTTAGTGTGGAGGATGACAGACATACGGTCTTTAAGACTTACTTAAAAGTCTTCTGCTAGAGATTTTTCTACCACATAATTGTTCTGAGCAGATTGTTTAATTGATGTAATTGAAGCTGTCAGCACATTTACAGATAATAGTTCATGCAGGTTTTGATACCCCTCCCTGTCTCAAGGTGATTTGCTGTATGTCTCATTGCAGGTCTTTTCAAAGTTAGCCATAGTTTGTTCATGAATCATGAGCCCACGGCTTAAAAAAATGCTGTGTCTGGATTTTAAACTGTCCAAGACTCCCATCCCCCTCAGTCACTTTAGTGTGAAAGGCAGCATGTATAGACTTGTCATGACACTTCTGCTGCTGATTTAGGTTTAAACCTTCTCAAGGCCAAACATACAGAAATAGTGTGTGTGAGCACGCTGCATCAGCTGGTAAATACAGGAATGACTCGATTTCCTGTGCTTGTTCTGAAGCTTCACAACACAGACTTATATGACAGATTACTGCAATCAAAGTATGAAGAGAAATTTGTCATGCAATGGTATAACCATGTGTTTCATTCCACCATCTCACATTATGGGCTTTCATTTGAGTAGTGAGATTTGTCAGAGTGTGGTAATTTTTAGTCAACAGTGAATTAAAAATTGTAGATTTATGTGCATGACAAGTATTGCAATAGAAATTGAAATTGGAGCAGACTGGGTTTAACATGGCTAAGATTCAAAATACGATTGGGGATATCTGCAGTTCATTAGTTAGAATTGATCTGAGATCATTTAAATTTGGATTATAATGAAATAATTTTATAATTCAAACCAATCATTTTGGAATGTATTTGACATCATTTTGTGATTTTCTCACTTTAGAAAAATTGAAGCTCAGTTTGCTTTGTAGATGACCTCTCAAAATAACTCTCACAAAAAGGCCAGAAAAACCTTTACCTTGAATGTCTGTGAAATCCATCTCTTCACATCAGTTTATCCAGCTGTTGGTAACCCATCACCTTCATGGTCAAAGGAGGACTTGTGGGGAGGAGGCACAAATCCAGCTGTCTGTTTCCCAGCCTACAGCCTTGGCTGTAGAAGGTCACTGAGGCTGGGGTTGATATTAAGTGACCCAGCTGCACGTCCATTCTGTGAGTGGACGTTTCTGTTTATGATGAGATAAAATCTCCTTAAGGACACTTAGACAGTCTGCCCACCCCTGCCCTGTCCTTGATTGCATTTTCACCTGGATTGTGGGCACAGATCAGCCTGTTCGGACACAAACAACCTCCTCCAAAGTGCTTGCCTTGGACATTACTCTGCTGGAGGGGCGCTGTGTGCGTCAGTCTGGTCTTATTGACACTATCTGTTCAGAATCTCTCATGATAGTGAAAGTGAATGATCCGGTGGGAGAAAGGAATAAAACTTAACAAGGCATCTTAAAATGATTTACACTGAAACTCCCAAGGCTGTGGAAAAGGCTCAAAGCTGAGTCATGAGTCATCCCATTCCTCACTTATGAAGCCAATCAAAAGCTAATAAAGTTGGAGGTTTTTTCTCACCCAATGAAGGGTTTTTCAAAATTTGCAACACTTTTTCCCCATAAAAAGGGGATATTCCACCAGAATTGACTATTTATCGTCAAACAGATGCATTTTTAGGTTTGAACTGTGGTGCTGAAAAGTTTCTTGCTTGCTACAACAGTTAATGACAGAGGTTTTGGCAAAACAGACCACAGTCTTATGTGAAGGAATAACAAGTAGCCACCACCGTGAGGCTGTATCTTTAGCTAATGGCTGTTCCCATAATGCTAACACACTTTACTACCTGGATGTAATCAAGCATGGGGACATGTTATAGTGCAATTAGTTTGGCAGTATATTGATCTAAAACATGGATCTAAAGTCAGATGTAGGCTCTGGTTGGCAAACTTAACTAGAACAATGTGTAAGCAGCACATGCATGTTCCTGTAAGTAGCACTGAAATTAGTCTAGATACTGATCAGTGGCTTTACAGTTGCTGCAACCAAACAACCAAAAGGATGTTAAAGATATTTGGATTCTTTTTGCAATGCAGCTTGAAAACTCTGATTGGAGTATCACAACATATACTTCATATAAAAAAAAGAAAAACTGATATCTTGAGGAGAGTTGAGAGAAAAAGTTTTAAGTTGCTACCTAAAACCATAAACCATAATCTTGCAAATGCTCAATAAATAAGGTAACATCAGCTCCAGTGTCTATAAAATAGCCCTATGTTTTCATGCCTCTACACAAAATTTACCTATTATTTCTCCAGTTTATACAAAAGCTGACATTTGAAGGTTATACTTAATGAGGGAGCAGGACAAAGGTATAGGCCATGTAATAAGAGATACTTTGCAGAAAACACCAACCGTTTCAAAAATGATTGAACAAGTCCTTTAATTTTGGTGGTTTAACCTATTTTAGTCGTCAAATGTGGGAGCGTTCAGATTGTTTCCTCTCTAAGTAATGGGTGTTTTTCCCTGTTTGCTTTGGCATGCGTATCCTTTGCTTATTTTTGAAGTCAGCAGAGAGGTGGCTGCTCGGTCTGTGAATAAGTCGCTTTCTCCCCTTCACCTCTGCTGATGTTTGAGGAAGTGGTGTCTGGGCCACAGAACAGACAGTGTTGGGATGTTTGGAGTGATGGCCTGCAGGACAAAAGGTGCCTGTGGCTGATGTTTTTCTGTGCTGGACTGGATTGCTTGTCGGGGTTGAGAGGCTGCCTGAAAACATGCTGTGCCCCAGTGACTCCTCACTAAGTATTTGCAAAGCCCAGTTTTTAACCAGGTATGGGACTGCATGTGTTGTTGCACATGGTCTGCATGGACTAATGCACACAAAGGGGATCACATGGTCCATTTCAGACAGTTTTACACACACACTCTGAGGCAGACACACATCTTGCAGCTGCGATGTGTGAGGCCTGCTTCACATCTCTTTCACAGCCATGTGTAAAAGTTGCGGCTTGCAGTTTGTCCATATTTTTCAGTAAAGACGTGAGAGCAATGAATCGTTTCCTGCCTGCCCCGGTGAACCCACTCTGTATGGGTATTAACTAAGGGGTATGAACTGTGAGCCACAGAAAGAAATGCACAGCTGGCCTTGACTCAGAATACACACTTTGGCCCCTGGCCAATTTCCACACTAAAGCTGAGTTATTAAGTGCAACAGAACACCTCAGCAGTGACTGTGCATAGTGCGTCGTCTGGAATACCCTCACATTTACAGGTCATGCAGTCAGCGTAGAATAACACACCGGAGAGAGAAAATATGCTAATCATCCATTCCAGTAGCCTAAAGCTAGAATTAGCCATAATAATATTTTGGATAGTATTGTGATGATGCACAAGCCATGTGCTCAGATCTGTTGGAGTAAAAGTATGGCAGTGCCAAGTATGCAGTAAATCAGTCATTTTTTTCTTGCCATGAAGCCCCCATAGTTGAAGTATGCATCCAATCACAAAACATATTTAGAGTTACTGGTGACAACAGCTGCATGGCTGTTATATCGTATTTACAAAGATTCTCACGCTAGTTCTGAAGCAACAAAATTTCAACTCACTGAGTATTCTGAAAGTAAGAAAACACTCAGAAAATGGTAAAATTTCCAGTCTTATTTTTAGAGCCGTTGGTTGTATTTGTTTTGGTTTAAAATCTTTATTTTTTGTAATTGTCCTGGGGCTACAGCAGGTGGCTTAAATTCCTATGTCTGTCCATTGTAAGTAGAAGAAGACGCAGGTGGCAGGTGTTTCTGTAGCTGGAGAGGTACACAGTTTTTAACCATCAACATCTTGGTCGCCATTGTTTGGTTTTGTCTTTGTCTTTTATTTGCTCTTGGTCGCAACAAGTCAGGGAGAATAAACACAGAAAATGTGACTTTGATGAACTGTTTCATTCACGCTGGGAAACTAGTCAGCAAAAGAAGATGCTTCAACTGTAAATCTGGCTAAAAGAACACCTTGGTGTATTTTTGACCAACATCGAAAGTCAGGAGTTAAAGTCACATCATGCAGCTGACTAACTTCAAAACAAATATTCACATTTATTCAATTGTAAAGTACTCAAGATCTCCCCCTCCCTGCCCTCAAAGCCTTTTTTTGTTGCTGTAATCCATGGGTGGAGTGGGTATGATGTTGCTGAAAGCCCTGAGGGCACACACTTCCCGTTACCAATCTTTGTCTGCTTTTCTGAGTATGTGCTTGAAGGCAAATACAGAGATTGAGGAGAATTTTGACAGATGGAATAAATCAAGAATGACTAAAAAGGAGATCAGACATTTGAAAATTGGCAGTAGAGTTAATTGTAGGATGAAACTTAAGCAGCATCAAACTGAAAAAAATGACCAACTGTTACATAATATTTCTTAAAGAGTCTCCAAAGCCAGAGCAGACGTGGACAGACAGGTTTCATTTCAAATAAATCTTATGTATATGGTTGAGCGAGACAAATGCGACCCAGCGGGCCTGATAAAACTGGCCAAAACATCCTTAAAAGTGCCTTTATTATGCTGGAAAGACTTTTTATCGAATGGCAGAACAGGTCTGTCAGTTGATTGGTGGTCAGTTGGACTGACACATTCATGGTTCACAATCTGCAGTGCCGTCAGCAATGCATTGTATCTAAAAGAAGCACTTTTCAGTGGTTTTCTGTGTTTTGTCCTGAAACGAGACATGCCCCAGACAACGCCCACCTAGCATTAGCTAAGCATATTATCCCCCCATAACTCTCCTGTGTTCTGAAACTTAAATATTTTTATGGTAATCTGGATTCCTACTTTACATTCTTCGAGACAGTGGGCTGTTTGGGTCACAGGGTCCAAACTCTCCTTTTTCACAGAATGACCAGGGCATAAATTGGCTTGTGTGAACATTTTTTCTATGCTTTAAAAGAGTTATTCACGTTTGTCTGAAACGGAGACCAACAGTTACATCAGCTCTGATGAATATGATCAAAGAAACAGAAGCCCCTTTTTTACTCTTGTACCAATGTGGGCCTCTAAAAGAAAGACAGTCTAGGCTCAATATCCCGGAATAGGACTATTAAAGTGACTGTTCTTGGCTTGTAGTGGCAATACGTGTCAAATATCGGCACAATCATTTTCACATTTCCACAGAATTTGACTTGATTGAATAAAAAGGATCTAATCTTTGAGAGCAAGAAAACCAATGACAGTTAGAGTGAGCTGTCCTGCAGACATGCTGAAATTTCATCCAAGCGTCTAACCCCTTGGGATTAAGAGGCAAAATATTTTTTTGTGGTTTGACTACTGACCTGAAGGTGTTTTGCCATTTAAGCTCAAATCAAAACAATGACCTCATTTTGGAGTTCTTTTTTCTGATCCCTTACACTCTGGTTCAGCAGTGTAGGTATCAAGTTTGAACATTGTTTCCATATGTTTCTGCTGTCAGACACTGAAGTGGCCTTCTGCACCTTGTATAAAAGCCATCAACACCACGTGTGCATGGATGTAGAGTTTGGCATTATGGTGGACACCCTTGTCCCAAGTGGAAGCTTAAATCCAGAACAAAAAAGCTACAGGATTGAAGAGGCCTGTCTGGGCATACAGCCGGGTGATAGGGTGGAAAATAAACAAAAGGGGCCAGTGGTATCTGAAATCAGCCATCTTTCTGTAATCAGCTCACCAAAAGCAAACATCAAACACAGCCACTTGCTGTGGATCAGGGTGAGGCAGAGCAGATGATTGCTTTATCAGCTGGAATTTGCAGATATCTTGTGTGAGTGACTCTAGCTGGAAGAACTCACGAGGCTGAGAGGACAACAGCAGATATGAGTGGGGCTTAAACACATGACACATGACTTTTGTAGGGCTTTTGAATGGACGGACACTGTTATAAAGCATTCAGGGCTGTACCTGACTCAGTTAAATGATGTTAACTGTACAATACAAAGACTAAGATGTGATTTTAACTTTTTTTATACAGTTCTTTCTCATGCTTAGAGCCTAGATTAGCCCACATGGATCTAATGCTATCTGCAGAGTACTTGTTTTCCAGTAAGCACTGGCTGTCGCCCTGATATCAGCAACTTTTATCTTCGTGTTTCCTCCTATGCCACATGTAATTTTTATTAAAGCTCCTGTTTTAAAGAATGAAATGAGTACTGGTTTCTCTTTCTGACCCACAAAGGCAAATACGACCATCAGCTTAAAATCTTTCTGTTTCTATGAGGTTATTTTTAGGGTCTGAAACCTCTAGTGGAGGGAAGATGTCAGTTAAAGTAATTACTGTAACTGGACTTTGTTTTCATTTTAAATAGCCCACACTTCCAATCAGTGGTATAATGTTAAATCAAATAGGACAGGTTCTCATAGGCCATCGCGGGCGCCATGCTGAATATGACCGGTTACTTGCCTTTCAGATGTAGGACTTTTGATGATTCTTCAATGCAATGCTTTCTGGCCTCGTTTTGACTCCATATATTTGAACCTGAAACTTTGAACCCCAGCAGAATATGTGCTTATGAAATGACTTTTACTGCAAGTCAGTTAATAAAAGTTTTATGTAATCTAGCTGATAAATCATGGTTTTGACCAAGTACAAATGAAAACAAAGACCAAGTTGAAAATTAAGTCTCAGTTCGTGCTAAATGAGATTGGGTTTTCTTTCCTTCTGATCCAGTGCTATGGCCTCGGTGCTGTTATTTTCCTCAGCCTGTCCCTCGATTCTGCCATATCACTCAGATCATTATCAGGACGTCCTGTCTCACTTTGACGTCTTTTCAGGCTGTTCAGGCTTCTCGAAGCTTGGCGTTGAGTGCAGACTGATTAGCATCACAGTTCAGGGGGGAAGGCTCCAGGTAGCATCCCCATCGCACTCACAAATATGTGGGTGGCACTGATAAGGGCAGTCAACAGGTTTTTTTTCGTCTTCTTCTAGGCCCCTCCATCACTTAGCTCCTCTGCTCGAGCTCCTCCCTCTTCCCTCTGTACTCCCTCAGTGATCCAGAAAGAACCAAGATCCAGACAGACAAGACAAATGCACATGCACACACATCAGATAGCACAGTGTGATTGGTTCCAGACAGTGTTTTCTGCTCTTGGAGCCATGACTTCTGAGTTCCCGGGCAGATCTCTTTGGTGTTGGGTTTTGTAGTGTTTGAGTTTATAATAATTTTTATAATGTTGGTTATTAATTAACTATAGCCCAAATAATGTGGGAATTTTTTTTTAACTAGCATGAGATGAAAGAAATCGCCTGGGCTGTGATTGTGGCTGATATTTTAATTATGTTGCTGTCAAAGTAGACCTCCTTTGCTTTGCTTGTACACATTGAAATTATGCACCAATATGTCTTTGCAAAGAAAAATAAATAAATAAATCCTGTAATTTTGCTGCATACAAGCCAGAGTGACAATGTTTAATCAGGACAAATATACACAAATCCTGATACCAGTAAGAAAGATCAAAAACTTTTACTTAAAAAATGTAGACAACGGAAAAAGACTGAAACTCACACCGGTAAGAGACAAACTGGCACTGAATCAAAGGAACACAGAGACTTTGGCCTTGTACACATGTAGCCAGGTATTTTTATAAACGAATATCCAACCCTATTCATTCTGTGTTTCATGTTTGTGGAAGTCAGGACAATTGGATAGAATGGGTCTAAAGTTTTTTGGCAAATACTAACAACTCCAGGTCTGGCATGTTTATAACCACGGTCAATAGCACATTTATGGAGTTTTGTGTGGATGGGATTTTATTGGAAAACGATGATGTGTGTTTGTAACTTTTTTTTTTTTCAAAGGTAGGGGGTTGGATATTTGTTTATAAAAATACCAAGTACGCTATGTGTGTACAAGGCCTCAATACTCAAGGTGAGTGGAGACAATCAGACACAGGTGAAACACATTAGGGAGGTGGGCAGGTCATCACAGAATGGGAACACGGGAAGGCAGGAAGTGGAGGATCTAAAGCAAGACACAGGTGAGTATCAAAATAAAACAGGAAACACATGAAACTGTAGGATAACAAAAGGTAAATTTACTATAGGGAAGTGATACACATCCTGTGCAAGATGTATTGTGCTCTATTTTTACTGTTTTTGATCTTCAGTTTTTATGCCTAAGACTTCTCCTAGCTGAAATATGAATATTCACTGAAATGACAGAGGAATCGGTTAATTTTAAACATCACCAGGCACCTAATGAGCTTTGTCAATAATGGAAACTGCAAGCTCTGATACTGAGCTCTGACTGCGGGGTGTCAGTGTTATGAAAGTATCCTATAACAGTGTTGATGCTCTGTGTTTATGAAGCACACTTGAAACTTGGTTTAGCTGGCCTGAAAGGTCATGAAATTACAACCACATGCTGAAGACAGAGCAAACAAATCACCCTTTATAATTACAGCCATCAGTAGGTTCTAAATCTAAGCACGGAGCTTTGTTATGAAAGACAGGATTGCGTATGATTCATCATTTGGGTTCCGGCTGACGCTGTTTGTTGTTGAAGCTGAAAGTTGAGCTGAAAGTTGAGGCTGTTTTGGTATTTTTTTGAACATTTCCATTGTTTACATACACTACCACCACTAATGGTATGCTCCCTGATGGGCCTGGCTTATCCTGCTACAGCTGTCGTCCCCTGTGTGGAGTGTAGTTTCAGTAACGTGATAGGTCCCCATCCTTTGCTGCTGGCATAAGCGCCCCATAACTCTGAAAAACCCTGGATTCACAAACCCCTGTGCCAGCCTCCTGATGATCAATCAAGTGTGCTCTCTTGATCCTGGTGGACTCTCTGCTCTCTCTAGGGTTCAGTGAAGGGGACAGAAACTCAGTGGCGCTGCTCTAAGAGGCTGTGTGAAGCCTTCTGTTTCAGCATTTCTCCTCTTCACACCCTGGCTGTCTTTTTGGTTTGTTGCTATGTAAACTGTGACCTTGTTACGGTAACCCTGTGGGCAAGGATGCTCACCAGCTGCTGTTGAATCGTAATCATCACTTACATTGTGCAACCCAGCTCTGGGGTCACAACTGATAGAGCTCGGTTGACTGTTTACTTGCTCAACGTTGAATAACAGCCTGTAGTTACTCAAGTTTTCCCTTTTTCACCATCAACTTCTCTTGGCACTAGGCTTTCTGTTTGTGTTTGGTTTTCAGGTGACTCACGTCTTCTGGAAATGTCTCTGTCTGGGTTTAATTTCCTCATCTTTTACAACTCGCTCCCTTTCACTCACTCAAGTTCTCCTTCTGTCTTTCTCTTCCATCTCTCAAAGCCAGGGCCTCAAAGCCAGGCCAGGTATGAGCATATCTTGGTTTTTGTTATTCTCAGAGGAACGATGAACATGCTTTTTCCACAGTCTGGAGTAAGTGGAACAAATATGCACATAAAAAAAAGAACTAGAGCAGTGAGTCTCTCATCTGTTTGTTTGGATCATTATCTGGTTTGCAGCACAAAAAGCTGCTCAGTAATATCTTCCATTTGCTCTCAGAGTAATGATTCTGGCAGCACATTACTGGACTACGGCACTAACACTCATCTGTGTTGCTATTCTCCAGCCTTGGAATCTACAAAGGACCGATAATAAGGCTTTGGTTATTCATGTCCTCTCCGTCTTTGCTGTCTGTGTCCCTTTTTATGGGCTTCATACCAGCATCACAATGACAAGTCTTTGAACGCAGAGTATCTACCAGAAGATAAAAATCACACTCCACTGACTGGAATACATATCTCCTCACGTGACAAAGGTGGGTTTAGCGCACAGATCACAACATAAACTCCAAAAATGGCATTAAAATCGGAACCATCTGTGCGTAAATGACGCATCGCGCTCCGTGGCCTGGCTCTTTCTTTCATAGATGTTGGCATATAAAATAAATTTGGCCCACAAAACTGAATATTATAATATCCGTATGTCGGCTTAAAGTAGATAACGCATCTGAGCACTGAAACAAATCAGCTGTTCAGCCGCAGCAGCAAGCAAGACGGACAGAGGACACAGAGACGTGTCCAGGTCGAGCTGTGCGAGAAATAAGAGGAAGAAAGAAAAGGAGGGAGACACATTACATATCTTGTTAACTTCATCATGTGTGTTTATTTACTAGATATTTAATTTAATTTGATGCAGTTTCAGCTGTATTGATTCGGTCAGGTTGTGTGCCCAAACGCGTGCCAAACGCGCTCATCAGATCAGATATAGATCAGAATATATCGATATAGATCTAAATGTATGTGCTGACTCAGATTAATAGTTGTTGATGATTATTTATTGCACTGAAATGTGCCTGACACTGTGGAAACCTGCCGGTGAGGCATCAGTGACGTATGTCGATACGCCGCCGGTCTACCAAAATACTACTAGACCAGCTGCGTTCCGCCTTGCGCTGAAAGCTGACCAGGTTTGAATCGGCGAGCTTTCAGCGCACGTTACACGCCGGTGGCGAGCACGAAAATGTCACTGCGCCAGCTGATTCTGTCAACACCTCCCCCTGCCACGCCACCACGCCCAGCTTGGCGGATCTCGGCTTGCCTCCGTGCGACTCAGTCCACGAAAATACCAAACTCGCCTTACGCCGGGCTCCGCCAGACAAAAATACAACTGCGCGGGGCTCGCCGCCCTCCGCCGCCTCACCGGCGCGAACGAAAATAGAGCCCATTGTGTAGATGAGATATTTTGGAGCCAAAAGATGTGCACACTCAGAAAAATTAACCATGACATAGTTTATTTACACAAGGTATTTACATCTATTTGATTTTGTTTAAATTATAAAATTTCTTAGAATTCATTTATTCAGACGTCTTAAAATCAGCAAAAATATGTTATTCTGAAAAGAATCCAATTTAATCAGTTAAAATATATGAATTTAGTTTAAATGTGATAAGCTGTGGCTCAACCAAGATTCATTTAGTTAAAATTTATGAGACAGAAACAAATACGATTTATCAGTGATGAATACGTAAATCTTCATCATTTATTCTAAACACATGGCTTTATTGTTATTATTACATAAATCTAATTCTTAATGTGTCATTTACATTTTTACATTTGACCGAAAAATATGCTGTACATAGAGTTTATTGGCCTGTTTATGTTCAATCTAAGTCATTCAAATGGATTGAAATTTTGTATGCAATGAGGCCTAAATATTTCTGTGAGTGCAGAAGCAGTTTGCTGATGTGGTATCGATGTCACACCTCTTCAGCTTGCCAAAGCACACATTTACCCTACCCAGAGGATCCCTCAGTTCAGGTCAGTTTCCAGCATGACAGATCTTTGTGTCACTTTGTAGTGGACCATAGACTGTATATAGTTTGAACAGCATGACTCCGCCTCCTGACATTGTACGAATTTGAAGCTAAATTGCTCTTGTTTTTTCTGGGATTTTCTCAATTTCCTGAAACCGGCATTTGCGCAGGAGCATTTGGTAGGAGAATCACTGTGATGATGCGCAATCTTTGTGCGCCCACTGGCTGTATCAAGTGTCAATCATAGAAAACATGAACCCCCTAATAACTCTTAAAATTGGAGCTGCACAGAAAAAAAGAGCACAAACCAGTCTTACAATGACTACGTGTCAACATCGCAAGCAGGGGGGATAAACACTAATATTCAATGTAATAAATATCCATTCCACGTCCAGTCTATATACTTGATACTTGCAGTTGTAGGAAGTTCAATAACTATTAGTTGTTGTTACCTTTCACTCACTGTTTCTTTTCTGCTTCTTTTGGATGAGACGGCTGCAGGAGCTGCATCTATCACCAGAGCTGTCAGTGATGGTGTCACATTTGATCTTTATAGCACCGAACAGCACAATAAAGCTGAGCTTTGTAGGATGGACACCTGGATATAAATAGGCATGATAAGATATAACTATAATGACAGAAAGTATATTAGAGGAAAGACTTTTTTAATATGGATTTAATAGTCTGACTCATGTACAATCTGTTACCATGGAAGAGGCCGAGTTTATGTCCTTTCCTGCAGCATGTCAGTAGGGGGAGCCCTACATGTTTCAGAGGCTATTTTGATATCCATCAACATGGTCTGTGATATTTACCTGAAATAGCTGAGTGATTTCCTTAATAATCTGCGCTCACTTATTCTTTCTTTCAAGGAGAGAACAGGGAGTGACATCAGGAAATGAGCCACTGGCTGAAAGTAAACCTGGGCCAGCCGTTTGAGGCCTAACCTCTATGAGGTGCTCGTGTTGGTCACTAGGCCAAAGGCGCCTAGCTTTTCTTTATTTTAGTGATAAAACTCTCAACCCTTTGTTTTACTTCAGATAGAAAAGTTGAATAAGGTGAATAACGTTATCTCACACTGATTGCAGGCCACTGAATTGAATCCAAACAGAGTTGGAACAGGGCAGATATTATAGTGATGTTAATATGAACTGTATTATTTTCAGAAAAGTAAACAAAAACATGATGAAACTTAACTGCTTGTTACTGATGATTTTGAGTCACCTTACTAGTCTTAAGAATCAGCTGTTGGAATTCTTGTACCTGTTAGATCTAACAAGACCTGCCACCAACACTAACCGCAAGTTTTACCATGGATCACTGTAAACATGGATTTGATATGCGAGAAACATTTGAATTGCAATGAGCTAGGTTTTTTTAAGTTTAATATCATGGACGATAAATTTGACATACATCCATAGACTGTATATAGAATGGCGCCGTCTGCCTCTTCACTGGGTGAATCCTCCATGAGAACAGCACCCTCTGGTGACAGGCTGCAGTACAGATCATAAATCTGGCCTCCTCCAGTTCTCCTTATGGAGCTGTGAACAAACTTCAGAAATTTATTACACGGACTGTAAATTTTCCTCCGCCCTGGTTGGGATGTTGACATGTTGTTACTGTCAGACTTGTTTGTGCTTGAAGCCTCTTTTTTCTGTGCAGCTCCATTTTTAACTTGATACAGCCCATGAGTGTACAAAGATTGCATGGCTCACCCAGGCGATTGAGCAGAAAGTCATTAAAGCGACTCTCTCGCTGAATGCGTACAATGCTACTGCGCAAGTGGTGGCTCTAGGAAGTGGAGGAAATCCCAGAAATACAGAGAGATTCAGCTTCAAATTCGTATAATGATGGAAGGCGAAATGGAAGGTATGTAGTGAAAGTTTTGCACTTACAAAAGCAGCAGGAACTCAGCATTAATGAAAAAAAAAGACTTTAATTAATGATGTAGATCTTCATCTTGATGATGTGCACACCGTGACCATATTAAAACAAATTACTGCCGTGATTGTTCCTCACAGGTTTTAATGGTTCTTGCTCATTCAGACTCTCCTAATATGAGACTGTCAACTCATATTTACGACCCCGGTCATCATAATTACCAATCATTTATTCCATTTTTAGGTTCAATGGAGGCACAAAGGCTGTATTTATTCAGAAAAGGCGTAAGGCCAATATTTTTGCAGGCCGTGACTGATTAAGTTACTGCCGGGGTCTTTATATCACATAATGTGAATCCTTGTGAATTAAATTAGTGATTTACAGGCTTTAACTGCTGACACACAGGATGGAGCTAATGTGATTAGTCTGGGAACACAGAGGAGAGGAAGTTTCAAGTGTCTCATCAAAGTTACTGAGAACAATTGAGAGTTCGAGCACATCTTAAGAAATCTTTGGTTAAGGTGATAATTAAAACTATTCTGCTCTGTAAAATGGATCATAGAGAGCCAGATTACTGCCTCAGATACAACCTCAGTGCATGCTTTGATTGTGAGCCACTTGACTTGAAATGGTCCAAGTGGTCCAGGCAACTCTTGCACTGAAAACAAGTAAACAACAGCAAAACATGGAGAGTGTTTTCCCCATTTCTCTACCAGACTGTGAAAATCTATTTTAATAGCAGTCTGAGAACCAAAGGCATAGTTGCATACTGTAGAGATGCTAACAGAGCCCCACTACTTTCTATTTTTTCACTCTGTTAACAAAGACTCCACTGTGTGAAAGTTCAGATCCCACCGAGGCTACTTATCAGAGCTAAGCAAGTGCCTTTTAGGAAGAACACAACACACCATCTTTGTGAAATTATCTACAAAGTGAGTACACAAACAACTACAGACCTCGATAAAGAAGAACAATCTACCACATTATAGCTCTGTATTTAAACCAACAAATATTTCCACTTGATCATCTGGTAGTTTTTGTTATACTTCAGTGAACATGAGAAAAGGAAAACTCTGACATTTACACAAGGTGGCTGAACTTCCTCAGTTTCTCTCCTTATCTCCTCCTCCTCAGTATATCAGTACACTCTAACCCTGATGTGTTTCTTTGCTTCACTCACATACCTTTTTTTTCTCTCAACAGGTTGAGCTGCATCTGAAGCCCATACAGTCTCTCCTGCGCCATCAGAAGCCGCTAGTCTTCGTGCTTAACTCCCCCCAGCCACTGATGTGGAAGATCAAGACAGAGAACCTGACCCCGGGCCTTAAACATACCTTTCATGTGAGTCCAGCATCACTAAAAGCCTCTAAATCCTACTTCCTAAAACTGTGTATTCATTTCCTCACAGGATAAGCTGTATTCCTGTTCCAGTAGCTGTCTTATATCAGTCAAATATATGAAATCATAGAAGTTTGCAGAGGAGGCCATTACACGCTCCATGTGGAGACACTTCAATTCCTGTGTACAAACAAAAGGACCTTGTTTTGTCCAGTTGTATTTGATACAGATGCAGTCAAACTCCCTTTAGTATGAGTGTAAATAGGAGAGTTTTTATTATTTCTCCCTAACTCAGACTGGGATCACACTCTCACATCAGGCTGTAAGATATATTCAGCTATTAAGACACAATGTGCTCTGTCAGCCTTATTCCCTAACTATAACCACAGGGCCGTTTCCCCGCCACCTCCCTCCCTCCCTCCTCCCAGCAGCCCTGTTGATAGCTTGGCAGCTGTTCAAATCAGACAGGGCGTATCCGCAAAAATCCCTAACAAGGGGGGAATGTTTGGGAGCAAACAGAAAACTAGAGCTCTCCTGAGAAAGGAGTTGAACTCTCACCTTAAATGTTTTTTGCTGAAATCCTAAACTGTGTTGCAAGTTTGTTTAAAATAATCAGTTGAAGAGGCAAGTTGCTCATTTAGCTGCAAAGCGTCTATCTCTGACTTAAACTGATACTGTGTAGCTTTTTCAAAATTGCAGTCATGGCCAAAAGTGGTTATAATAGGACAAGGAATTAGTAAAACATTTTTTTTATTGTCAGTACAGGACTATTATAACCTAACATGTCCTTCCATTGTTAATACCTGCATTATTTGCCAAACTTTACTGCAGTGGCATCTCCCCACAACATCTACAGGTTTGGATGCAGGCTGTCCCAAACAACTCTCCACTTCTAACATTATTTTATATGTTGTTTGGAGCTTTTTGGCCTTTGTAGACGGATAAAAATACAGAGGATGGAGGAAACAAGGGAGGGGACAGGGAGTGACATGCAGGAAAGGGGCCACAAGGTAGATTCGAACCCACACTGTCTTTGTATGTGGGACTCTCACACTGGGCCATCTGTGGCCCATGTTGTTTTACTTTTGACAGAGATTAGGATAACAGTGAGAAGAGCCTGTGGCGCATGTAGCTGCTCTATTATCTCCATCAACAGAACTAGAGTCCCACTTAAAGAGGCTGGACACTTTGGCCCTACATAGAAATAAAAGAAAAGGAAATGATAAAAAGAATCAGCCATTTTGATCCATGTGGATGTAGATTATTATAAACAACATTAATGTGGCAGATTATCAAGTTTTTTTTCCTTTTCTCCACCATCAGGCTGTTGTTGTAAGTCATGTCTTATATTTAACATCCAAATGTTGTTGGAATTATTGAACAAAAGTTCTTTTCTCAGCAACCATTTAACATTTTTAATCTGTCATCGTTAGTAGGCAGCAGACACTGGGCTCTATTTTTGTGTCCGCCGGTGAGGTGGCGGCGGGTGGCGGACCCCGCGCAGTGGTATTTTTGTCTGGCGGAGCCTAGCGTACAGCCAGTTTGGTATTTCCGTGGACTGAGGCACACCGAGGCCCGCCAGGCTGGGCGTGGTGGCGTGGCAGGGGGAGGTGTCGACAGAATCAGCTGGAGCAGTGACATTTTCGTGCTCGCCACCGGCGTATAAAGTGCGCTGAAAGCTCACTGATTCAAACCTGGTCAGCTTTCAGCGCAGGCGGAGCTCAGCTGATCTAGTGGTATTTTGGTAGACTGGCGGCCTATCAGCATACGTCACCGATGCCTCACAGGCAGGTTTCCAGTGTCAGGCACATTTCAGTGCAATAAATAATCATCAACAACTAATAATCTGAGTCAGCACATACATTTAGATCTATATAGATATATTCTGATCTATATCTGATCTGATGAGCACATCTGGCACGCGTTTGGACACACAACCTGACTGAATTAACACAGCTGAAACCGCATTAAATTAAATAAAATATCTAGTAAATAGACACACATGATGAAGTTAACAAGATATGTAATTCGTCTCCCTCCTTTTCTTTCTTCCTCTTCCTCTTATTTCTCGCGCAGCTCGACCTGGACATGTCTCTGTGTCCTCTCCCCGTCCTGCTGCAGCTGCTGCTGCGGCGGCTGAGCAGATGATTTATTGTAGTGATCAGATGAGTTATTTACTTTAAGCCTACATACGAATATTATAATATTCAGTTTTGTGGGCCATATTTATTTTATATGCCAACATCTATGAAAGACAGAGCCAGGCCACAGAGGGTGATGCGTCATTTACGCACAGATGGTTCCGATTTTCATGCCATTTTTGGGATTTATTTTGTGACCTGTGCACACAACCCACCTTTGTCACGTGAGGTTTGAATATATGCAACTTTATGTGAGTGTCTTTATTTGTGGAAAAGGGTGTTTGTCTTACTAGTGGCTCCAACATTACACACACCAAATCCAGGGACGCCCTCTGCAGCGCTTACAGTGACACTTGTTGAGGGGCTGACGCCATCTTGTGGCATTACTGTCTTCAGACATCTCTTGATCTCTTTGACTACTTCACGAAAATTGTAATACGCCTCACCGGTGGCGGATTTAAAGGCGAGGAGAGGAGCTGATGTTATTGGTTAATACAGGTCCCACTCCACGCCCTCTCTCCTCCCTCGCTACGACTTACGCCGCTGGGAGGAGCTGAGTTAGGGAGGGGGGATACTTACACCGGGCTGCGCCGCTCACCAAATACCAAATTGTGCTTGGGAACACCTTGTCGGCACGGCGGACCTAACTTACGCCGCGCCTGTGGCACGTCTCCGGCGAGGCACGAAAATAGAGCCCACTGAGTCAATATGACGACCACAATGCAACATGGCTGAACACACAATTAGCTCACTAGATTTGTTGACATAGCAGGTCTTGTAGGTGTCAGTTATTAAGGGTGGTCTGAATATAAGGGATTACTTTGCAGCATTTTGGAGACAATTACTGTGTTCAGACAAGTTCTTCAAAGGAGCAAATTTAGATTCATCAAATCTGAAGAAAAGATCAGATAGTAGAAAAAGTACATGCCAGCGTGCAGTAAGAAAAGTTTTCTTTCTTTCTTTCTTTCTTTCTTTCTTTCTTTCTTTCTTTCTTTCTTTCTTTCTTTCTTTTTTCTTTCTTTCTTTCTTTATCTCTTTCTTTCTCATAAGGGCCTGTGGTTTGTTATGAATAAAAGAGAATGTCATGCATGTCCTATACAGCATGCCTGGACTTACTCTAAAGGTCAGTCACATGGCCTATTTCAGGTTGTTTCTCCTTCTTAGTAACAGTCTCATTTTGAAAATTGTGAGCAAAATCCAAATTACTTGACGGAGGTTTGCAGAAGCACTAGAGTACATGTGAGGAAAGAAGAGACAAAGATTTGGTGAGGGGGCAGTCAGTGCAGTAGGAGCCAGGTCCCCTGGAGAGCCAGCCATATTTAGTAAAGGTACCATGGGGCCTTGCTGGGAAACTTAATAAAAAATGTAAAAATGGACTCTTACAGTGCCCTTGTTTAAAGCAGTTGTCTCACATGAGAAAATCATCGCAAAATGAGGTCCAGAGGCCTCAGCCGTGGCTTACTTGGCTATATTGTACTGGAATTTTTTTCTATGCCCCTAAATGCCGAGAGAGCTTTCCTGTCTTTTTGGCTTCCCAGAAGTAATCATTTTCAATTGTATGTTAACACCACAGCATTCTGCAAGAATGCAGTATCAGGTACACAAATGACTACCAGATGTGGTCAAGTGTTTTTGGTGCTTACTTTTTATGAGCAAAATATTCTGCTGCGAAAACCAATGTGACACAGAGAAGAACAGAGATTGATTGCAAAATCCATGTATTATGTACATGTATGTGCACTTGTACTCGCATAGCAGGGGGCCTTGCCGACCACATTCATGCATTGTCTCAGCCTCTTTAACATTTAGAAAGCCAGAAAATAAGTAAAAGGCCTGTTCTTGATAATACTAAATGTTGTAAGATACATGTAATGTATGACTTCTACCATGATTGATAATAGTGAATGTACCAAAGGTGTTACAAGTATTGTACAGTACACAAGACTAAACACAGCTGTAGGAGAAATATGCAACATGAAGACATGCAGCCCAAGTTTCAAACGCTCCCTTTAATAACAGTTTCCTGTTGTGGTGTCACAAGTAACTGCTGCATTTCATGAAGATTGATGTGCATCAGTTGTGCTTGTATTTTCCTAAGCAGTGATATTGTGTGGCTGGAGAGACTGATGTTTCTGCAGAGACCTGCAGGTCAGCATCACATTTAATGTCTCCCCCTGTCAGCGGTGCCAGACAGAGCACAGCTGACAACCATCACAAAAGCTGTTGGTCCAGGCAGAGCTGTTTCTCTGTGTTATGAACACCAGGGCTTTTTCAGAGGAGGAGTTTTTACGTCCACTTATGTTCACATCTAAGAGTGGCTGCTGTTTTAATGATAAGATACACATCAAAGGTGTACCTACGGAGACATTTGCAGCAGCTATTCATGGAGCTAAAACACATGATCTTAGACTGACCTTAGCGATTAGTTTTCTCTGTTGACACTTAATTATGATATGTTTCTGGCACACAATTACAGTTTTCAAGCAGAGCGAGAAGCGATAAAGGTAATCTAATGGTGATGGAGGAGGCTCCTGCAGTCAGACAAAACTGAGCTAATGGCTTTGACTGACTGCAGGGCCTCTCCTGAATGAGGTGTTAAGTATTTAGTGTTTGAGTGACAGCTCTGAGCCCTCTTGTAGTTAAAGCTGTTGGCATCTCATCCTCCAGTCCGACTGCAGATGGCTTTAACCCAGAAGAGTCTCAGAGGTTGCTGCTCTGCCCAGGTTCACCCAACAATGAAAGCTCCTTAACATGCTGTACAACTCAGATACTGCACCATGCTGGATGAACAATCAGCAGCTTTCACTTTGCTGTAAAATGAACTGATCTCATTGTAATACACTTCAGTTTGCCATTCACAGATCTCTGCTCTCCTTGTCTACAATTGCTGCTCTTGTACATGTCCTGCATGGCACTTACTTTATTCAGGGTTTCTGCTGGGACTAAAAAAAGTCTTAAAACGGCAAAAATATAGTAATTTGAATTTAAGGCCTTAAAATTTCTAAAATTCTCTTAAAACCTCATAAAACGTCTTGAATACAAAATTGAAAGGTCTTAAAAATGTACTGATGTTACCTACAAATACAGATTGATTTGAACTTAGTTTGAAATGTTCCAATTTCCCTTCATGTCTTCTGTACTTTTTTGCCAGTATGGATGTAAAATGGATGGAATGGAATTATATTCATTATGGTCTTAAAACAGTCTTGTAAGTCTTAAAATTGACTTGCTGAAACCTGCAGAAACTCTGTTTATTACCGCATGTGAAATGATTGAAATGATTGAAATCAATTACACTTTGAGAGTAAGTACGCTGTGGCTTTTGTCACACTTAGAATAAACAAGGGGCTGAGCCCAACATAAACCCAACCCAACCCTTGTGTCCTGTGCCTCTCTCAGTAAACAAATTGTGCTCCGCTTAACTGGCAAAATGTGGCTGGACATAACCTAATTCACTTTGCCCCATGAGGTACACAGGGGATTTTAGATCAGTAAAATAGGGTCCAAAGGTGCTTTCACATCTTGAGTCTTGTTGTTGCTGTTGTTGTTGTTTTGAAAGAGAGGGTATTTCCCTTATTGGCTTGGGTTGTCTGGACATGTCTGAACACAGCGCTGATTCAGATTAAACCAAGCAGATCATCATTTAAGAGGTGGTCTTGGCCTGCCTCCAGTAGAATCCTGGCTCACTGTGTTTGCAATGACAGTGCTATCAACCCTGCAGTCATGACCAATAGCTGCTTCACTCATCACTCTCCAGTCGCATTGGAGCTAGTAAGCATAAAACTAGCAACAGGCTGATGTTATTCACCATCACCATCAAATGCAACATCAGCTGAGTGATCGGTTATCAGCTGGTGCTAGGCATAGCAACATCAGGACTCAACAATACCTGCATAATTACTAATTAGTTTAGTTCAGAGACTTTTGACCCGCTCAGGAAATTTGTCCCTCTCTTTACTGCAGTCCCCACTTTTGCCAAGATGGTCTCATAGCTTTATAAACTGCTGCCAGGGTTTATTTACAAAGCTGAATTAAATGTAATGTCCATGGAAAACAAAGTGAGCATTCTGGCCAGACTGTCTAACAAAGACAGTTGCACGAATGCTTAAATTCTGCATTCAGGTATAAAGCTGGTTAGTCTTTGTCAGGAAAAGTAACACAGCATATTTTCTAAAAATAAAATATGGTTGTAACAATCATGACCCAAAAATATTGTACGCAAAAAATGCCCGTACATTTGTTTGGGATTTGCCATTCTTTGAGCAAGATTTCTCTTGCTACCAATACAATAAAAAAATAAACGTTTTAGTCATAAACTTTTCAAAACTTCTTCCAGTTCAGTTACTGTACTATAGATGTATTTTGGAGAAACATGTTTGGGAAAATAAAAAACTGCATTTTTTAAGTTTAGTCAATTGAAGGCCACTTTAATGTTTGAGGAAATGTGAAAACCTTGTTTGTTTTAAATTCACCTCCTTTATTTCAAATGTAAGTATTTTTTTTTTCTCATAGCGACAGAAAATGCTGCAGGATGCAGACAAAATGATTGTTTTGGCAAATGGAAGAGCAGTTTGAGTTGGCTGGTGTTTCTGCAGTGTAAACTTGTTTCAATGCAATAAGAGCAGAACAGAATGATGTCAACAAAGATTCTGAAAACGCCCAGCACTGGCTTCTCCTGGTGGACATATATTAGGAATAAGATCTGCTTATTACATATGTTATCAATCCATCTCTAATTTTCATCTCATGAACTTTAATTGAGAGCCAGTGATGTTCCTTTTTGCTTTCAAAGAAATGCTCTGGTCTGACTGTATTTTACGCTAGCTATCAAGCATAAAATGCATGTACCTCATCGGCTTTATTAGACAGTGGAGGGAATAAAGCAAATGTTCGGCTGTATGAAAAACTTGTTGTGGACCATAAAAGTTATCTCGAATGAGCACAGTGGTAAAACTCTCTGTGTCAATAATGACTCTGCCAGTTCCCACACCTTCTTCATGGTCTCTCTCTCTAATGGAGGAGTTGTTGTGGTGAGGGCTTTAATAACAGAGTCAAGAGGAACTAGTTTTGGGCTTAACACTCAAGAACTGAAACCCACAGCCAGACCTCCCTCACACTGCCTTTCCATTGGAGAGGCTGTTTCCTGGGACTAATTGGATTCTGAATCAGGCCTGCCATCCCTTGTTTCCTGGTTCCAGTGCTCTGGGCTGGGTGGACACAGATGGGCTGCCTGGAAAAGCTTCAGAGACGCTGAGCACTCTGTTGCTGTTGGCCACTGGAGGCTGCTGACTTTTAAAATGCCAGAATCCAGACTTTTGTTGTAAAACATGCTCTCCACGGTACTCCTTGTCAATCAGCAGCAGGAAGGAATCACAGTGACGTGAAAAATGACCTCTGAATTTGGGCCAAATCTTATTTTACCAAGGGACGCTGTGATTCAGAGTGAGACACGTGCAGAGTGTGCCGTGTTGACTCAGTGGCCGTATGTATATATTCTTTTCAGGGGCTAGGAAAGGAAGACTGGACGGCATCTCTGCTTGAAAAGCTTGACTTGGATCAAATGTTTTATGACTCTTGATGGAACAACACTGTTGAGTTTGCTCTTGGATTGTGTTGCCTATTGTTTGTTTGCCAAGCGTTGCCTTTTCACTCCTGTATTTCTTTCATTAGCTGAGGGCCTTTCATAAAATATTTGCTCTCACACAAGCTCCCTCCTCAGAGTAATTGTTAATGGAAAACATGGGTATTCACTATAGTTTTTTTATTTGCAGACAGAAATGGCAGAGAAGCGCTCCAGAATGGCGCAGAGACATATGGTATTGTTTTCTGCACAACAGAGCCTGCCGGTTTACAGGAACACATGCACATATGCAGCGAGCATTCAGCGTGATTAGTTCCACATATCTCATCAAGGGAGATAAGATCAAATCAGCTATAAAAGCATTTATCACATTGATATCACCAGGGACTGAGTGCATGCTCATGCTCTCTCAACCCTGTCTGCACTTCCCCTCACCCTTCTCTGTTTGCAACACCTCTTAATTTCCAAACAGTCTTCTGCTATTCCCAGGCTGAGGGTGTTGCTCAGTGGAGGATTACAGCTCTATGATAATTGATGTCAAACATTTGGCATGCTTTCTCCTTTTAACTACACATATGCCTGTAATATGTTGATACTTATAGGTTGTAAAGACAGGAAATATACTGCTAGATGTTTTGAGCAGGCAGATGTGTTTGAAGAGTTTTTTGTAAAATTTTCAAAAGGAATGGAGGAGTTTGTTAAACAGATGCAATACTGAGCGGACACTATAGAAAGCAGCAAAAATTAAAGTTGCATAAAGTAGTATGCCTTCCTGCAAATACCACTGCGAGCTTCAGTCCTCATTGTATGTCGCTAATGTCTCCTCTCAGTGACGTGCAATGAGGTTCATGGCTGGTGAGGCACTGACTTCATCACAATCAGATTTACAAACATATGAACCCTACAGAGTAGCTTATTCACCATTTGATTGACAGCAGTTAACAGGTTATGTTTGAAATCTCATATCAGCTTTCTTCACACATGCAAACTAGCACACAAAGAAGCACATTTAATAATAACACTAAAAAGGTTAATTATGATCTTACCTCAACTTGTAAATGGTCTTCCTTAAATGATTACCTCCTGCTTCGATTTAAAGTCTGGTTTAGAAAACTGATAGAGTTTAGATATGTAATCATTTATTTTGAAAGTACGGCCAGAGGAGAGGAAAAAACATATACGGATGGCTTGACTTGCTAACTGTAGGTTGCAGCTTGCTATCACTTACTCTGCAATCAAGAAGACCCTAAAAGAATCACTGGGATCCCAAGTGCCCCCTATCATAAGGCAGGAGAACTGCGTGCCTCACTCAGTACCTTTTTACAGCCGATTTATGATTGCTCAGCCCAAGAAACATGTTACACATATACGGTTGTTGACGAAAAACACTGTACGTTGTACACATCAGCTACACTGTGGAGATTTAATTGATATAGCAAAAGTGTCTGAACATTTTCAAAATGACATACAGAGAAATAGCAATACGGTCTCATATCATGCCAGTACAGTTAGCTAAGTCATTGCGCAATCCATGGTGAGGCTCATCTGGCTGCTGCCTCATCACACGTCTCTTCTCAGTATTTGAAAATGTCAAAATTCACCGATTTTGAAAAAAAAAAATCCCAAACTGGTGAAGTTGAATGAAAAATATGTTCATCGTGCAAATCACTGGATAAAATAATCATTTATTTAATTTTTTCATTTTACATTTTTTACTTTCCATGATGACATGTGAGGCATATCTCCTGCCTCCTGCCTCCCCTGACTGCACGTCACTGTCTCCTCTACACTCTTTGCTCTCTTTGCCAACTCCCGATGTCCAGGTAACATCCAGACTTCATGTGTTTAAACTTCAGAACACATTACAAAGCCACTGCAGCTCAAAAACCCACTTTCAAAGTGTTTTTGGCAGTAATAGCTGGAGCATGCTTCGGGAGAGATGAGCTCTATTTTCTCTCTTAGAGGATTTTGTTGAACTTGGCAGAAGGCTGCAGCTTACAGCTCTGAAGTACTCTGGAAAAAAGAGACCTTTATAGAAAATTTGGTTGGTAACAAAGTCAACATTGATTAAACATAAAGATCTGTTGGAACTCTATGTTTAATAATTGAGAGCAGTTTACCTGCTTGTGCCATGCTGTAGATTCATTCTGTTTAATTATATTGTCCATGAGTTCCCCACCAAATTATAGGCTATTTTGCTTAACGTAAATACATACGCATAAAATGTGTGTTGTAGATCAAAGCTGGCTTCTAAATACCATCTATATTTATATATTCCACATAAACCCATGAATGACATTGCTATTTGGCTTCCAGCGCTTTCAGGGTCTTTTTCACAGATGGGCCACACATTAAAAAATCAAAACACAATCTCAGGCACCCACACAAATGGGTGTGACATGCAGATCTTTGCAGTTTTGCTGACCACAGGCATTGGCAAAATCTGAGCGCAGCTGGATGCAACATATAAGGAGAACATTTTTAGAATGAGGGGTACAAAAAAGCTGTTGAATTCAGTGTGAGTTTTAGTGTAGATCAATCAAATGAGCCAATTTATCCTTTTGAAAGAAGCCAGAGGATGAAGTGAGGCCTCAGCTACAAAGAGGTCCACAAACTCAATGTTAAAATCCCCCTAATTATGCTGCCTGTATGCAGTAAAAACACCACTCATGTTTTAAGCTGCTCCAGGAATTTTAATATTGCTTGATGTTTTATATTATTTAGAATTTCATGCTGAGAATTGTTGATTTGAAATTGTTGAACTATTTGCTTTCACAGTAAAGAGGGGGATCTCTTCACATACATATGCCTGAGAGACTCAGCCTCGTTTGAATGCCATCTTTTATGTCTCCTTTTAAGTCATGATGTTAACCACGTTGCAAATGAACACCAGGATTTTTTTTTTTCTTTGATTGGCTATTGATGTGAGTATGTGTGTTAATGGTTGTTTGACTCCATATCTTTGCCTTTCACCCACTGACAGCAGGGATAGAAGAAGTATTCTCCCCTGAAGAGAAGAAGTAAAGATAATGGATAGATGGTTGAACACATATGCTATCATACTTAGGGCCCCAACTGTAAACATTACCAACACAACTGCAACCTGAATATGGTTCGACATAAAACTCACAGTTTTCATCTTTCTGAAATAACAAAAAACATGATTTTATAACAGTGTTTCAGTCAGCAGGAGATGGAGAAATCTAGTTACAACCAAACATGATATTTATATGATTCCAGAGCTTTGACTCTGCTGCCTCCAGATTATCCTTCATCTGTGTTTGCGAAAGAGGTTGTCTGAGCAGAAACAAACCCCCAAAGTTGCCCGCAGTCTGTCTGTGCCTCTCCTCCTCCTTCTACGAGCAAACACATTTGTTTGGTTCCAGGAAATTACCAAACAGGCTTAGACTAAAAAAAATATACTCTCACAAGAGGAAAATTGCATTAAAACTGCATTTTCCCCTAGTGCTGGCTGTGAGCCTGCAGGAAAATAGAACCCTGGTTTTTTGGTCTGTCAACTGTCCATGCAACAGAGGAGACTGAGAGCGAGAGTGAGGAAGAGAGAGAGAGCGAAAGAGAGAGAGGGAGTGAGTTAGTAAAGCGGGTCTGCACTTCCCTGTTTCACATTCTTGAGGTTTTCAGCTCTCTGGAAAGCCTGGAGCTAATTTGGCTTTTAGGCTTTCCCCTCTAATTCCTAGCGACTAATTACAGCTGTATTCCCGCAATTAAACTGATAAACTTTGCTGAGCTTGGCAAAGTTATAGCGAAGAAACCCCAGCCCCTCCTCACTGACTCAGAGTACCACCTCTTCTCCATCTTTCTTTCTTTTGCGCCGTAGTAAACATTCTAAAAATGAAATGAACCTGAATTCTTCGACAGAGTATGTCTCCTCGGCCGCAGTATTTACTGCCTCTGGTGACAATGCCAGGAACACTTAGAGGAGCGTCCAGAGGTCAGGCAGATGTTGTGCACAAGGAGAACTCTAAATAGTCCTGTCTGAGAGAAATGGCCACCCTTAAAGAATATTATTCCACTATCACTGAAGCGTCATTGCAATTTGGGGACAGCTTTCTAGCATTATCTCAAATAAGTGCAATGTCTTTTTCCTCCTGGGCGTAAATGGATTTAATGGATTTAATGTTGAATCTGACCCTCCAGCTCTGTGTCAGCTCATGCATAGGGATAAGATACCTAGGGAGGAAGAAAAACAAGCATGGAAATAAAATGAGGTAGGCTGTCTAGACCGTGTGCTTGGACTCATTTGGTTGTATGGCAGGGTTTTCAACACATGTGAATGTTTATCTCCCTGAAATGAGGCATATGGGCTGAGCTCCATTGAGTGCCAAAGGGGTGGTCCCTCCTCAATACTCCAAGGCCAGTTTCCCTGTCAAACGCAAATCAGCACTTTCTTTGCTCTCCATATTATGAAGCCCTCTCCCTGTTAGCTGTCTCCTTTTGTGTGACCATCACATTGAGAGTTTAGAGAGCAACCAAAGCTTATACTTCATTTATGTACTCATGTCTGTTCTCTAGTGAAAGCTCTTCAAAAACAAACCACAAAGTCAAGTCAAGTCAAGTCAAGTTTATTTGTATAGCACATTTCAGCAGCAGGGCAATTCAAGGTGCTTTACATGAAACAAGCAGGCAAAACATTCAACACAATTTAAAAAGTAAAAACAGCGTAAAAGACTGAAAATATATGGAACCATTTGTCAATAGAGCAAAAAAATTAGGGATAATGTATTGTTACAGCTAGGGGTGTACGATTAATCAATTTTAAATCGTAATTGGATTATTTAATTATGACAATGTTAAAAAAATGTATCAAATTTATTTTTCACTCTACCGTGTCTTGCACCCAAAGGCCATTGTAGACTCCCCCTTCCTGCAAGAGCGCTCCATTATTCCCACACACACCAGTGTAAACAAACATGGTGTTTGCAAAAGAAGGCGATAATTTTGTGGCTAAATAGGGCAAGAGCAAGTCAGTCAAGTGGAATTGGTACAGCTTCACAGTTTCAGACGAAGAGCAAACCACTTCCTGCTGCAAAGTCTGTCTGAAGGCGGTATCAACCTGTCCACACAGAAACAAATCCAGAGGTAAACACAAAAGTTTTTTGTCCTATCAGCGTTTCATTCACACAGAAACGGCGTTTCGGGTGACTGAAAACAGGTACGAGAGTGCATAATTTCGTAAACGACTACCATTTCATTTCCGTGTGAATGGCTATCTACATCTGGAAAGGATTTTGTGACACACAGCATAACTCTTATGGTGCAAACAAACATTATACGCATGCTCCGTACTCTTCTTCTGTCTTTTGTGCACTTCCTCTGCAGCATTATCTGCCACTTACTGCCTTGGCTTATGTGCTACATTGTTTTCAGTAATTTCATTTTGAGTCCTTAACCTCATATGCCCTCATCGAGGGCATATTCTTGAGAGGAAGATCAATATCCTAGCCTCCACTGTGCAACCAAGAACCAGAAAGTAAAAAATAAAATAGAATAAGAAACCACCAAACGAACAGCTTGGGCAGGATCATGTTTAACCATCTTTTAGTGATCGATTTTTTGGTGCCTCCAATAATACTTGTATCAGTTTTGTATCTCTCGAATGGCTTAGGCATTCGACCCTTCCTAGAAACAAGGTAGCAAAATCAGAGGGTATTTGAGTATTGAACACTGAGCATAGAGATATGTGGATTCTGTTAATTTAGGGCATTCTCAGAAAATATGAAAGCACCACATTGTCTCTAATACGGCCTATTATCCCCTCTATATCGTTCCTGGTACAGAGTTTTTAAGTATCTGATAATATTCTTCCAACAATGTTCCCTCCAGTACATGGAGCATGTCGAGGTTGACTGGAATTCCCAGATCCCCTTCCACATTTCTTCTGAAATCACTATCCCAGCATCCCTTTCCCATCTTTCCTTAATGTATAGTGTTGAGCCATTCTCAGCCTCTAAAAGAGCATTGTACAATGCTGAAGTGGATTTGCTTGGTGTTGACGTTTGGGCTGATTTAAATATTCGATAAAACTCAGATTTGGCTACTGTCAAGTCTCTATAGTTACACTTTTGATTAATATAGTGCCTCACTTGAAGGTATATTATCATTATTATTATTATTATTATTATTATTACTGACAAATTGGAAAGAGCTTAAGTCTGCGGTCATTTTATTTTTAATTAAATACTCCTTTAACACTGCCGAAGCCCAAACTATGTTTTGTTTTGTATATATTAAGTGGTTTCCCTATAGGAACATAGCTAAAATTAAGCAGTTAATAGAATATTATTGTCACCTTGGATAAAGGCTTTATATCCTAGAAGTTACAATTTTAAACATGATTTGTTTAAAAGATAAGACCAGCTTGCTTTTAGACAACAACAAGTCTTTGCCAAACATTTCAAATTTGGATACTAACAAGGGGAGATTAAATAGAAATGAAAAACTTAAGATGCTTCCAACTGGCATCTAGCAAATATGAATTAGCTAGGTGAGTCATCACAAGACCTTTCTGGATTTAAGCAATTGTCTCTGCAGCTGCAAAAGTTCATTACTAGCAATGTTCCTACTTTTTGGGGTGTTTTTTTTTTTTTTCACGTGTTTATTTTGAGGCAGAGTCACTTATTTATGATGGCCCAATACAAAACTGTCCTTCCCCCATCTGAATACAAGAAAACCTGAGGAACATGTATAAAAAAAAGCTAAAGAATATTAGTTTTAGGGTTTTTAAGAAGGGTTTGGATGGAGAGCAAAGAAAAGGTTTCATAAATGTTTAGAGATCAGGTTTAATTCTGGAAAGGCTGAACAGTTTGTTCAGTCTGCCTCCAGGCTCTTCATTTTACAATCCCAACTACTGGATCTTCAACAGGGAGGAGCAGGTTGAGTTGACTTTTATGTTCATGGCTCTAAAAGTGTCTGTTTGATTGTTCTTAAGCTGAACAGACTGTAGATCAAACTCATATATCGGCTGTGTTTGCTGTCACATCTCCCAGAACTTAGATAACTACTTATCAGAGCAACTCTTTTGTCCTCTAACATTCCTCCACGTTCCTTTCTTCCAGGTATCTGAGGGCTCTGAGGTCCACTTTCCACAGCCGGGAAACTTCTCCCTCTTCTGCCAGATCCAGAAGGAGACCCTTCCCCATGGCAACGAGCACCTCCTTAACTGGGCCCAGAAGAAGTACAGGGCGGTGACCTCTTTCTCTGAGCTCAGGATGACTCAAGACATCTACATCAAAGTTGGAGAAGGTGGGTGCAAGATTCCCCAAATTCCCAACATAGCTCCTAGCCCTAAGGCACACCTCCTGGTTCCGCTTTAGCTCCCTAAACATCACTTAGCTTTTTGTGTTGGAGTCCTAGCTAGAGGTTTAAACGCTCCAGCAGGATACCTGTGGTAGTTCACATGCAGTCAACTGAATAATCTGATACAGGTGCTGATGTAAAAGCTTACATACATGAAGCACTATTTTGCTTTCAAGTTACAGAGCCAGGACTGTGTTTTAACAGTGTGTTTTAACTGTGTTTTGTATCTACATATTTCATGGTTTAATTTTTCTTACATCATTCAATGATGTCAATCATCCTTTTGGCCAACGAAAAGCATTAAAAAGCTTTGAAAGTTTTCACTTGTATAAGCAGGAGGAAGACCATGCTCTACATATATGTGCAATTGGTGGAGAGAGTGGAGGGGTGTGTTCGAAATGATGAAGCAGTGAGAGACTTGAGGAGAGGCCATGATTCACTTTCATGAAAATCTTAACTTCTCAAACTCTGCTGGCTGCTCTGTCCTGTTTAATAAAAGCAATTCTAATTTCATAGTGTATCAGCTCTCGGACAGAACACGTTTTTTGATCAACATCTTTCAGCTCTTAGAGATAACAAAAAGCTCATGTCTGCAGAGAAATGATAGATCTTGTGCTGCTGGTGAAAGTTCACAGTGGTTACTCAGCCTTCAAGCTTTTGGCTCATGTCAATAGAGGGTGGCTGTGGTCTGGCAAAAGCTCAAAGTGCCATGATGTTTACTTCAAGCAAAGAGCTGTAGATTTCCACTCCTTCACATCATCAATGGTGTATCATGAAGATGGATAGTACTTCCTTTGCTCCCTAACAGAGGAAAAACAGGTACCACAGGAGGTCCAGAGAGGAAAGTGCCAGCTTCAGCTCACAACTTAAGCAAGGCTCTGTTTGCCAAATAAGGAAACAGCTGTCTTGTGTTTTTCTTGAGAGCTCGGAAAGGGCCTGACATTTTACTTTCTTAGCAGTTAAGAAAATTTTGAGCAACATTTAGGAAAGTTAAGGAAAAAACACTCAAACATGTTTATGAATTTCATCCTGTTAGTGCTGGGGAACTCTGGTAAAAGCCTTTTTTAGTTTTCCCACATTAGCCCAAAACAGAGATTTTCCTGTTGATAAAATGGCAGGTTGTGCCAGCCAGAGCCACTGAACTTCACTCCCTGCTGGTCTAGTTAGCATTGAGACAATGGAAATACCAGCTGCAGGGCTACAAGTAAACTTCTATCCAGTTTGAGCAGTGGGGTCAAAGCTAACATCCACAAATCCCCCCTGAGCAGGACATTGAATCCCCCCCCCTAAAAGCAGGGGTTGGGTGCTTTCCTCTACCTGACCTTCTGCTCTGACCCTTCTGTGGTGGAAGGGTAACAAAAAGCTGCATTTCTTCTCCTGGGATCAAACCAGCCTCTCAGAACCCCTAAAGATTAACACAACCATCGCTCCTCTTTTAGACCCCGTGTTTTCTGACACCTGCAAGATTGATACCAAGTTCCTGTCTCTGAACTACCTGGGCGGCTATATGGAGCTGCAGACATCAAAGGGCTGCGTCCTGTCTGGACGCGACAAAGACCGAGAAGTCCACATTGTTGAGCTCCAGGCCCCCAACTCCAGCAGGTATGCAGCCAAAGCCAAGAAAACATGTTGTCATGGTTTATTTTTGAGGTGGAGATGCTCTCACTAATCTCTGCGGGGTTTGTTTTGGATGGAAAATAACATGAAGGCAGAGGGGAGATGTTTCTCTTTACTTTGGGGTGCTTTTCTTTAGAGAGGTATATTTCAAAACCTGGTGTGAAAGTGCAGGTTGCCAGATAATTCCCTCACTCCCTCAAAGGAGTGATTATTCTGTGTTCAGCAAAGAGCATAAACGTGTTGGTAGCTCTGCTGTATCTGGCTCAAGTGCTATCTGCTCTGTAGTGCATGTGTCTGCTTTTTCTCTGGGAGCACGTCCAGTTCTTTAATTAGTTGGCCAGACACATCAGGCACAATGATTCTATTTTGGCCTTTTTTTTTCTCTCCTTCCTCTGCAGTGCTTTCCAGGTGGACGTCATAGTGGAGCTGCGGCCTCTTGAGGATGAGGCCCCTCTTCATCGCGACGTTGTCTTGCTGCTAAAGTGCGCAAAGTCGGTCAACTGGGTTATCAAGTCGCACAGTGTGATGGGAAAGCTGGAGGTGGTGGTAAGTTTGCAGCATATCAACAGAAAAAAGCTTTTTTTCCCCTACACAGGCTTCACCAAAGGGATTTGCACTGTCTTATCACACATCCAGTGGTTCTGAATTCATGCCACAGAAAAAAAATTGTCATTCCTTTCACCACCAACCCAAAAATGTGTCACAGCAGGATGTGTGTTGAAATGGTGCCTGTTCCCCCGTTGAAGGAAGGGTGAGGGGATAGCAGGTTAGAGGAGTAACTGTGAAGTTTCATCACAGCAGCTACAGGGACTGTCATCACATCTAGAGAGCTGGGGACAGGGTTTGTGAGGGCATCCCATATTTCAGAAGAAAAGCTGCTGCACAGAGAGCCTGGACCGCTTACCACCATCAGTCATAATAAAGTGAATTATGAGAGCAGCACTTGCTTCAGGTATTTTTTGAAGCTGTAAAATGTTCAGATCTCCTTGCCACACTCCAAAGACAAACACTGGCTAATTACAGCAATATATTAGAGTGCCCTATTTTTCTCCTTTAGAAATACAGCTTCACACAAATCATCAGAGATGAAGAGACAGTTTTGATATGAAATCTTTTTTAGTATTACTGAAGTCTCTGAGGACCCTCAGGAACTTTAAGAGTGTGACACCTTGTATGCTCACTTTGAAAGAACACTTTAACTGTAGATCATGTTGACAGGGGATTGGAAGTTGTCCAAGCACCATAACTGCTCCAGGGATGAAACTCTAGACCCCTTTATTTTGAATAAAAAAATCTGTGCAGTAAAACAGAAAGAAACTTTTCAAAAACCCATTTGAATTATGAAACTCTGGAGACTTTTCTATGTACTTTTATATTGTTTAGTTGTGTCCCTCTTTGCCGGCGTTGACCCTGCTCTGTTTTCAGCTGAGGTGTCAGGGGGATTCTGAGTTTCCTCAGTTTGTAATGCTGATACTCCTGCAGGTTTGCTGCAGCCATGACTCTGCACTTTAGCCAGCAGTTTGTGTTTTTACAGCTGCAGGGTCACTGCAGCATTGAATGTCAGTCAGAATTTGAGAGTGTAATGCCAGGTCACCTTGTGCCTGTGAGACATTTAGAGCAGCCTAAATGAATGGTTGTGCTTTTGGTGGGGGTTTCTTAACAAACACTTGTACAACAATAGGGTCAGGACTTAGACAACTTTATTAATCCCACCAGGGGCAATTGATTTGAGCAGCTTGCATACTGTCATCCTACAAAAAACACAAGTACACAGAACATGAATAAAGTACATACAGAATGGATAAAAGCAAAGTGCTTATGGATCTGTTTGTGGGATTATTTTAACACAGCTATGCAGATTGCATTATTAGTCCTGTTCTCATTTATCAACACCTTTATTATATGTATTAAAGTTTGCTGCACAATTTGCACCATCATCAGAAAAAAAGTATATATATTGCTGATTATTCACAATGCATCACCAGCAGTTAATTTTCAGTTTATGTACGCCTGTGGTGTCTGATCAAAATCACTCTATCAAAAAGTCTCTATCAGGACTTAAGCAGCCAGTCTTGATCTTGGCTTTTCTAATATTGAGTGTCTGTTGTTACCGAGGGCTGATTGCTTTTTTACAGGTTATTAATTTTTAGAAAGGACATCTGGAGAGAGACATAAAATAAAGGGAGTAGAAAACGGGGAAAGACAGGCTGCAATGAGGACTATAGCCTCTGTACATGGGGTATGCACTTTAAATGCTTGGCCAACCAGCACCTCAGAGTTCTGATTGTAATCTCAGTGATTGTGAGTAGTGTCTTGCCCCTGGCAGGGCCTAACCTCTGGTCTTACACAGAGTTCAGTGGACTGCATAGGACTCCTTCAAAGGTTATTTTAAAATTGATGACAACTGCTCTTGTTGCATACATTTTTTTAAGTAAAAACTTAAACTTATTAAAAACTTATCAAACAAACTGAATCGAGCTCTATGTGGCCAATAAAGATTGGTATAAAATGTCTGTAAGAGTCTGAATATAGATCTTTGAAATTCAATATTAACCCTTACAGACATCCTTCATATTGACATCCTTTTAGGTTTAGATCTGCACCCGTGATGTATCTTGTACTCACAGATAGTTCTAACATGGTTTAAGTTAAATCTGTCATGAGGTGGATACCAGACCAAGCAAGTGACTTCTTGCATTTCTTTGATATTTCCTCCTTTACAAATTTTCTCTGTGTGATAAATGTGACTGGTAAAAAAGAAAAAACAACCTGTTAAACACCTGTTAAACTATGCAAACTCTTTTCTGTATTCCATAATCTACTCTATTTCTATTTTGTTTTGAGTTTGGATGTTTCGCAAATCCATTTTAAGACATACACCTGCAGAATGTAAGGGATAACATATAATGAGTCCCTAAAGTTCCTCCCTAAGCAACAGTCTGTTCTTCATAGCAACAGTCTTCTATCAAGGTATATCAGATAACTGCAAGAGAATGACCAATCAGAATCAATAATTCAACACAGCTGTGTATCAGTCAACAAATCATATATAGTAAATGAGAGTTTAACTGGTAACCTCTGGGTTGGTGCTCAGTGATTTACACTCTTAAAAGTTGCCTGTGTTCATGCCAAACTGAAACTTGCCAAGAAATCAACAGCTCATGAGTGACGCTACATGTAACAGTCCAATTTAGGCCCCAGGACGATTGTATGTTAACTTGCACTTTGCAGTTTTTCCACTTTTTTGTCTTTACAGCAGTGGCAGGGAGGATGCAGTGCTTGTGTAAGCAGTGTTTTGGAGAGTGTCAGTGTGATAGTCTCATAAAAACTGAGGCCTCACTTCACTCAGAAAGCAGGTTGTTCTCAGTGTTGCTCAAGAGAGTTAAAAGTGTGGGAAATGACTGTGAGAAAGTATTGCAACTCCCTCACACAGGGAGGGAAAGCGGCAGGGCAGAACATGAATTTAAGGAGCAAACTAACATGCTGTTTCTCAGCATTGATTTAGCTGTGGCACACCCATTACCTCACGCTATTGCAAATGATTCACACACTTGACACAGGACTGTACTTGAAGTTGAATATCTGTGGTGATAGTTAAACAATAAATCATGCCTTCTAGTTCTGAAGATCTTGAAGGAGGTACCTAAAATTAGGTTCTTAAATGATGATTGAAACCATGTGATGAGATTTTCCTCTTCTTCCTCAGGCCTCTGATACCATAAGTTTTGGTTCAAACACAGAGAGACTGATGCAAGTCTCAAAAACCCCGAAGCAACACTTGCCATCTGGGTCCCAAGCCTTGATCAAGTGGGCAGGGGATCACAGCTACAGTCCAGTAACATCTTACACCAGCACCCCTGTGGCTAACCACTTCACTATCCGACTAAGAGAGCCAGGTAAAGTCAAAAATGTCTCTTGAATTCAAAAATAGAAAAATTTGAGAATACAGTACAGAAACCATCTATTTTGGCAGCTGTTGTAGATTTTTAGTCTTAACAGTCTTAACAGAAAACCTGGTGTAAAATTTTGTAATGGTTTTATAGTTTTAGTCCTGTATAATTTCCCTGCCTGTAAAATCAGTCTCTTGAGGTCCTAACCATGTGTGACTTTCAGATGTGGTGGATCCTCTGGAGAGCATGTTGCCTCCAGAGCTCTCCATCCTGCGAGACTCCAGTCCTCATGCAGGACTAGGAGAGGGAGAGGTTGCTTCTCGACACTCCAGCCTTCCCTTTCCCTTCCCTCCACCTGGCTCTGACGGCCTGCCCTACCTGCAGCTGCCTGACTCTCTGGACAATCGGCCCTGGGAAAATGTAGAGCCGGAGGAGCACCAGGGCGTCCTGAATGTTGGTCTGACAGTGCAATGTGAGGACACAAAGATGGTGGTCAGCATTGACAAAGAAAGTCTGCAAGTAAGTCAAAAACATGATGAGTTTTTAGCTGGTTTAGAAAAGGGGTGGTAAAATGCAGAATGTTTAAGAAATAAGCTGTGTACTAGTATGAAGAGTAGGAAGTGTAGACAAAACCAGTTTTGTGCTGGTGCAAGATCAAAGAATTAGGCAAAATGTAAAAAAGTAAGCACGAGTCACTGTAACAGGCTGGTGCATGCAACACTATCACTGAGTTTTGATAAAGCTGTACATAGGCTGCGATACAACTACTTGACCACAGCAATGTGTAACTAGCACATGTATGTGAAAGTCAACCAGCAGAGAGGACTGCTATTAATAGATATGGAGAAAACAAAAAGAGGACACTAGTCAATGTCTAAACTAATAAATGAATGCAGGATTCATGCCTCCATGGTTGTACATCTTTGATATCTAAAATGTAAACTTAGTGTTCAGGCATCTGTATTAAAACTAAAGGAAAAACAAAGCAAATAAGTGTCATATCCATGATGATAAAAAAGTCAGAACCAACACTGACAGGTACAATGACAAGTATTGTTCTTATTCTTGTACCTATTTAAATAAATAAATAAATAAATACCAGCTTCCCTGTTAGACACCAGCTAACATTCAAGCATGTTGAGCAGTTCTTAGCGTTTGGCATCTCAACACAGGGGCAGCACACTCAGCCCACATCACAGGGTGGAAACTGGCATCGACTGTAATTAGGAGAAGCTGTGGCTGGAGCTAGACCACCTTGTGGGATTTGTTTATTCCTTGGAACTTAAAAGTTAAACAACCGCTTTAACTTTAAGACTTTCTTTTCAAATTCTGAATATGACTTAATAAAGAAAGGTTTTTGATCATCATCCAACAATTCAATTTTTTTATATTACCTCAGGCAAATGGTTTTACTCATGCAAAGCTCACGCTCCAAGATCCTGCATGCAAAGCAACAATCAATGCCACCCACTACACACTGGAAACTCCTCCTGATGGCTGTCAGACCACTGTGTATCCCATGCAGGGTAGCCCTTTGGCCCTGCACATCAACTCTGTGAGTATAAAACGATTTCCATGTTTTAGTTTCTTACTGTAAAGCTTTCTCACTTGCAGTATGCTGAGCTACTTACAAGTCTACACAATCAAGGCAAATATACACAAACAAACTGTTTGAAAGTTACATTGAAATCCAAATGTTTTCACCTGAGCTTAAAGGAGTCAAACATGACCTTTTTCTTAAACCAAATCATTTTAAGGCACAAACAGCACAATGTGTGAAAAAGCAAAGAACCATGGCAAGATTTCAATTCTGAACCATCACTGACATTATGTTTTAAATGTGACACAAACAGGGGTCTCATTAGTGAATGTCCTGTGGCTGACCTTTTGGCTCTTCCAACCAATCACAGCACAATGATAACGGGCAATTACATCTTTAGTGGGGCAGGACTGGTCTTGTTCTTTGTTTGGGGAAAAACAAGCAGCCACCTGCTGTGTTGGAAAACAAAGCCGATGCTGAAGTATAAAAAAAAAAAACAAGACAAGGACAGTCCATTAGAGCTCGTATTAGAATAACAGCAGACTTTAACATGAAGACAGTTTAGTGCTGACGCTACTTTATTTGTAATAGCTGTTGAGCTTTTCATCCCTCATCTGTTATGACAAATTTAGGTGAAGAGTTAAGCATGATTAATTCAATTCAATTCAACTTTATTTATAAAGCACATTTCATGCACAAGGCAGAGTCAGTGTGCTTCACAACACAAAAACAGTTAAATAAAAATCAATTTGAAATCAATTTAAGAGTGCAAGTGCAAGTAAACCAACTTGACCACATACACACAAACTCATACATGCAGTGACCCAATTGATCCATTTTCTGTTTCCTTGTATTTCCCTGTGCAGTGTGTTTTTCATAACTTCATTGTGTGATTTTTATAGATAAAAAAACAGCAAAACTAACATCTTGGATGTAGCAGTCTGGGGAATTGCTCAGATAAATGGGATGGGTTTTTTGACTTGCACAGTTTTTATTTTACTTCCTCTATTCACCAGGACATGGGAGAAATCATTCAGGATACCAAGTGTCTTAGTTCTAATTGTTTTACTCGCTATTGTATTCATATCTGTCTGATATCAGACTCCAGCTAACATCCTTGGGAAATAGATATGGTTCTTGTAGGATTTACTGAAAAAAAACATGTTGTAATGCATGGTTGTGCATTACTTTGGTGGGATTATACATGCCTTATTACAGAAGGAGACCAGCCGTTACAGATTTAAGGAAAAATGCCTTAAACCCCTGAGAGGTCCGCTTTGTCAGTTTCTACATTAGCCAGGTGTTAGCTGGAGTTAGCATTTCAAACATGACATCTGTCCTTTGCAACATCCCTATAGAAACCAATGTTACTGAGGGTACCGCCATGTTTTTACAGTGAGAGGTGCAGAGCTGCTCACCAGACGCTTGAAACTCAAACTCATTTCCAAAATATTGTCTTTTCATTTTACTGGTTGAAGAGAAAGCGGGGGATCTATGTATCGTGGTCTTTGTGTCATTATGGTGAAAGATTTAGAGTGAGAAATTGATCATTTCTTTGCGCTCTGAAGTACACTCTCATGTGATGGTCAACACTTGAATGCCTTTATGAGACCCAGTCTTCACAAGTGGATACCCTTGGTTATCTTCATTATAAAGGAATGCATTCATCCAGAGTGTTTGTTCCAACAAGCAGATGAATCACTTCTCCCCAACCTTCTGAAATCTTTTGTGGGGGGACATTTGGAGAAACACATTTTGTGTCCAGTGCAGAAAACCTGGGCACATGTCCAAGGTCATCTTTTGTGTGAGTACTTTGAAGCAGGGATGACCTCTGACCTTTGTTCAAAAGAGATACATTGTCATTGACAGGATCGCCGCATATCAAATACAATCTGTTCTTTTCTTGTCCTGTAACATGTTGATAGAAGTCAGCAGTGGCACTTATTGATGGCAGGTCAACTCACCCTTGGTTCAGACTGAAGACAAACACAGTTGGTGTCATGGAGATTCTCCTCCCACCTCATTAAAGTGAACTTTTTTTAAAGCAGCATGCGCTCATCTCAGAACCCTGAAATTCCTCTGCTCTACTGAGAAATTAAAAGAATGTTTTTATGTTTTTACTCAGTGTGGGTCCCACTGCTGAAGCAACAGGACATTCCCACATTTTCAATCCAAGTCAGATTGTTTTGGCGACCCCTCTCAAAGATTCAAATCTCCATGACTTTGACTCGTTGAAAACTCAGGATTAAGCAACACTTTCCACAACTGGAACCTTAAGAAAACAGCTGGATAAGATTTTGATGCAAAAGTTTTCCCTTCTCGTGTTGCATTGGTATTTGTGAATAACAGATTCCTCTGTGGGCTGCAGGTTCTGATAAGTCATACTGAGAACAAGGACGGGAGTGGTGGACCAATGGATTATGATGACCTGGAATCTGGAGATGTGTTGTTCCCCAGGGATCCAGCGGACTTAGAGAAGACGTTCAGAGAGCCCACAGAGCATCAGTCAGTCATAGTGGTAAGATTCACACCAGTCTGTGTGAGAACTGTACTTCACTTTTGAGTCACAGTTGTCAAGGCTGCATCTTTATGTTAATCGTGCAGAGCTGGGGAAAAAAAAAAAACCTCTCTTTCCCAGGGTCCCTTGGTTCTAGTAAAGCCTCATCTGACTCTTGCAATTTCTCTGATTTTTCCATATCTGTTTTATGAAGTTGACCTGATATTTTCCATTTGAAGTTCCTCCATCTTTATTCCCATACGGACTCATTTTCCTTTGTCTCATCCATTTCTCCTGTTGCACTCATTGTTCTTGTTTAAACAGTCACGTTATTTACTGCTCCATTTTAATGCGCCCAGTGTTAGAATCTGATGTCCAAACCCTGAGATATATTTAAGTTGGCTTTGTCTCTCTTTTTCCCAGTTTAACTGCACATACAGTAAGCAGCAGGACACTTCAGAGACACTCCTGAGGATCATACCAGGACCAGGGAAGCAGCCGGTCAGCAACATGACATTTCACATGGAGCTGTACAACACACTGCCGCCCCACAACCCTTCACGGCAGGCCTTCTACACTGTTATGCAGAATCAGCAAGTCTTTGTGGAGGTATTCTTGCATTTCTGACACATTGTGGACCATTTAGGGGCTTGTGTTTCAGCAGGTCGAAGCAGTTTCATGTTAGTGACATGTTGATGACACATTGGACACATTTTCTTACTGGACACTTAAAGTAGCGAGTCCATCTCCCTCTGACCAGCTGCAACACAGAAACAGGATTTAGGGATCAACAAGGTGCACCACTCAGTGCCGCGTAGTACTTCTCCAATAGGAATTTAACTGATGTGATGGTTGGTGGTCACTTGCATTGCATGCTGTCAGGACACTGTTAAAGAGGTTCCTCTTTAACAGCAAGTCTTGCACAGTAGAATGGTACAGTAAACATGTTTTCAGCTTTGATTTAAATGACCTGGCCTCAGGTATCTAACAAACCAGATGACATTGACCTGAATGTTTCACATGGTGTCAGAAAAGAGACTTTACCTACAAAATAAAATATTAAATAAACAAATAAGATGTGTGCTCAGGTCAAAGACCATTAAATCACTCATGGACAAGTAGAAACATTTAAAGCTCCTGTGAGGAGATTTTACGCATCACTGAAATAAACTGAAATCCATACTGATGATTTTTTATATTTAAAAGCAAAAGAAATCATCAGCAACATGAGTGATGATTTTTATATCGTAATTATTGTATGCATGAAATTGTTGAGGGGGGTAGGTGTCACCTGAGCACATGAAGGACAACCCTATTTTTACAATGTTAATATAAAATATTCACAATAAGTGATGCAGTCTGAAGTCACTAGGATTAGACTTTTTATCAGAAGACACAGTTTTAGCATGTAGAAAACAAGGTATGCAAAGACTACTTTGTCCACAGGGGGCACCAAAATAGACACAAACCAAAAGTTCCACTCAACAGCTTCAAAATAAAAGCCAAACTTACAGGTGTAATATGCTGTAGTTGGTTGGTGTTATCCCAGTAGTGTAGTATGAGTCTAGCTGTGCAACAAATTTTTTAACAGGACTTTTACAGACTCTTTTATCAAACTCAAGACCATCAGAAAACAAATCTGAACAAAACACACACTGTATCATCTTCAAACAGGTGCCTTTATTTTACAATCTTCAACATTTCTGGTATAGACAGAAAAATAGCTTAAAAAGATAATAATCTATATCAGCAGATATAAAAATTTCTGCTGATACGTACTGTTGATAAGGTAACAGCTTATGTATATCGACAATGTGATGGAAACAGCAGACACATGACTTAATGTCTTTATTTGAAAAACATCACATTTGGCATTCATGGTCAAACCAGAGGCTCTTTCTTGTTTTATGGTGGTTTTTAAAAAAGAATTCACTGGTAATTTATAGTACAGGAGAGCTTTTGTATTGTTTACAGTGGATAAAAAGCTGTATATATGTCAGTTTTGTCATTGGTAGCAGTTTGTAAACCCTGGCATATCTGCAAAAATCCATCCTGCATCCTTGCTTTATTCCTTGCATTTTTTAAGTGTAGTCATTTTACCTGATTATGTATCTAGCCTTATGTTAAGGCTAGATTAGTCTTAACAAAACCAACACTTCAAACTTATGAATTTTGTTCGCATGACCTCAGCAGTGAGGTTATCTTACAATCATTTTTCTGTGGGTCAAATATAACTTGAGCAGATTTCAAAGAAACTCTTCTCAGTTGGAGGACATGAGCTCTTACTCCATTGATCCCTTTATGGGACATCAACAGTGTCAATTTGTATTTTGTCTAGCTAGGGCTAGACAAGGCCAATACTCACTGTCACCCCTCATCTTCTTTGTATCTCCTCTCCATGTGTCCCAGTATCCCGTCTGTCTGGCTCGAAGTCCTGTCTGTCTGTTTCGCAACAGTAATCATGGAGGTCATGTAAGAGATGGCAGAGACCCATACTTTGAGGTCTTTTGAAGAGTTGATTTAGGATGATATCAGCAGGAGATGCTGCACTGACAGTGTGGACGCAGGGCCAGCTGCTTACAAAGAGTTGTCTGTGCATGTGAATGCAAAACCTTTCCAAGAGGATACCATCACTGCCAATCAGTGAAAAAAGGAAGGGGAGGAGTAATAACTCAAAGGACTGTCTCATGGCTGAATAGATATTACTAGCACCCTCTGAACTGTGACTGAAATACTACTCAGATATATTTGTTGTTTTAGAAATAGTTAATGTGTCAGGGCCTGTGTTAAGACTTCAGCCTTGATTTAGAGTCATTCTCCTGTCTGCTCTGGTCTGGTTTTCACATTATTGCTGTAAAAAAAAAAACAAGGGAGCATTTAGAGGCATATTGCTCTATATCATTGACTAGTTAAGTGCTGACTTCAGTAAGATCAAAAGTGCTGCCCTGACGTCAAAACAATCAGCTGAGTGATGCTTCAAAGTAACATGAATGTTAATGGACACTAGCCCTCAGATTATAAACACCTTCTAAGTCAACCACCTCAAAGTAAATGAGAGTGGGAGTGGATTTATCTCACTTTCTGCAAAAATGTCAGCCGGCCTTGTCAGGTCATTAGCTGCATAATCAGGAGCAGAAAATTGCTATAAAAATATCATAGCAGTAAAAACAATTCTGCACACCCTTAAGAGTACAACAGTGCATTTATGTTTGCTTTGATATCACAAAGAGGAAGGGAATCATGACTCATGGTCTGGGAACAAAATGATCTATACAGTGAGCTCTTATGGATCAAAAAGGCTCATTGGAGAAATCTTTCCATACGAGTACTGTTTAAATGTTTCTCCCACAATGGGATATTGTTTATTTTGGTTCTTTTTATACATTATTATACAAAAAAGAGACATTTCTGAACAATAATTCAGTAATGACCGCTCCCTTTCATTAAGACAGTTATTTAAATGAGAAATAAGGGAAAAGGAAAAAGAGATTATCTGGATCATTTGCTCTGTGTAATAAATTAGACCTGGACAGACCTGCTCCCTGTATGTGGTTCCTCTGTATTTGAAGAATAAATGTTGTTTTTTTCCTCTCCCCTTCTCCTCTGCACTTAAGGTCACATCAACCGCATCAGATCCAGAGCTGGGCTTCACCATCGTATCGTGCTTCGTTTCTACCAACTCTAACCCCAGTGTGGCCTCAGGCTACACCCTTATCGAGACAGTCTGCCCCACGGACGACTCAGTCAAATACTATCCTCAGAGAGATTTCCCTGTCCCCCACACACAGACAGAGAAGAAGAGGTTCAGCTTTAACTTCAACTCTAATTTTAACACCTCCCTGCTTTTCCTGCACTGTGAGATGTCTTTGTGCTCCAAGAGGCCGCAGAGTAACCCAAGACTACCAGTGGTATGCTGCAAAATCTCTTATTATTTTGCATGTTTTATAATTTCCCTAAAGGATTCTTTAATTTCTCCAGAGATCTGCAGTATCGGGAGTAGTATTGTTTGAGGAAGACTTTAATTTGGTGTTGTAGCATACCATCTTTACTCTGGCTGACCTAAACCATTCAGAGTCAGGTCTGCACTCAAAGCAGGAAACATGAAATGATGCAAATGTCGCCAAGTATCCAGCTGCTGAACAAAATAAGCGTCCATCTTGGCCATTATTTTCCTTTTTCTCTGATGTGTTATCTACCTAACTTATATATCCTTTTGCAGACACTTTCCTCTATTTGTTTGACCTTTTACACATCATAAATTTGTGTTAATAAGGGGACTGTGGAGCTAGTTATTATGTTATGATTACGGTCAGTGTAAGGTTAGGGCTCATGAGTTTGTCTTTTGTTTGCCTTCACAAGTCAGGATTAAGATAAGACATTTCCCTGAGAAAAAGAAACCTTGTGACATTTTCTTTTCTTTTTTTTTTAAATGAAGCAGTAGTTCAGTTTTTTAAATTTGATCTCTTGCAGTGCTTACAACCTGGTGAGACCTGCGATTCTCTCAGTCTGGACAACATCATGGCGATGATGATGAGAACAAAGACGTCAACCAAGCCATTAGTAGTTGTGGATGGAACCAGCCAATCAGACATAACAGGTTAGCACTGACAGGAAAAAAATACTTTTTTTTCACTCACTTGGACCTCTCTTGTCTCATCTCTGTCCTCCATATTTTGGTCCTATCTGCGCAGCACATTATCAATTAAGCTTGGATTTCCTTTGTTTTGAGAACAAAGTGTGATAAGGAAACTGTGGAGCTATGAGAGGCCAGTGTGAGGGCAACAGAGCTGGAGAAAACTCGGGCCGGCACTTGGAGATTAAACCAAAACCACAAAACACTGCACATCACTCCCTCACATCTGGTCATCATTAACGGTGGTGTGTGTGTGTGTGTGTGTGTGTATGTATGTGCCTAGTAATGTTGTGTATGCAGGTGCGTGTATGTGCACATTTGCGCCTGTTTACATTAATGACAGTACACAAGAGTGTGTTTTTGGGTGTGTGTATACACAAGCATGTGGTTTACAGCAATGAATGGGAGTGTACCGGTGCTGAGGCCCTGTTTGGCTGCTCTGGACCGGTCCATGCTCGGGGAGAGGTGGAAAAAGAGGAGTCATACAGAACCAAGCTGCAGTTGTTTTCACTTAGGACCTTCACTGTGGCCTCAGCTTTCCACTGGAGAGAGGGAAAGGGGGAGAAATGAGAGGAGTGGTGGTCCTCTTGCTGGCTTCAGGAGTCCATCCAGCGCCTGCAGACTTGATCAAAACTTGTACAGTGACTTATTCACTCACCATATTCAGTCTGGAAGGCTTTGAATGAGACCAGGGAGGGAGCAGCCTGAAGATTAGAAGGGGTCTGAAGACATATTTTACTCATTATGATTTTAACTTACATGGGGTGATATCATACGTGCCTGATCTCTGAGGGACAGTCAGAGCTAGTCAAATCAGCATCCCCTCTGAGCCATGACATCAGCAAGAGATCTGTGGTCCGTTTGAGTCAATTGTACTGACTCATCATGAGTTTAGTACAAATCATGTCACTCTAGGCAGCGTGAGAGTGAAACTGACTAATATATTAGAATAGCCAATATCAGCAAAAACAACTTCATTGTAATTTATAGTTTGATATCAATAGATTCGATTAGATACAACTTTATTTATCCTTTTGGGATGTACTAGCTCTAAGTAACATTAAATGGCAGTAAGTGGTGGCAAGTAATGTGCCTGTGCCATAAACTGTATATAGAATGGACGCCGTCTGCCTCCTCGCTGGGTGAAGCCACCCTGAGAACAGCACTCTGTAGTGACGGGCTGCAGTATAGGTCATAAATCCTGCCTCCTCCAGCAGTCTTTATGGAGCTGTGGACAAACTTCATAAATTAATTATACAGAATATAGATTTTTCTCCCCCTGGTTGTGATGTTGACATGTAGTTACTGTAAGACTGGTTTGTGCTCCAGTCCTCTTTTTTCTGTACAATCAATTTTTTAAAGTCATTAGGGGGTTCATGTTTTCTATGATTGACACTTGATACAGCCTATGGGCATACGAAGATTGTGTAGCTCACCCAGGGGATATGCTGTTTGAGCCGTCAACACAGCACATCAAAATCCCGGGAATACCGAGAGCAATTCGGCTTCAAATTTGTACAATGATGGAAGGTGGAGCCAGGTTGTCTATAGTATATACAGTCTATGGGCTGTGAATTCTGGTCAGAATTTAAAAATCTGTTGAAAAAAAAAGGAAGTTAGTCTGTTCGAAACATCCTAGTTAGAAATGGGCCAACAGTGCCCATTATAACTAACCATGATTAAAGGTGCTTCGTGATTGGCTTGGTTTTTAACACCATGAAGATAAGTCCACTTATGCCGTGCAGATACTGGTTTTCCCATAAACTGAATTATAGTCTACTTTAGACTGTTGGACAGTAAATGTTACTTAAGTGAATTAACTTTAGGTTAAGGGAAATGAAGATGCTACTGACCCCTTTATGATTGTTTATCGACCCAACTATCAAGAGCCTTACAAGCTAAAATAAAACGCTAATCAAAAGTGGACAGTAGTCAATAATGGGCTTTGTGTAAGGATAAGTGAAAGGTATCGTATTTTGCATGATGACTGAATCAACTACAACAACTACAAAGCAGTCAGGCACTACATACATTCAAAACACTTCATTGATTACAACTCTTAAACCAAATTTAGGAGATACTGATCCAAGACTTGTGCTAATAGTACATTTTTATGAGTACATAAAATAGACTTTTTTCCATTTCTATAAACTGCAAAGATGTAGGCTTCATAAGTCTGGTATCAGTCATTTTTTACAGAGAAGTTTTGAACATGAGAGGGTTGGATTTATGACATTTTAATTTGTCATCGGGTTTCATTTCTGGGCAGAGATGCGAATGGCGTCACTTTTGGGCACTGAATTCCCAGTGTTGATGTTAGAGAAACTGCTGAGGATATTGGTGAACAGAGACTCTGCAGTGTGCTGTAATGAGTGAGGGAGTTTGCTCAGCTTGTCCAGGGGAGAAAGCAACAGGCTTTGCCCACACCAATATGCAAGTGCAGCGGGTTTGTTTTCCATGGAGCAGATTAAGTAAACACAGATATGCAATAAACACAGTGGAAAAAAACTCAATTTCAAAGGCCGTGTTTTATTACACAAAGGCATCTCTTATACTAGGATGGCAAACAAAACAAGCAGCCTTTTCAGTGGCCTTCGTTTTGCACTGGACGGCATCCCAAAGAGCTGAACTTGATCTACAAATCAAAGGCGGCCACTTGTAGCCAAGTTGGTGCATGGAAAAACATAGGAGGCTCAAAATTCTGCAATTGAAAGTAGATTTACTGCTTCACAACATCAGTAAATTTTATGCCTTTTTTATGGATCTGGTAATGTTCAGATTTATTGGGGAGGCTGGCAGAGGAGAGGTTATCATTAAACCAGTACAGGTAGTATTACTCTGGTTTTAGCCTGAAGAGAGTAACAGAAGGAACAAATCTGGAGTTCACTTTCTTACATTGCTGACCTCTCTGAATGCAGATCTTTCTTAGGAGTTGGGTACTATTATAATACCGGTTAACAAACAGGTCGGTATATCTTTTTAAACCTGAACGATATGGATATTTGGACTTTTACTTATTAACATTCATGCCACAGAAGATAAAGGTTTAGCAGACTCAATGTAAATAAATCAACACTTAAAACCATATGAACCACTTTATATTATAAGTTATTAGAGGCATTGAAGGCCTTTTGGATCAAGTTTATTGCAGTAACAGGCTTCTATCTGTCAAATTTAACTGCACTCGTCTTTATAAGCAAGAACAACTGTTGTAAGGAGTCTCAAAGAGGCCGTCAGTGGTTTCTGCTCGCTGTGGGGAGAGGTCAGAGGTTAACAAAAACAAGTTTCTACCAAGGGGTCCTTTCTCATTCCATAGCCAGCAAACTTACACAAACAAATGACGTTCATAGAGATATCTGAACTGATCCAACTCTGGCAACAGCTTAAAGCTGCAGACATGAGTTATAACTTAACCTCCAAAGTGCTCTTTGTTTCTTTTTAGAGGGAGAACAAAAGTTAAGATCTGACTGATGTCCAGCAGAGACTTGTTCCCCTTGGACATCGAGGCATTATTTCAAAAGTGTGTTTTTCTTTTTAGCATGGTAACCATGGCCATACTTGGATGATTGTGATGTAAAGTTGGATGATCGTCAAGTCAATTTTTCCACATAAAACTTCATGTTTGCAGGAAAACATTGCAGCCACTCTTCCTCTCTGTTGGACTCATGGGGTTGGAGAAAAAAATGGAAACTCTTTGCTTTCCTACTGGAGTAGAACAAGTCACATGGAAGAGATAACACTGGAGCACTAGGACGGAAAGTGGTAGAGGGTGGTGGAGAGGACGTCCTCTGGCCATCGTCCCCCTCTGAAATTAAAGTCCTCACTGATGACCTGTCATCATCTATTATAGGAGATGAAAACCTAAAGGTGTCCTCTCCAAGAATAGCAGTCATTGTACTGGAGCCTTGGACATGTACCAGGATCGCCTCTTGAGTTTGCCCATACACAAGCGCCTTTGTATTGTTTGTTAAGACATCATTAGAGCTGAGTAACTTTTGAAAGCCTTCCAGATGGCTTGAAATAAATGGGTTAGCAGAGTTGGCTGGAGTCAGTAGGTTCATCTTTTAGGACACTGTCAGCAGACAGAATAGCGGCTCTTTCAGCGATTTCCTGCTCCAGGTTTCTGTATCACATTCCTCAGAGGACTGCTTATCAACACACAGCAATATCAGTAATCTGCTGATCCTCTGGCATGTAGCTGACAGGCTGACTCAGGCCATGTATTGGTTTTTAAATAATTAAAATTTGTAACATATACCATGAAACAGTATACACAATGGTAAGCATTTATTCTTCTTTCTCTCTGTCTCTTGTTGTAGATATACCTACTCCGAAAGCACCTCCAAGTCCGAATGATCCTACAAATGACGGTAAGTTATTTTTCATATTTTAGGAATTATGATAAAAATGAGATGATGTCATGCTGGCATAGACAATGTAAAACATGGACTTAGTCCTACAGACATCAGCCATCAGTCTGTGGAGAAGTGAGTCAGCTGATATTAAAATGCTGCATCTTATTCAACTCTTAGCCAATCTAGAAACTGGCAAAGAGTTGGAGTCTAACCACCTCCTATCCGTCTGTGAAATAAGCTACAGCATATGCATGACTTACTTCTCCAATATGATCAGAACAAGTTAGTTATTAAAAAAGTCATCCTCTGTGCAGGTGTCATAACTTAAAAAGTAGAGGTAGAGACCAATAATGTAGAATGGAGTTAGCTCAGGCAGGCCACAAAGTGAAGTTAGCTCAAACACACCTGCTGGTCTTGAGCTGGCAGCTTAGCCAACTACCTATTGTGCATCCAAAATGTGTGAATCCTCCTAAAAATGCTTTAGTATGCTGACTCTTCCTGCTGCAAACCCACCTCCATACCTGCTCCTCCTAACATGCTGCGCCTGATTTTACCAGTATCATATATACTGTCACTGGTGCCTGCTCTATTTTCTACTTCAGGGGTCTTTGCTGCTGCTCTCCCTGCTTTAGCTCTTTCGTGTATGCACATGAAACTGTGGGTAGATGTTCTCTCCCTGCCTCTCTTAACTGCTTCTTGTATTGAGGTGTAATCTTGTTCAGTTCCACTGTAGAAATGTGTCTTTAACATGAGCTGTAACAGGAATTCCTGGGCTGTTTGAGGCAGCCTCAAGTGAACAATTAACTCAAGTATCATGTACTCATGCATCGGCTTTGTCTTTAATACAGGAAGTCTTAGGCATCATAATTTGATATATTGACGGGAAACACTGTTTTGATGCAGTTGCTTTTTATTTATCTGAACATATTGTACTTATTTATGTGGTATGAAATATTGAGGAGCTTAAAGAGTTCATCATTTGTGTATGTGTACTGTGTATGTCACGTGTGTTTCTTTGTTTACCAGGCACTATGTACATCCTGGATACTCCCACAGTCGTTGGGATCGCCTTTGCAGCCTTTGTGATTGGGGCTCTGTTGACCGGGGCCCTGTGGTTTATCTACTCCCACACAGGTAGGTTCCTTTACCTGCTGCTCCCCGGCCTCTGCTCTCCTTTCTTCCACATTAATGAAAAGATAAGATGCTAAGGAATGCCTGAGTGTCTCTGTGCCAGAAATGTGCCGCTGAGATTGCCAAACATCCTGCTGCTGACAGGGGCCAGTTCACAATAACATATTGACTCCTCTACTGTAAATATATCCTGTTGGTCAGCAGCAAGAGCTCTCCTCTTTCCTGCCTTTGAATGTTTTTTCGGGGCCGCGAGGTGGTCAGCGAATATTCTCAGTACAATGGCTGGAGACAAGTTGGAAATTCCCTTTGTTGGGTTTAGTGGCCCTCACAGGAAAAGACACACAATCTGTCCATTAGATGCCAAGACCTTCCTCATCGCCCCCTGCTTGTCGACCCTGGCTGACCCTTGAGAGGAAGTGAGCTCCCAGCAGCTCTTTAAGTTCATCATTGCACAGAGCTGCCCTGTTCTCACTGACCTGACTGCTGATCTGCCATGCCACTGACCTGTTGCCCCATGGCTGATGTGTTCTCCATGGACACCTTTCATGCACAGGGTCAGGGCGTTAGAGCTTAGCAGCCTTTGAGAAAAAACATCAGTGTGAGTGTTTAACTTAACGCCAAGTTTGCAGTTTAATAGAAGTTCTTGGTTGGATTGCCTCGAACAGCTGAGACAGTAAATCATCCTCCCTGATAGTTGTGAATCTTCACGGATAAAAACAAGTACATCCATTGGAAATGCAAAAATTATGGCCGGTGATGATAAGTCACATTTATAAGTATTTATGAACAAATTCTCTAGTAGCAGAAAAGATCAGCTGTCAGATTTAAGTGCCCTTATCTCTATCACAACATTAGTATTGGCTGCCCTTTGGAAAGCCACTTTATTTCAGCTTCATAAGTTTCTTTCTGTGACCAAGAAACACATCCTTTTCAGTTGGATTTCCAAAGAAATGAGGGCAAAACACAGCCTGTGTAAAGAAACAGGTGGAAGCGTAGTTGTTGTTGATAGACTTCAAAATGTTAAGATGAAGAGTCTGGGCCTGTTGATGTTGCTAAAACAGGGCTTTGTTTTGAAGTTAATGGAGCTGAAATGACCTTACATGGTAGTAGTGGTCGTTCCACACAAACCCCAAGAACGGAGATCCCCCAAAACAACAGCCTAAAGATATCCCATCAGTGTATTTTAAACTAAAGTACAGAGTGAAGAAACATGAAAACAGATCGGGTCAATCCCCTCAGGGTCTGAGGACAATGTTCCTAGTCTCTTGAGGAGGAGGAACATTTTTTCCTTTTTCAGAGTGAAACCCACTCATTGGCATTAAATATGAAGTTTTGTATTCATTACACTTTGATTTCCCATAAGGCAATTACAAGAATCAAAGCTTCATGATATCCTTTGACATTTTGCTCATTATCTTGGCACACGTAATTGGCCATCACTCTGCCAGGGCTGCAGTCAGGACTGCCAACAGATCTGCTCTGCACCTCGGCTCAGCTGGTGAAATAATATACGAACCAAAGATCAAAACCAACTGTGAAAACAGGCTGAATCACTTACATGAGGACAAATTTCACACTTTATCTACTGTGACGTCCAAACACATGCAAGTAGATTAGAAAGTAATGATCACACTCTCCAAGCTCTGATAGGAGGGAAAAATGAACAAGAGCTTCTTTTATTGAATTACTCTTCAAGGATCAATAAAGTTCTTCTTCTTCTTCTACTACTTCTTTTTCTTCTTCTTCTTCTTCTACTTCTTCTTGTCCTACTCCTTCTTCTACTTCTTTTTTTGTTCCTTCTTCTTCTCCTTCTTCTTCTTCTTCTTCTTCTTATTATTATTATTCTCATTCTTATTCATACAGCAATGCAAGCAGCAGTGCTTATGACCATGCTGTTGTTTAGCTCGCTGACGCTTTATCACTCCTCTTGTAAAATGTCAAAATCCTTACACATGGTCATAGTCACTGCATTGCTTCAATACACACACGCTAACTGGACAAAGAGGGTATCCCTCCCGTCAGCAGAGGTTGATCTTTGCAGGAGGACGAACCCATGCTGTCAGCCCTTTTTAAATAATGTTAGATCGATCGAAATTTTGCGTGATCAATGTCATTCTTAACGATCAATGCCCATTCCTGGTATGAATAGCCTTTGGTGTCTTTTAATGTTGAAGGGAACTCCCCAGTGTAAAACGTGGATATAAATGGTGGTAAAGCATAAATTTACAAACTTCAGTTGTGTCTTTGTTTTATTTAGGAGTTAAAAAATGATCCCAAACTCGGAATCTCTTTTAGTTAAATTCTGTTGCAAAAAGATGTGCTATGATGTTCACAACTATTGACTGGAGTGGACTGATGGTATTACAGCCCTTAAAAATAGCAGCCACAAACAAAAAGATGATTGATACCTTTGAACAGTGAACCAAGGATGAATCTAAATGATTTGCAGTGATCAGATCAAAATTTTTGTTTGTCCTGCATACTGCTAAGGGACAAAGTGACCACAAAATAAATACAAATAAGTAGGTGTTAGCATAGTATAAGGCAAAAGTGAGAACATTTTTGCGGCATATTTCTGCAATTAAGCAAAATTTGAAGGGCCTCACAAGGCTTAAGTCTACATTAAATTTTAAAATTATTAAAACAGGTAATTCAAAATTAAAAGAGAAAATAAAAAAAAAACAGCAAAAACAAGGCTAACATGCTAACTGGCATGCCAACTCTGGCATATGGTGCGAGGTGCAGGATTAGCTAAGCAGTTAAATCACACACCTCATGTACAGAAGTTACAGTCGTCAAAATGGACAGCCCAAGGTTGATTCTGACACCTGACTGCATGTCTGCCTCACTCTTTCTTCCCTCTGTTCCGGCCCCCGCCACTGTCCTGTCTCAGAGTGAGTGGGTCAGCTCATAAATTTTGTGTTATTTGACTTGAGAGGTCAGATTTTGCTTTGGTTTATCTCCAAGCTCTGACAAAGGGACACAGTAGTGAGTCAATTTATTAATTCTGTGTGACAATATGGTAGCGCCCTTCTACTCTCCAAAGATAAGATTTTCATTCTGTTTCTTCCCCATCTGCTTTGTTTATCTAAAGATAATAAAGGATATGTCATCACCTGTCAGACTAGTGAGTTTCAGAGTACCACAGCTTTTAAAGGGATTTTGTGCATCACATAATTCTAAACTTTATTAAAAACATTATAAATCTGGAACATCGTTTATGCGCAGACATGTTAAGGTTGCATTTCTGCTTTTGTAATTCCTCAATCTTGAAGTCGGACATTTGCTATAACATGTACATGCAGTTTTGAAACTCAGTATGTTTCTCTGACATAAAAGCGGCCGGTATCTCTCCCATCTAAAAAGATAATATTGGACTTGGATTCACCTCATCTGTCGGAGGAAATATAAATTCCCAAGTCCCTTTGTTTGGTGGAGCTCTTGGTCCTGTGAGGGAAAAACTGCTGGCAGCTCTGCTCTGGTAAACATTAACAGAACTCAGGGGCCCTGAAGAGGGAGTGGGATGCAGGATTGCCTGTGGACACATATGCCTGTCATATATATGCAAGCACTCACATATGCACACGCAAAAGTTTTAGTCTAAACCAAACTGTCAGCAGAAAAATCTTTGTCTGTGAGGGGGGGATTTGATTGGGAGTTTTTCCATTTATCCTGCAGCAAAAGCTCAGAAGCAACCAAAGATGACTATCGTAATAACCATGCCAAATACTCCAATCAAGCATAGACTTGGCTTTAATTCAGACATCACTCATTGTCTGTCAGAGATGTTTTTGAGTAAACAAGTTTAAGAACTTTCATTTGCTCCTCCTTTGTTAATCAGTGTTTCTCAAGAGTCTCTGACATGCTCTGCTTATTTAAGCATGGAAAAATAAACCAGTGAGTAATTTGAGCCCCAGCTAGAGTGTCCTGTCATGTGTTTGCTGTATCTGCTAATTGAGTTCAGATTACAAAAGAAATGATCTCGGTATAAGAGAATCTTTTTGTCTTTCTGTTCAAAATATGTCTTTTTTAACAGATGCGATGTTAGCTGCTGTTTCCGAGCTCTCTGAGGTGACATTTTGGGGTACTTACGGTTAGAAACGAGCTGTGAATCTGTAGTAGATTATAGTCAAAGATGCTTTTATTCGAGGCAGATGGAGTCCAGAGTTCTTTGTGCTTGAATTTGCTCATGTGGAAGTGCACTGGGCTGAAAACGAGACTGTTTTTACTCCAGTTTGCCCCCTCCATTGCTCTATTTGCCCCCTACTATTCAGGCCTCATGTGTTGTCTAAGTGCAACCAGAGCAAGTTGTTTTCTGTGGCTTTAGATTGAAAGATCAAATATGTTTGCTAAGTTCATTGTTAAAATCCTTTAGTTTTGTTACCCCAGTTATTTTTCATGGAAATGTGTGAAATGTACATATCATGTTTTATGTTTTCCCTTATTCATATGAAATACCACTTGAGCAGTTGAACAAAAAAAAAAAAAAAACGTCCTCCAGATCAAAATAAATCTGTTTTGGTCTTAAAGGGGCTTAAATAGCATTGGACTACATTTCAAAAAGTGTGTTTACACCTGATGAATATTAGTATTAGGAAAACAGCAACAAAGGAGACTGTGGTGTTTTAGAGAGGAGCAATTTGTACCTTGAAACCGAACTATTAGTGGAGTTCCTTTCTGTGTGTGTCTTTCACTTATTTCAGTCTTTTCTCCTCTCTCTCCCCTTCTGTGTCTAGGTGGATCTGCTACAACCACACAGCAGGTCCAGAAACCCCAGCCTGCCTCAGAGAACAGCAGTGCGGCCCACAGTATCGGTAGTACACAAAGCACACCCTGCTCCAGCAGCAGCACAGCATAGCCCAGGGGGACACCGTGCAACAGAACCGGAGGGGTCTGCATTCACAGGGACTGGTGTGTTGATCTCCTTCCATGAAAGGGATTATGCAATAAAAAGTTTAAAGGTAATGAAAATAATAATAGTGATACAGGCACCCTCGGATCTTTTTTAGATCCTTTAGGTGACGCTTAAGCTAAGTGCTGTCATGATGTTTTTGGTCAAAAAACTTTAAGATGCAAATGCATCTATACAGGGCTTTTCTTCCTAATCCAAATGCTGTTGTTAGATCCCATCACAGCCTTTTATTTTTCACCATAAATGGTCTGATTCAGGCTGTTTATACCAGGCAGGTGTAGTCAGACAGCAAGGAAAGCAGTAAGGCAGCAGTGAAGTCAGTATTCGTAAGTGAGATGTTGATGGCTGGTTTTACACATTATTACTTTGTGACATGCTAACCTTAAAGGGGCAAAAGAGCGGAGCAACCACTACAAACATGCGGACAAAAGTGCAGTATAAAGGCAAGTTCTTTTTTGCAGAGGGAGAGATGATGGCTTTGAAAGGAAAGGGCAATTATTGAATGTATACAGAAGAGTAAATGCCAAATAATGTGACAGATAAATGTGAAAAAGATGTTTATAAAAGATGCGTAATAATGTAATCACTTTGCTGATACTTCCCTGATAATGAAAGCATACACAGAGGTATGTGCTTTCTACTGCTATTCAGTAGTTTTAGTAGTAGTTTTCAGTTGACATGAGTCTGAGACTCATAGGGACATTATGTGTTCCCTTTTTCCGGTGTTTGGTAACAGAATACTTTAACAATTTGCCAAATGTGGTCAATACTGTTGTGTCTTTATGCTGAGTCAAAGTCTGACACATTGGCTGTAAAGATAGATGACACCTTTATATCTTCACCAGTTGTTAGAAAGTGAAGCCATAATACCCCAAACGATCAGTGCAGACAGAGTGCACTGCTGTAGTCATGTGAAGTTGGAGTCTGGGATGTGTGTTTGTTTTTGTTAAGTCTCCTCCCACTTTTCCTTGTTTACTCTGCCAATCCAGTACACAAGGGGCTGCAGGAGAAGCACTTGTCAACAGACCTGCCAGATGAGTGACGGCAGTCCTGGTGCTAAAGCCCCTTTTTAAAAAATTAAAAACCACAGTTATCACGAAACCAGCACTTAGACATAAACTGTGCTAGTGAGATTTTGCGAATGCATTTTGATTGCATAGTTTGACCCATGTTCTGTCTGTCAGCGGAGGAGAAGGCAGGTTTTATGACCTTTACTGTAGCCAGTGGGTGGAGCTAGCGCCAAATGTTTTGGCTTCACTTCTGCAGAACTGTATGTCATTCCTCTTTTCATTCTGTCTATGGTTTGGCACAGAGGGTTAATAGTCTTTGCACAAAGACCTGAAGCAAAGGCAAACAGCGATCTCAAAAGAAGTAAAAAAAAAAAAAAAATTGCACATTTGTAGAACAAAGGGTCCCCCTTACATCCATAAATGTTATTCGTGAGTGTTTGAAGAAGTTACACCTGCCCCAAAAGCTTTGGACGCAGCAAAGCCAGAAAGTCATTTCTGATGCTAGGGTAGTAGCTTTCCATCAGGCTCTGTCTGGAGCTCAAAACAAGGCTGACACAAAGTTACTAACACATCTCAAACAGATTAATATGTTATACTTTCTCAAATAGAAATGTTAAAATGGTAATTTAGTAATTGTTGGGTGGATGAAACTACTTCTCTTAGCTTGCTGTTTCCCTTTGCTTCACATTTTAAGCTAAGAGAGGCTAATGTCATCCAGGCTTTGACTGTATACTTAGCATAAAGAAAGAGTGTTATTAATCATCATTTTTACATCCAAAAATACAATAACAATAATGTCCATTTCTCAAAAATGTAAAAGTATTCTGTTAAAATTTGTATATTTTTGTAAGTACTGTAAATACTGACAAATGTTAGAAGGCTAAGTCTGGCAAATTCTGTTTGCATACTTCTGATAAAGCCAGTTTTTCCATAACGTAGTTTATTATCTTGTTTTCAGAAGTTGTAAAAGAAGAACAGAAGTCTCAAATGAGGACTTAAATGCAAAATGATGGATTAATATTGTTAATACAAGTTTTGGATCTGTGTGTTCTCCTGCAGTTCAAAGTTAATTCTAGTAAGTTATATAAAACATGCAGAGATCATCATGCAGAGACACTTTCACAATTGTTTAAGTTTGATTGGTCTTCTAATAGGATCAGAGTTCGGCAGGATCTGTTACACTCTATCGTTAGCTGTTAAGTGTTTTTTTTTTTTTTATTCATGCTCATTTTGTATAAATCTTGGCACTGAGAGTGTTAATAAGCTGTAGCTGGAGCTCACTATTCTGATATTGGTATATCGTCATGTTAACTTTAAACTGCAACACCACAACTACCCCACCGTCTCAGAATAATATGAATGTTTGCTGTCGTGCTTTCCTCTCACCTGTATATGTTTTAGCAGACTGTTTGTGGGCCCTTTGAGTTTCCCCTGTCAGAATTCAACGGTGAGAAAAACAGAATGTTTGATATCTCAACTTTTGATTCTTTTTTGTAAACATGTATAAATCTTTCTACAGAGGGAACAGAGTATAAATACATATATATATTTGTGTATAGAATTATATTTTGGAATATATTTACTAAGAGAATTTATTGTCCTGTGTGTGAAAGTACTGTGAATTTTTATGGATGTGCTCATTCTTTATACATGATTATTTCAGATTTATGTACTATATTCATGCAAGCCTTATAATGTGTTTTATGACACTTTGACTGCGGTGAAACATTTATATTTTTGTAATGCAGAATTATTCAGCTGCTCCAGTAGAATCGCAGCATGAGCCTGTTTTTGTGATTAAAAAAGTAAGGAGTGAAAATGGAGTGAACATTTAGTCATAATCAAAAAGCTGCACTGACGTGAATTTGCTTTATAATACACTTTTATATTCTAGTCTCTAATTCAGTGATTTTCAACCTGTGTGCCATGAGAGATCGTCAGGTGTGCTATGGGAAATTATCCAATTTGCAAATAATATGCCATTGTTGAGTGTCCGTGCAGTAATAAAGTGAGCGTCAAGCAGTACTCTTTTATGTCACTGGGTGGAAGCAGAAGGTTAATTGCCTGTAAAAAAACTGAAAACAGGGAGAGGCTGGGAGCTGTTGAGGAAGAGCTTAGTGTGTGTCTTTCTTACATTCCTGCAAGGATGTCAGCTATGTGTTCATCTAAACCAGGGCTCACACTCAGTGAGTATTAGTAAATTTAGAAACTATATAGCAGGGATGCACCAAAAATTCGGCTTCCGAAAATGGCGAAAAAGTGCTTTTTCGTTTTAAGCTGAAACACTTTTTTTCACCAAAACAACACGGCTGAAACAGATGTGATGAAGCAAGCAAAAAACGCGACCAGTACGCGCTTGTCTGGATAAGAGCCAAAATTTCTGCGGTGTATTGCTATGTATCTGAGAACTACCAATAGCGATCGGCATAGCATGAAATGCAAAAATTTCAAGAGGGGGTGCATCTGCAAAGAGTTGCTTCACACTGGGTTTAATTTATCACCTGATATCCAAACATCCCAATCACCATTCAGAATATGAGATGATCGTCACGGAACAGGAAAATCCCTCTGAGCACACCCACTCTGTCTGCGGCAGATGTTGCAGCCGATTACAAGTTTTACTTCTTCTCACTTTTATTGATAGATTTAACAGAAATCAACACTGCAGACTCATGCTCAGCTCCCACCCTTGGCTGCTTGAAAGTAAACATTGTAACACTACTTCTTCTAGCCGCGTCTCTACCGCTCACAACGGGCGCCATCTAAAGGTGTAAACCACTCAGAACATGCAGCAACATGCTGACTCAAAAACTCAAAAGTCACATTGCAGTTGCATAAATTAATATTAAATTAATATTTAACATTAATTAATATTGATTTATACAATTGCAATGCCTTGATTTTAGTAAGATTAGAACAAAGTCATAACCATAAATGCAATAGTACTAATACTTGGTGTACTAATTTCCTTCGGTTTTTGGCTTTGGCTTCCTCATTTTCAGTTTTGGCCAAGAATATTCATTTCAGTGTATCACTACATTCTATAATATATACTGTGTAAGGCTATAAAGTGTCATTTTGGTTGGTGGTGTGCCCCAGGATTTTGTCAATGTAAAAAATGTGCCGTGGCTTCAAAAAGGTTGAAAAACACTGCTGCAATTCTGTGTCATAAAACATGTTCTGAGTTTGTCAGGAATATTTTATATAAATGCTTCTCAAATTGAACAAATTGCCTTTTTTTGTAATGGCGTACAACTTCACATATTCAAACCATATTAAAATTTTGATTTTTTTTCCCTGTTGCAAATTCAGTACTGTTTTGCATGAATAGTACATTTTGCAAGATATTAAGTATTTTTGAAGGAAGTACATACATTGGATGAAATATTAACTTTTAATTAATTTTACAACACTTATAGTGAAAAAAACTATTTGAGGAAATGCTGTGGCAGTGAATATAAATCTATATTTATAACATAATGTTACTGTTAATGGAAACTACCAGCAGTGCTGAAGAGACACTTGGCTGGTGGAGATAACCAGTTACATATATGGGGGACTACACCACAAAGTTAGAAAGCTTATCCAGGTCTTTCCGGCCTTAACTGTAGAATGCAAAGCTGTGCAGTTCTGCAGGATAGCCGGACAATCATGGACATAGTTTCTGTAATGTGATTGCGTTGGGTGGCGTTAACCTGACTCTAACCCTCCAGTGTTAAAATACAAATCCAATTCAGAAGTGGTTAAAACTGCAGTTCCTTCAGTGCCCACTGGGGGCTGGCTGCGAAAGACCTGTAAGCCCCATTAATTACCATTTAAAAAAAAAAAAAAAAAAGGTTTAGAGCAAAATTAAACACATTCACATTTTTTTCTGCATATTCAGATGCGTTGTCGAATTGACTTTTTGCAAACGTTATATAACTGTTTGATAAGAGTCCACTTTTTGGACAGTTTTTAGGCTAACCAACAATTGGGTTATGTTAGCATATCCAATTTTGCTAGCAACCTTGGATTTGCTCCAGAACTCCCCCTCAGAAGCCAAGGACCATGAGTCCTCCCATTCCACACAAGCCGGTTACGATTGTGTCATCAAACAAAAACCCAGATAACGAACTTGTTTGGGTACTTCTGTTGTCACAACAGTTACAACACCCCCTCAAAGTAATGACAAAATCAAATCAAGGCAAAAACCTCGGATGGCAGCAGTCCATGAAAATGAAAGGAGAGTATACTGTATAATGATGTGTGTATTCAGTTACAATGGAGGTGGAGCAAATCCAGCCATCTTATTTCATTTCTGGAAACTAAACTGTTTTCAATAATACTTGAGAAATGATTTTTATTGAGTTGCAGTGGAACCACTCGCTCTTAGAACAACATTTAAACTTGTTTGTTTTATCAGGCCTGCTGCCAGGAGCATCCGTGCCAAAAACCCTGCTGAATCCTTTATTCAGTAAAGCTCACAGTAAATATACAGCAGTGATAGATAGTGCTCTGCTGCTGTTATCATGCTGTGTTATTGTGAACAACAACACTGCATCCCTCTGTACACAGAAAGTACTTAGTGAGGGATCTGTGTTTCACCAAGTTGAAATCTTCAGCCTATAATCAGCGGTCATTGTGGGATTAAGGCTCTCTGACGTTTCTGTAGTTTTGAGGTTTCTCTTATCGACTGTGGTGAATCCATCTCCCATATGTAATTATCTCCTCCACCCCCTCGTGTCAAGTTATGCTCTGGATCTAATCTTCTTATTTGAGATAATTGAGGGATATTCTCTAACTCAAATTAACATTACAGTCCATGAGAGTTGCTTTGCTAACATTCCTCTCTGCTTTTTGCCTCAGTGCATGCTCGGAAAGGCTCCACTCCTTCCTCTGTAAAAATAATATGAAATAATCTTGCTGTATGACACAAAAGGAGCATTATCAAAGGTCTGTGTGTGGTTTTTGTGATCTGAAAACAGCTGTAATCTGAGCACAGTCCATATATTTTAGATATTGATTGTATCGTTTTAACCATTTGACTACCTCATGTTGTTATATGAATGTGTAATTTGTGTATTAAGTGTGTACTTAGTGTGAAAGTGTTTTCATTGCCAGTGTTTGAGCTCAATGGTCATTACAGATTACACTGCAGATGGATGAATTTTTGCCCCCCATTGTTGCAGTCTCTCTTTTTTTAATCTCAAAATCAATCAATGAAGATTTTTAGCTTCACCGTGATGCCAAGATTGCCTTATTTGGGCATTTTGTAAATGTGTAAAACCTTTTTATCCTCTTATGAAATTTTTACTCTGTTGTTGAATCTTTGATATATGCTGTAAATATGCATGATATGTGTATACCTATTATGTCCAATAAATTCTCATACTATTTTACATCTTACACTTATTTATTGTTGATTTCTGTGGCACTCTGGGTGGGGAGCGTGTGTGTGTGTGTGTGTGTTTGTGTGTGTGTGTGCACCTCTTGTATGGATCTGGTTGAGTACAATGAGCTGTAATAACGATGTGTTAGGTTTGGCTCTGCAGTGAAGTCATGACTCGTCTCTAGTGAGCTCATAGCATGATATGGACCATGTGGACCTCTGCTTGGAGGTTTTTTTTTCTCAATGAGATGTGTGCAATGCATGGGTCCATACCCCCCCCAACACACACACACACACACACACACACACACACACACACACACACACACACACACACACACACACACACACACTGCCTTTGTGCAGTCTTTTCTTTTGATTAGAGCTCCTTGGAGACCAGCTGTATACAGTATGAGCCAGACTAGTTTTGATTTTGAAGTCTCTGTGATTATGGCACTATAGAAAAGAAAAGCAAGTTCTTATATGCAAGTGAAGATCAAATAGTCAACAAGTGGCAGATCCTGACCCCCATTTAAATCCACTAAATTGTGAACTTGTATGGCAGCAATATGAACTGTAAGGTCGTATGTACAGCATAAAGGGAACTAGAGTATTGATCTGTTTTATTCAAAATTTGTCATTTTAAGCTTCTGTGAAGAACACTTGGTGCCCCCTGTGAACAAAGAGATATCTCTTATTATTTTGTTTGTTTTGTTGTCTTGTACACGTGTAAGAAGTGTAACTTGATAAAAAATCACATTCCATTGTCTTTTACACAGGAATTTTTGGCTGGTTATAGAGCTGACTGAAATGGATGTGTTTTTATGACTTACAAAAGTAAATGAAAAAAATTTGTGGCTTTATCTACAGTAGTCCATCTGCATTAACAAATCAGTGCTATAATGTACTTGTTGTAATGTGCTAGATGATATATTTACTGGAATAGAAAAATGCATAAAATGAAAACCTAAAGAAGCCAGTTTTATCAACAGCCATTTTATCAACAAGGTTCAAACTCAAACTAGTAAGTGAAATCAATGAGTGTAATCAGCCTAGAAGGGGAGTGAGACTAAAACCAGACACAGAAAGAGCAAGAAAGACAGTAAAACTGAAAAACACTAAAGACCATTGACACACAAGAGGGAACGCACAAGAAATTTGAAGAATAATACAGAAAAATGTTACTGCCAGGAAAACACAAAACCAGGGAAACTGATGATGATTTTTTTTTTTAAATAGAAGAAACAAAAAGGGAAAGGCTGAGAAACACAAAACTATAAAAAATACAGATTTAAACAAAACTCATTGATCCTTACGTAGACCTATTAAATACAAGCTATAAATGAAAGTGCTTCATTACGCTGGTTATCAAGTGCTTATGTCAACCTTAATGTGACCAACCATCCCTCGAAAACTTCAGATTGTCAACCTCACAGCAACATAAACCCTTTCTTTATTTTAGTCTACAAAATATTTTTTTTTCCTTCCAGATTTGAATAAGCGCTGAAGTGAAACCCAAATCTTGAATATCACAAATGGATTTTTTCCTTGTCATGCCACATGATCCAAAGTTTTAAGGCCTCTGTCATGTTACATCTGTGTCTATTTTTTCCTCAGACTGTCCCCCCAGAGGAGCCATAATGCTCGATACTCCTCTCCAACCGATGACTAATTTATTAAATTCCTAAACAAAATGTTCATCGAACCAGAATCCAGACTGTGATGTCATTATTCTCATTTCCAGCTCTGCTCCTCTGGGTACCTGGAACACACGTTTGTTGTTTGGCCTCTACGCTGTGCAGCTAATGTGTTCAGACACTGATTGCATTCGCCCCAGACAATAGTCCATGACAAACTCTGGGTTAAATTAAAAGAGGTTTTTTTTGCTGTTGTTTTTTTATTTCCTAAACAATGGAGTCGGGGAGGCCGGACTAATTCAGAGCAGACCTTTGCTCCTAAACATGATGACTTAAATTAAGTAAAGTGAGATGTTTTGGAGCGTTTGGCAGGTTTACAGAATCAGAGGGGGATGAGAGCAGATTAACAGGGTCTGTGGATCTCCCCCTCACGGCACCTCTTCCTGTCCCATGGCACTAAACTGTAATGTGGTTGGAAGGGAGACAACACGTCCTGCAGTGAAATGAGCCAGACACAGTGATGTTTATTTACAGGACAGCACAAAGGAAAGATTACAAATGTGGTAATGATTTGCAAGGACATCTCCTAAAAGTGTGTGAATTATGTGTAATGTACTTTCCGCTCAAACTGATGACACATTATGAACTTTATCTCCCATCAGGCTGATTGTAAGTATTAGGTACTATACCTGCTACAAAAGAGTGTAACCTGCGACTGAACTCAGGATTCATGACACTGTTGGTCGACTATCACTGGAGGCTGAGCTGCAGCTTGAATGGACATTACGTTCTCCTGTTTGAATCATCAGCACAAAGATAAACTGCTGCATCAGAAAACATCTGCTGCTTTGATCAAAAGTTAAAGGTAAAAGTCTGCAGTGAGCTAATTTTGTTGGATTGGGTCTGATTTGCACGAGAAGTGTCCAGTTTAAGTGAGAAACAACTCATTCAGCCCACTACTTTGGTAGCAAACATCCAATCACAAAGACTGAGAGCCGTAAAAAAGAGTGACGGGTCCTACTAATTCACAGGATATGATTATGAATACTGAAGACAGATTAAAGACAGATTTTATATTGTTTGCACAAAAGTAAAATGACTTATCTGCAATCAAATATTCCATTTCTCTAAAGCTACTGATTCATCGTGTGACTCTGGCCTGTGGCGCAAGAATCGAGTGCCTCTGACTGACTTGTAAAATTTACTTTTATTCAATTCAAATAAGAGTCCGTCTTGGTACACAGGAAAATGTACCCCAAACATAATTTAAACCACCACCCAGTTGTGGCACACTCCAAGACCTATGACCTAAGGCATAAAGGCATGTTCTGACCTAAGATATGCAGTCTGCCTCAGCTCTCAGCTCTCTTTGCCTGTTTGCGTATTGAACAAGGGTTGATTGAGTAAAAATTTCTAACATGTCAGCCATCATTTTTGGGCTTCATTATGTCTCTTCAGGTTCCATCACTGAGATTATGTTTACTGTTTTGTCTCCTGGCAAGTATAAATCAAGGTGTAGATGTTGAACTGATGCTGAAGTTTTTAGCCAAAATCGTGTTACCTGTGTCATTTTCAAGAGCTTTTCTTCTGCAGAGCTCCAGTAGCTCATTAGCAATTCGCCTCTGAGTCGTGGGCGGAGACAGCGCTGCTCTTCACCCTCCTCTTCACGCTAGCTTGCAATCTAACATTGCCGGTGTAGCTGAAGTAGCAGGTAACATAGGAGCTATTCAGCTCTCGGACACTAATGTGTTTGGGGACATGATGAAAGCCAATATCATAATTAGCTTTATTATGAGCATTACAATCCGCTAATGCACACTCTTGTTCCGTGATTGTCCCTACTTCTCTGAGACTGGCCTGCATAGCGAGGCTCCGGGGGCGGAGCTTGGATTTGTGATGTAGGAAATCTCACTGTCTGAACCTGCCATTTGGATCTGCCAGAGATTCACAGTGATTTTAATGAAGAAGTACTCAGAAATGCAATTTCGCACTTACCTCTAGCATCAGAAAAATGCCATATGAACATGTAGACAACAAAAAAAACAACATGATTTTCATCGGAGTGGGTCTTTAAGGAAATGTGGAGACAGAGGATTTGGACCTGCGATGCACTTGATTGTAGGTAAATGACTAAATGAACAGTCAAGTCACTCTGTAAAAACACCATGTTTTTCTCTGTCTGTCTTGGTTGCATTTGCCATCCACAAAGTTAGATATACAGCAATAGCCGGTGGACTACGTTTACACATGGCTCCCTTGTGTCTCAAGTGAGACATTCATTAAATCAGTTTTCAACAAGCTCAACATATGAAGCAATAAACCTGCTTATCAGACCCAGCTAACAGCTTTTCCCCCTGTCCTTTTTCAGCTGTAGCCCCAGACTGAGATGAGCTAACTTTAGCCTCACATCACAGCTGGTCCCTATGCTGCACCAAAATATGACTATACAACGTTTCATATTGCTGCCAAGAGCCATAAAGTACTCTCATTCTGCTGAATCGCAAAGTTTTGATTGTGGCACATGGGTGCTGCATGTGTGTGTGTATTTTTTTAGATACTTGAGGCCCTTGTACTTATTGCTGGAAAGCTCTCGAGTGTTTCCAGTTGGAAGAAAAGAAGAGAAAAAAAAAAAAACCTCTGAGGCCTAAAATTACCCTGGTCATAATGAAAAAGCTCAATCATAACCCGTTTCCACCACAAACATCTCCCACTCTATTAACCTCTCTTTTCTTTGTACTGCTTTTTCTCCATCATTAAGCCAGATCTTTGCATGCACATGTGCTAAATGGGTGCCTATGTGCAAAATACTCATGCACCACAGTCTCCAAGCTGCATGCTCTCAGTACTTCTCACTGCTTTGCTTTCCCGGCCACAAATCCAAACTGACAACATAAACAAACAGGAAAATGAGCTTGCATTCATTCTAACATTTCTAATCAAGAGTCTGCACAAACTATCCTATCAGTGTCTTTTCCTGCTACATTGGTCCACTGTGTCTGCATTTTACAGGGCTTCACACCTGGTCACATCTCCCTTCAAACAGCAGAACTATGATTGCATCTACCCAGCAGTTTCCTGTGAAAATACATTTTTTTCTCTTTAGGTGGTTGTGAGTTTATGTTTCCGCTGGTGTGGCTGAAGTCATAACGTTTTAGGAGGAGCATAGCGGTGCACGTGGCTTCTGCAGACACATCATCCATTTACACTTGTGGCCTCAAACTTAAAGTGTCTCAAACCACCTTGGGAGGCGGTTTTCAATAACACACAAACATGTAAGAATTCAGCATGTACACGCTGCTTTTGGCTTTAAATCTCATTCATCACTTCAGTAAATGAACAGTATGTGTTCATGATTATTATCTTTGAAACAATTAATGTCAAACTGCTCTATGTGATCACTTTTTCGCTCAAATTCACTGCTGCTTATTTTGAATTGAAGGAACTATCACCAAGCTCATTTGGGTCTGAGCCAACACAAGCAGATCTGTGGAGCAGCAGACAAGACCTGCTCCTGTGTTTGCTGCTTTAAGTCCTTCCCATGTGTCTCAGTTTGCCAATCATCATGTTAAAGCTGTGGAGAATATGATTTTGAAGAGGGCTGGACTTCATTGTTAGTGTAAAAGAGGGCTGGACTTCATTGTTAGTGTAAAAGATGTGGAGTGCAGGTAAAATATCTGAACCGCTGCAAGTGCAGTAAAGAAAATGTGTTATTACCTGAGAGCAGCACCTACAGTTCATGTTTTTAAACGCAAACTCAAGACCTTCCTTTTTAGTCTGGCCTTAAGCTGATTTTTGTTTTATTCTTCTAGCCTCTCTTTTAGTCTACTCTTTTTAGTATTTTTAGTGTTTCCCCATTTTAGTTTAAGGTAGCGTTTCCTAGGTCCTCTGTGGCTTCCTGTTGAGCCCTGCGTGTGTGTGTCTGTGTGTGTGTGTGTCTGTGTGTGTGTGTGGATGGGTGGGTGGGTGGGGGGGATCTCTGTTAAATTCGGGCTTGGAGGGTGGGTGTGTGGGGTTTTTGCAGTTTGTATTTTATTTTGTTTTTTATTTTGTATCCCCTGTGTACAGCACTCTGTCATACAAGCCATGTATGAAAAGTGCTTTATAAATAAAGTGATTGATTGATTGATTGATTAAAAGAGTGAATCTCAAACTGTAAATGAATAAATAATAATAATCATAATAATAAAAAAGCTTCTTGAAAGCTTAATATGGAGAAAAATTGACCCATTCAGTCCATAAAAAGGCCAATAAGTCTTGTTTTCCAGTCCATTTGTTTTTATAATCACTAAAAAAAGATAGCTAAAAAAATGAGTCAATGTGCTCAACTCAAAGTGTCTCCCACTGTTTTCTGTCATGAGAAATGTTCAATCATTCAACACTGGTTCATTTCACCCCAACAGATGTTGAACAAAAACACTGCAGTGAAGAAAAGGCAGCAGCATGACCAGTTTATTTCAATATCTTAAACAACTACACGGACACGATGTAAAGCTGTTCATGCAGTCATATTTCATATCATTAAAGATAAGGTGTCATGTAGAAAGCATTTCCATGAAGCATTTCCATGAAGTAATAATCATGAATGTTATTTCTTGGGCTGGGAAACTCTGCTGCACTCGGTGATCGACTCGTCAGGGCTCCCACAAACAAGCGGCTGCTAAAGAAGGGTGGGTGAGTTGTGTTTGGTCTTTTTGCTAAAGAAATCAGGCACAGCTAAAAAAAATGTTTGGTGGCTAGTACTATGGCTGGGACCCTATATGTACTGTTGATGAAGTTAGGTGCTGATCTGAGCATTATTTGTGGCTATAGAGTGGCTTTTTGGTTGACTGTTGACTGTTGTGTATTGCTGTTGTGTGGTCATTACTTAAGTTGATTTAACTAGAGAAGCAAGCAGTTGGCAACATTTATCTTTGAGGGGGTGTCTAACGCGGTGTTATGGTGTGTTTGACCATGACTTAAAAATGCTGGAATATCCCTTTAAGCTAATCACTCAGGGGCTAAAACTTGCTTTCAGTCAGTTCAGGAATGAAAAAATCAAGGTTTTTCTTTTTTCTCTTTTTTTTTTTTTCAGGCAACAGCGTCCAGCTGTTACAGCCTAAAGAATTATACAATAAAAAAGAACATATGAGTTTCAAAAACTACATAAAAACACATCAAACACAAAACACATAAAAGTTAATAAACCAGGAAAATAAAAATATATATAAAGATAGAAACCACACAACTCTCATGTTGGGATGAAAATAAGAAAAAGTCAGTGGGGGTGGGGGCTGGACTCCTTTCATTATCGGGCCACTGCTGAAAAAGTGAGGTCAGTCCTGGTTTGAGGTCCAGGGACTTGAAGAATCAGTTGATCTCAAGGACTTTGATGGGGTATAGACATGCAAGAGGTCAGAGATGAAGTGTTATCCACTTTAAAGACTTGAAAGTAAAATCTCAAAGACCAGATGTCAGGAAATATAGGCTATATTAAAATGTGTGTGTGTGTGTGTGTGTGTGTGTGTGTGTGTGTGTGTGTGTGTGTGTGTGTGTGTGTGTGTGTTTGTGTGTGTGTGCGCGTGCGTGTGTTGAGTCAGTTTTATCAGTTTTGAGTCAATTCATTCATTCATCTGGTGTTTATGATTGCTTGTCCTGCTCAGGGGTTAAGGGGGCTGGAGCCAACACTAGCTGTCGCTGGGTGAGAAGCAGGACACACCCTGAATAGACTGCCAGTGAATCCAAAAGCAGACACTCTCACACTCACACCGACCAGCAATGTAGACTGATCAGTTAATTTCATGAGCGTGTCTTTAGACTACATGGAGAATCTGCAGAGCCGACAAACACAAGAAGAACATGCAAACTCCAAACACAAAAGCTTCCTCTTTGAGTCTCTTCTTTCAGTTTTTCTTTACCCTCAGTCCTTTTATTTAGGGTGGATAAAAGAACCACCACCCACATTGTCAGTTATGACGTAGGTTTTCTGTCTATATTTAGGTCTGAACCTTTGTCTGACACATGGCCGACTATTTAAAGTTATGTGAAAGCCTGTGTGTGTTTTTTAGTTTTTAAAGATACAGATTTTTGTTTGAGTGGTAAAACACACTTTTTTTTGAATGATTGTTCATTTAAACCTTGTGAATATTTTTTTTTCTATTTAATCAAACACAATCTGATTTCTGGTTGATTTTCCTTTTCCCCCTCTCTAGATGAAAACAGCTCTTCATGCTGTCAGGCCCACAAGCGACAAGGCACAAGTTGCAGGAGGGCAGGCCAGACTTCATTAAGATTTGTTTTTCCATCCAGGATCCTGCGCAGGGAGAACAGCCTCTGCCAGGCCTCCAGAGTTCAAATCTGCACTGCAACCAAACCAAATAATCCAGGTCCAAGTACCAACTCCTAAATACATCCAGATGTCTGCCCTCAGCTAATAATCAGAGAAAATACAGACCTGCTCTGCCATTGGTCTGGTGGAAGCCCCAGCTGATCAGTGAAAGCTGTCATCCACAAAACAGATGTGCAGACCTAGAGTAAAAATTACGCTCACATCCTGAGGCCATGCTGAAAGGTGAGTGGAGCAGGGGTGTAGTTAAAGAAAAAAGTAAAATATGGCATGTTAGGAAAAGTGCTCTGCCAAAATCTGCAGCTGATATACACATGACGGAGGAGGACCAAAACACTGAGA